CATCAATTCCTCCCTCGCCAAATCCATAATCCATTGACGATTCAGGGGACAACCAACTCATTCATGGCTGCGCTGGTTCCTATTAATAATAAAAGCGAGATTTGATAGAACCTTTGAGGAATACCCTGTTGATCTTTCAAATCTTTTGATGGTATAGCAAGGTTCAATTATCTTTGGATTTCAACGTCGACAACACATCCAAGAAGCAAAAGGAAGATTGTCATGTTTTAAACAATCATAGCAATTAATTTGCTGCGCGGAGTCAGACTCATACTTCTATTCTACGAATTGGTCTAAGACTTCAACTACGACTTCGCTACGGCTTTCTAGGAATACAAATATTGGTTCAGATTGCAGATCGACAATAGTTTTTGTTTTAGAAACTTGAATAGGAGAAGCTACTGGATATATTCTAGACGACTCCAAGGGTTACTCATCGCATACTCATATCCATCAGAATACTCAATACAGAGTACACCGCAACGATCCTAGAATCACGGAATTTCTCACGAGCGATAGATAAACTGGTAGAATATACTCTTATATCAGTCAAGATGCCTTCATCACCACGAACTCCCATGCATAGTCGACAACCCTCCGCATTAGATTTCTCTCCTTCAAATATGAACCTCTCTCGCAGACTTTCAAAATCTTCCATACACACACCGACTACACCAAATCATATGATTCGAGATTTTAGTGCTAGCGTTGACAGCGTGGGAATGGATGTATTAGGATCTGCGCAAAATGGAGGAAATGGACTTGGAAATCTTGCAGACGAACTGGCAGATGCGTGGAGCGAGGACGAAGGAGAAGAACTAGAAGAAGGGGATCTTAATTTTCAAAACACGACAGCTTCGGATTCAGATAATGAAGATAGGGAAGGAGAAAATAATCATCCAGTCAGGGATAGTGGTGTTGATGTAACGAGTCCGAAGAAACAACAAGGAGCATTAAATCCAAATCTACTAAATTTAACGCCGCCAGTAGGTGGTCATGGAAGAGTTCATGCTTTGGGTCATGCGAGGACACCAAGTGAATATGATGGAAGTGATTATGGAGGAGATTCAGATTTGGAGAGTCCAGCTTTTGGACCGGCATTATTAGCAAGGATGGATATGGTAGAGGGGTTGGCAAGGAGGGGGACGGAAAATAATGGAAGTCAAGCTGATGGAGTTGTTAAGAGGGTTATTGAAAGTTTGAGAGATTTGGGGGGTCAGTCAGGAGTGGAGGGGAATACTACTAGGTTTGTTTGCACTTTTCTATTGGGTTTCTACGCCTTTCATTTTCTTCCTTGGCAGGAGTGGGAGGTATCTCATCTATACGATACAAATATACTAACTACGACCAAAGACTAGTAACAACCCACACAGCCCTATCAACTCACCTCCTGCACCAAACTCGGCTACTTCAAAACCTCTCTCACCCTCTATTCTCCCCTCTATCTGCACCTCCAACTCCAGAATTTATCGATACACTCCTTCCCCTCCTTGATACTCTCAGTGACTCGATTCCTCGTCCTACAGCCGCATCCCTTACCTCCATCACCTCTTTACACTCTTTAACAACCGATTTGGTTCAAACAATAACATATCTCTCTGATACTCTTCATATGTCTCGACAAACTACAGTAACAGCGTCTAGGAAATTGAAATCAGCGAAAGAATTAGTAGCAGAAATGAGAAGAGATGAAGAATTGAGAGAAGAAGGAGAACAATGGGTAGAAAGTGGGGATTGGCAAAAGAGATTGGGTGATAGAGAATGTGCGGGAGTTTGTAGAGGTGTCGTGGGTGGTTTCGAACAGGTTTGTGATGATTGGAGACGAAGGTTGGTGGAAAGTGCTGGGGGTGAAGTGGGTGCTTGATGTGAGGGTGAAGAAGGAATACTATTGTACAGCAGTTGAATAAAAATGCTGCGCAAAAAATCACCACCGCCGATTAAACACAAAGTTCAAGACAAAAGTTCACTGGAGTCGAGATGGGGACACATGTAGAAAGGCTTCTGGAAGGTCTTTTAGACACAGCACTAGATTACTAGATGAGATCTGGTTAGATAGAGGTGTGGATTTAGTGGGCATCATGGATGGATATCCGGGATAGATGGCAGGTTGATTGATTGATTGATTATCTGGGAACTGGTTAATTGTCTCGGACTGCTAGGTGGCTTGGTTAGATGGATGAATGCATGGATAATTTAGAAAGCAGGAAGATGAATAGATAGACGGGTGGATGGGTAGATGGATGGATTAGTCTTCCTCTTCGGATTAAACAATATGAATAAATATATAGATGTAAATATATTTATATTTGTTGCAAATTATTATAAATTGGGAGATTAATTTGTGGATAGTTGAATGTTTTTGGGTTTTGTGGTGTGGTGAGGTGTGGTGTGGTGTGGTGTGGTGTGGTGTGGTGGAATACTGAAGCTTGTGGTAGAATTAGAGTTAGAAGGTTGAATCAGAAGGTTGGTATATCATATTTGATCGTGTTGGCTAACTGGCCCAACAAATGAATAAATAAATAAATGAATGAAAATAAAAAATTACAATGGTGTGATTGACAGTGCAAAAAGTCTAAAAGTAAATATTACTAATACCTTACAGTATAAGTATAGTAAGACTTATGAAAAATGAATCCCCCTCCCTCTCCTCTCCTCTCCACTCCTCTCCTCTCCTTTCCTCTTCTCTCCTCTGCTTGGAAGTTGGGAGAATAGAGAATTCTCTGTATCTTTTTGAAGAAAAATGATGTTTATAGTTGGATTTAGATTTGGATTTGGATTTTAAAGATTGAGAGGTGGAGATAGAGAGTTGGGATGTGAGGGGGTAATTGGGAAGGAGATGCGGAGGGTAATGAGAAGAGAAGAGAAGAAAGGGGAGAGAGGGAGGAAATGTAAGAGAAAAGTATCTGGACAGAGAAGCATTTTTATTCTAGGAAGGCAAGGAAGAGCTCTTATTTATTTATTCATTCATGTCAGTGTGAAGGAGAGTGGTGATTAGCTTTTTCTTTGAATCCCTTTTTTGTTTGGGGGGGGTAAAACTGTCACTGGGTAGGTAGGTAGTTATGACTATCAGGATCTTTGTGTATGTGCTAGGCTGTTGGAGTGTAAATAATCACTATAGTAAGATTAAGGTTAGTTGTTGATTACTGATTGCTGATTCTTGTCTTGTCTTTTCTTTTGGGAGAACATTAGAATTGAATACCTGAGTATATATTAATGAGATGAGATGAGATGGGATGAGGTTTATTTTTTAGAGATACTTAAAACTTAAGGGTTATTAAGCTGAGCTGGATTTTTGGATTGGGTTTGAATCTTTCTCTCTCTCTCTCTCTTTCGTCATTTGGTTTCGAGGCTTGCATTTAGAGAGTCTTATTTATAAGTTAAAGTTACAAGTAAGTCAGTTAGTCATAAGCGAAAAGTTTAAGGATACGTAAAATATTGCTTGCATACATGTATGCGCAGACCAGACAGTAATTAGCATTTGTTTATCTAAGTGCTCAGTACCTACCTATTGATTGATAAGTGCATGCTTAGAAGGCTGGATAGATAATTCATGTTGTATTGTAGGTAATGTAGTAGGGAATTGGTTTTCTATAATTACCACAGCTTTTCCTCATGGTTGTTATTGTTGGTGGGTGTAATTTTCTATTATGCCTCGAAATATATTGTGATGGATCTTGTCTTTAATGAATCTGGGGCTATAAGTTAGAGATATGACCGGAATTTTATTGCTGAGCTTGATCCTGCCTCTTGTATGACAGTATAAGCGGGTGGGACTACTAGTTGCCCATATTCCTCGTCGTCTCCATTATGGACCGTTCTTCCTATTCATTGCTTGCTTTAAATTGTCGAGACTTTCATGCTCGAATCTTGAGAACTGAATTGAAAAGTTTTGTCCTTGGTTGGAAAATATTGGGTAATATGATGTGTGATGCGATGTGATGTGGTTTTGTTCGTAGTCACAGCAAATGCAATAACACTGGTAAATCATTCACTTATGCTCATGAGACACACTCCTAACTCGAGCAAACCTAAGCTATATTGAAAGACTTCACTGTGCACTGGAGTCTCTCTATCCATTAGCACTCTACAGAATCAAAGCAATTGAGATATGGAGTAGGTTATACTAGCAAGTTTTAGCTGTTGAGTCGGTGAAATAGGTGGGTTTTCGATGGTGGACTTGTTGATTAAGAGCCTAGTAAGGAATCACTGGGCTTGGGGATGAGGTGTCGAGCTAAGCTAGCATTCATAGATGTTTAGGTGGGTGATTGATGAAAAAGCATCAAAAGCAACGGTGGTTAGCCGTTATTATTGACAGCTATTTTTAGAAAGGCATAGCAATAATGGGATGGGATGAGAATAGGCTTTACTATAATCTCCCTTTTTTTCCTTCACAATGCTCCCTCCAACTCTATATAAACAAATCATTACTCTCAAAATAATAGTGCATGATCATGCACTCTAGATCTCTTTATTGACAAGGGCCGCCTGTGGGGTGCTCTGTAAAGAAGTCAACTTCACGTTCTCTTTTACAAACCTCTTATAGGATATAGCTTTTATATAGGTAGCTGAATTACACTTTTCGAAGTATTGAATAAAATGGCCTAGTGCAAGTTTTCGTGGCCCATGCCTCACCCGTCCCTATATTCACTTTGATGGGTCGATTATATAAAACCCAGCTTGATGAGCAAGATTCCTGCGGACAAATAAGCGGGCAAAAATCCAAGGAGATATAGGTGGAAGAAGCCTTACTATTCATAAATGTACTAAATCTGTCGTCACAATTTTCTAAGGTATTTTTGTAAGATTAAAATCGAAAGTAATTCGTTTTTATAATTGTAGTAATATAATCTTATATTATGGGATGAATAGGAGCAATGTGAAATCTATTCAGCAACGGCGAAAATGCAAACCTTAACTTGACAATGATTGATGATCTAGGGGACATCGACAACCTGCCATATATAATAGAGATTCTAATGAGTGTGTGGAGCGTAAATATCCAAACAGATGTTCTTGGTGCAGATATCAATATCTTCCATTGTATATTTCTTGAGTAATCGATTTCAAGAGCTCTGAGTTCAATGTCAAAGGTTTGTTCAACATGGTGCGTGTATTTTGAATTACATGGTGCTTATATACGCAACAAGGAATGAGCGGTCATTCGTTCTCGCTAAACTTTTGAGGGGTTTGGTGGGTGAGGCGGGGTTAGTATGTAGTGAGGGGAAGCGAGGTAATCTTATGAGTTATTTAGTAAATCATTATGTGCATTGGTTAGGTTGTGAGTCCTAGAGTATTGTCGAGTGATTTTCTGTATAATTACCAATTTATTCACTTAGATAAATATAATGTATATAATTCTAGCACTGAATGGTTTCAAGAGCGCAATATTCTACGATAGCGAAAGACAAAATGTTTGCAGATGAACAAAAAAGCAAAATCTGCATTGAGGTTTGCAGACAGCAATATAAAGCAAAGCCGTGGAGAATGGCTATGCAATTGTTCGAGCCTATATGATTAGTTGGAATAGATACGCATGTTTCTGTCTGACCCTCATTTGATTCCTTTGCCAGATAAATTCCTGTTTGTGTGGAAAGTCAAGGTCATATGTCACGGCCTATTGTCTGACTCTAGAATTTCATCACCACAAGAGACAACTAGGGTGGCAGCAGAAATTCTCGACAGCTTTTGTAGTTTCTTGTGGTTACCAATATCTGTTTAGTAAATATGGGAGTGCTTGCCTAACTACTTCCCAGCTAGCTCTGCCGTAGTATGAATTGTGCATCTCTAGATCTATACACCTTGACAACGCTTTAAAATTGGGCTTTTAGATTCAGTACTACAATACGTCATCTTATACTAGCCGTGACTCGCATGGCTCGCTGATTCATTTGCAGTGATCGCTGATGCTCAAGGATTATCTAAACAACCCTTCATTTGAATCAAGTCCTACAAGGACAGTTACACAGTTAATAATAATAAATGTCCAAGTAATCAAGTCATTTATAACAGGATTATATTAAATGAAATCGCCATTGCTAATCCAAGTATGATACTTCATAACTACTATGAGATACACGCCTAGTTGTACAAGAAATCAAAGCTGGAGCTAGAGCTAGAATATCCAGAACCAAGCAAATTCTTTGTTCTTCAGATAAGTCTGCGTTCAATTATGAACTGCTCATTTATATATGACTTTCCTTTCGTCATTCTCATCATTCACTTCATCCGTAGATCTGCTTACCATCTAATTCTCCAATTTTTAGAGCACCAGAAGACAAAAAATACCAGATTTGTATCTAATATTTTCTTTTTTCAAGATCCTGTTCTGGTGTAAACATGAGACGGTTCTAACGAATTCCCCGAACAGATATTCAAGACCAGTCATATCTTAGTTGAAAAATCAGATGATGTTCTTTATTGAAAATCTGCAGCAATACTATCATATTGGTTCTTAGTGGAGATTTGATTTAATTCCCGGTTTTCAAATATGATTTCTCTTGTCCCTTCTCCAGAGTCATCATTTATTGGTATGTCATTCGGCTGGATATGTCATATTATATCCTTATTTCAGCAGGTTTCTAACATCTAGTTTAGTTCTAAAAGGTCTTCGGAGATGGAGGAGCCTTGCGTTGAAAGATTTGAAAGATTTTTACTTCTTATTTAATCAATTCCCAATGGATTGGCATCGGAAATGTATATTGCCTTTTCCCATATATGCGGTTGTAATGTGCGGCCATTTCATGATACTATTCACTTACTCAGATTTCGCTCAAAACCTGTAGATTCGTTCAATCTTTGAGTTCGTGCAAAAGAATAAACTATTCACTTCTTTATCTGCGTTCTCATACCTACTGACAAGTGCATAAATAGCTTTCCACAAGCGCAGACTGATACGATTAAATGATTATCCCGCTCATAACTAGTGGATATATGAGCTAGATCTAGGATTTTGGGTCATTGACATAAACCAAGGTGCTACGACAAAGCAGGACATTTAGACTTCATGCAATCAGACTCGAGTATTTTGTAAAGCTTTGTAGGTGACAGTATTCAGACTGAATGATAACGAAAGAAGTACCACAAGAAAATAACGATCTGGAAAGTCTATGAGATTAAAACAGCAGTACCTGGTCTAGTTTTTAGAGTACGCTTGTAATATCTTATCGGAAATCTGCACATGAAACCGGAAGCCCTGGTGGACTCGGTTTTCTGTTATAATTTTTAGAAAGCAGTAAACAAGTTTTGCACATTCTTATACTTACGCATCTATCGGCCTCCATACATAGACGGATTTTTTCTAGTCATGACTCTAGCAAACTGGAAAATTATAGAGCTAACAAAGCTAAATATCTATTTTATCTAACATCCACGAGATAACCCTGGTACCTTGCTGATTATTTATATTCCCCAAGTCTAAGCTTCGAGTTCCAAAATTGAACGGAATAGAAAGTAATAAGTTGCCTTTCAAGTTTTCTTTGTGGAACAATTTTGTTTTACTAAAAAAATATGGTACGGATTAGTTCAAGAAGTATTTATTTTTAATTTCTCTGGTGAAATGTATTTATGATAGCAAAAATATTCCAAAATATTGTCGCCAGTTCTTTCTTACAACTTCCATTGCCACACCCATAGTAAAGCTCTACACTGCAGACATAAACAGATGAGAACCTTGCTTCACGCAAATCCTTCGCTTTTTTTGGAATCATATACACGTATGAGACACCAGTTAAGAATGTACTGGGTAATTCATTTGCGGCTGCTCAATATCTCTCCGATGTTCATTCTAGTAGGTCTTTTGTCATGTCAAGAAACGCTGTTCTCTCAAAGCTTTATATACTTAGTCTTTCAATAGGAAATTTTACGGCAGAATACTACTCATAAACTGTGGATCTAAGTATTCACTTGATTTACATCTACCAGGATGCTTGAACTTTGCTGTAGTTTGCTTATCGTGGCACATCTAACAGGAACTTATGATTCACTTAACCCATTTACGGCATAGTAGTCCATTCAAAACCACATATTATTGAGATGCAAAATTTCGCGATGTTATCTCTATCCATCTTGATCTTCTCTCATTCCAGAAACTCGGCATTTCTACTCTGAGGACAGAGAACAAAACCGATTAGGAATTTCTTGGAAGTTCTATTTTTGTGATCTTTTTTCTAGTAAAAATCGGGAATCTCCTTTCCACTAGGCACCATAGCTGTCAAAGAATTGGAGCACTTTAAAAGTGCAATCATAGAACTAATTCTTGTTGCTTTCTGATTCATAGTTGTCATTATTCTTATATTGCTGTCCATTTCCATCTTTGTTATCTCCTTCATGAAGGAAAGATATGATCCTGTGAGCCGCATTCTTACAGTGAAGTCCATACTCTGACGGCTGGGCATGATTTCTACTCCAAAAATGAGAAACCAAGTCTCGGATTTGTAAGCCTCTAACTACGCTAAAGGCATAGTATTACTTGATGTGACAGCTATTAATGTTTGACACAACTTTCAAGGACTTCTATTTATACTCATGGATGTAAGGTCATCATGGGCCATTTTACAAGATCGAATATCAGCGTTATCACGTAGGTGTCCTCTCATACCACTTTGTCTCATGAGTCATGTGAATATTGAATTCAGAACTAGGTTAATGTAGCGTGATATTGGTGGGTCGCGCATATGTGGGCTCGTTTACGAATTATTTAAGATGCTCTGATATAGAGTTGATGACTTTATACTGTTTCCAGTTATATCAAGTCGCTGAAAAGTTTGAGCAATCCATTCTAGTTGTTTGGATGGTTGAGATATATATACAAGATGTGAGGGGGGGGGGGGGGGGGTAATCATTTCATCTCTACATCAGCAATCAGGATTTTTGCTGTTAGTGTTGGTAGTTTGTTGTCGCTTGAACTATTTATTTTTATTTTGTTTTTACTATCACTAGATATTCTATACTACTATGAGCTAACAGTTAATTTCATCCTAACAAACCCCTATTCCGAAAATGTAAGCACCAGTGATATTTTGACATTCAATTATCTATGCATGCCTTGGCTTCTTGGAGACCATGTACCTTCTTTCCATTGAGGGTCTATAGTTTTTTTGAGAAGCAAAACTTAGTATTGTTAACTATCATTTTATAAACAAAGTAAGATTATATCCTCATAAGTGCGTCTCCGAGATCATCTATTGGTCCATTTAATTCGTTTAATGTCGACTATTTCCCTCTCTCATCCACAACATCATGTCCATGATCCTTGAGGCATTGGCCTATAAATACTATCTTTAGGATCCTCTTTCTCACAATCTGCAGCATAATTCCTTTGGAATTTGAAGTATGCCAATGGATCATGATGAAACACCGATATGAGCTGCGGCATGGATGGCCTATCCTAGAGATACACGCTCGAGAATGATGAACGGCTAAATTTCGATTCATCTTGGCATCAAATTACGAATTCAGGTAGGTTTTCAAAACAAAATCTAGGGATTATGAATAGAATCTTGTTCATTTATCGTCGTTTGATTGGGTTATCATACCTTCACCCTTCATAATCGTTGTCATCCTAGATCTATCTTTTATCACCTCAGTCAGAATTCTAATCAATAATTCTATGATTATTAATTCGCATTTTATTTATAAATAATCATGTATACATATTGCAAAATTTTCCGGAAAGTGCTATAGATCTCCTCCCTCATGCCTTCATTTATAGTAGCCATGTTAATGTTCAAGAATATTTTGATAATCGTAGCTATGTTTATACTGCTTTATAAAGTCAAGAAATGCTTTATTCAATTTACGCGAGAGCAGTTATTTCGAGTAGGTATGATTATGCCTAAGTCCAGGGAGTGTAACATGATTGGTTGGAGCGGGGTATACAGCCAGACATAGCTCTATTATTTAGTTGATATATCATTCCTTTGTTCACTGATTTTTCTTCCTAGTAGGCCCGAAATATATAGAACCACTTTTCCTCCCTTGTGGATGGCCTACCGAGCGGGAAAATCTGTTCAAGAAGCTTCTCATGGAAGAAAGTCTATTTGAACACTCTGCAGGTGACTTCCATATTCCACAGAGTAATTCCATTCGTTGTGAAGAAACTAACAAAAGAGCGCGGTTTGTTTCTTCTTCCCTCCAACTTCTCGAGATGGTTAATTTAGAGCGGAATGTGTGCGTGTCTCTCATTAGAGTTTGCTGTTTCATCGCACGATACCTTTCTGGGAAATAGTAAGCAATAATCATACTTCTGACAAAAATAACAATACCATTTTTACCAGAAGCTTCGAAATTAACGTCCAAGATTGGAGAATCGTTGCATATAGATGTATTTCGGTACAAAAGTCATACCCAAGGTCTCCCGAAGCTAGGGTAGCGAACCACCAGGTAGATTTCCTCATACTTTAAAAATGCTGGCCGGTGGCTTCCTGTCTGCTGTTTGGACCAACGAATTGTAATTTTGAGGAAAATAAATTCGGGGGAACAGGCTCCTTTTAAGTTTCCGCTCGATCACTGGCGGCATCCTAGCCGGCCTATAATTGCACATATATATGAGGTATTTTCATCAGATATGATATTCACTTGTAATGCTTCGAATTCTTCAATCGCGTACTCTCAATTATTCATGTGTCTTCTGCATAACTCTGTCTATTTAAGAAATGCTCTGAACATTTACTTTCCAAATCAGACAAAAGGAACCGAGGGATTATCCACTGTTTGTATAGCTACATTAATCAAAGGTTCTTGAAACTCATTTCTCCGATGACTTGTGATATTCTTCGAGTCATAATCTTGCCATCTTAAAGTATTGACATATTATCCATTTCCAGCATCGACGACACTGGTGAGCTTTTGATAAAAAAACAGGTAGATATCTAAACTGATTGATTTATTAGCAAGTATTTCTGTTTCGTAATATGTCTGAAAGGATTATTGGTTCGTCTATTACTCTGTACCAGAGTAAAAGGCTTAATTAATCACGAATTCAACACAGCAGTCCTTGATATAGAGTCCAAAGCGGTCACGTTATTCATTTATATGTCACCACTGAGTAATTCTTGCATTTGCAGAATAGAACACAAGTTATGGACCGCTACCAGGGACAAAAATGTTTCCATAATGCTTGAAAATGTCTCGAGAATTCAGATATTTCGTGTGATCGTCTAGTTTTAATGCTTTGTCTATGCTATGCATTATGTGCAGAGAAACTGAGAAAAGGAGTAGAGAAGAGTAATAGCAACGGAAAGAGTGTTCGGCAACAACGAAATGTATTATAAGCAGACGGGACCTCGACACAAATCATCTAGTATAATAAGTACTTTGGCCTCCAAGAAGCACGAAAGAACATGTCATGTTTGCAGTAGAGAACTGGTTCTAATTTTAATGATAATACGAAACCACAAATACTAAGCCTTTAAGTAGCAAGAGCTTGATTGCATGGACACATAGTTACTCTTGGAATCCACATGATTTACCATTTACCCCGCTGTATCTAAATTGCTTCAGTACCTTGGTCAGTGGATAGAAAGCTTATTACGAGCTCTTAAGATGCTCTGTTCTACCATTATGAGTATCAAAAGCAAGAATGAAGCAAGGGACAAGATGGCCAAAGGATCGAGAAGTCATGATCCAATATTAGAGAAAAACGCTTGTGACACTCTCCGTTTCGCTCAAAGCTTTCTAAGTCAAAAGTACCAAGAAGGAATTAATGTATAAATGACAATGAGGAAAGATAAATGATAGAACTACGTCATAACCATTTGGTTACTGCCATATAATAAAATGTTAGGGCAGAGTGATTTTATCACATCAAAATAGCTATACTTAGCTATACCAAAACTAGCGGTGAAGTAAAGTATCTCAATTTAACACCAAACAAAGCCAAAAACCCATCAGAAGCTTCCTATCATTCTCATAACCACACAACAAGACAAATCCAATATCAAGATCTTGCCATTAACATTCTCAATGATGAGAACACGTCAACAATCCATCTCACCTAAGCATCCACCCCACTTTCGACCATCGTCACCAGCATCACCAGCATCATCACCAACATCATCGTCATCACTCGGGTCCATCACCAGATCCCCAGCATCACCGCATCTAACGATGCGGAGAATCTCCTGACATCCCATTGACCACTCTCTTCCTCTCACTCCAACATAAGCTTTACCAAGCTACCTATCTAACCCAAAGCAAACAAACAAACCCAGCAGGTAGCATTCCTCAGATATGCAACAAATACCACCAAGTACTCGACAACACTCGTGATGCTATCCAAGCAAACTTCCAAGCCCCAAGATCGTCACTCTGCATACTATATTTAGAAGTACCAAGGAAGAGGGTAACATTTTGACGACGTGCAACAAATTCCTTCGAGTACCTTATACTATGGGGTTTCATGACAATTCCAGGGAACCCCTATTTTCATCTGTCCTGTCCGGAATCCACGCTATGTTCATACATTGGTCTCTGGTCCAAAGGTTGCCACTCTTAATACCGAGCGGAGAATTGGGGAGATAGCAGTACTTTGCAATTTGCCGAAATACCATGAACTCCGCTCCTTTTTCATCCGCCCATCCTAATCCTTATGGTCATTGAAAGAAACACATCTTATCTCCACTAACATTCCACATCATCACTGTGTACAACGAGCAACCCCGAAGAAAAAACTCGCATATATAGGAATTCACGCTAAGCTCCTTTAGATGCGGAGCGGTAATAGGCTCGGCAGTCGGTAGTGAACTCGTTCCCGTTTTCGGCCTCGGAATCTTCCATATTCAACAACCGGTCTTTTACTCTCCCATCTGAAAATCCGCTCAATAGATTTATGGTCCATAACAATGATATGAACTACATTATTATCATCATTATTATTACTACTTAACATGATTTCCACAGATACAGGTAAACAGCAATTCGAAAAATATCCGTACTGTATACATAGAAGCAATCCCCGTCCGTCCGTCTCCGTCTCCGAGCTTTTCATATACTCCGTAACCTCCTTTAGTTATTGCTTAGCTAAAACCCTATTTATTAATAATACGAGTAGCCAACCAAGCATCCATCCATCCATCCATCCATCCATCCACTTTCGCAGAATCCTCGGGGAGTAAAAGAGGAATGGTGACTTTTTAAACTTTCCACCACCAACTAACCAACTACCTACCAACCTCTTCTTACCATATCAAGGAGTACATATCGGCGAAGCTTCTTAGTAAAAGAAGGAAGGAAGGAGCTTGAGTATCGATTAGATATGCAACAAAAACTTCCACGAACATTCTAATCTAATGTTCTAGTGTGAAACATGGGGTTTTTAATGGCGGGATGAAACGATGATGTTTATTGATAATTCCTAGTTCGTTGTCTTTATTTATCAGAGACCCTGAGGGAAGCTTTTATTTACTTCATTTTATTTATTATTATTCTAGGTATCCTATGCTATTTTATGTTGAAATATTCCCGCTATCTACATACTCTAGATGTTTATTAATAAATATTCTTCCATTATTATGTATCCTAGTCGGATGTGTGTGTTCTCCACATACTTTATAAGAAGTGGAGATAAACGGTTATTACGTGAGACATCGGCTTTGGATTGACACTTTTTTTAATATAGGGAAAATAACGCAATAGGAGAGTAGATATATCAGGTAAGGAAGACTATTGATGTATATGTAAATGATGAAGACGGAAAGAGGAGGAGTCAGGCAAGCAGTAAGGTCTATTAACTGCTAATTGAATAGAAAATATATACAAATTAGAACCCCACTCAACATCATCTATCACCAATCCCATCCCTCCTTCACATGAAAACTAAACCTCCAACTCCCTATTTACAAGAAGTCCCCTTGTAGATAAACTTACCATCCGAATTCTCACACCCACAAGTCCCATCCACAGGACTCTTAATACAAGTCGAGCCCACACCAGGACTAACCCCCTCATTACCCCAATAAAACACCCAATAATCAGACTCAGCCGTCAAGTGTGATTTCGCAGGCGCAGCACAGGTATAAGCGGAACAAGTTCCATAGGGAGCACCGTGTGCGCCATCATATTTGTGGACTTGTTCGAAGACGGCGAAGGTTTGCGTGCCGGCTACACGGGTGTTGTGGGCGCATTCGGCGGCTTGGATGGCGTAGGAGATTTTGCTTGCTGTGAGGGGGTGTGTTAGTAGAGGTAGTGGTGGATTTGAGGGATGGGGGGAAGGAGGGAGAGGAGAGAAGGGAGTATATACGTTTGCAAGCTGGAGATTTGGGGTAGAAGCCTTTTGTGTTTGAGGTAGCGGGTTTGAGGGTTGCGGATGCGAGAGTGCTGAATGCAGCGATGCTGACGAGGGTTTGGAGGAGTTGCATTTTGAGATGTAGATTGATGATTTAATCTTATAATATGAGATGGATAGATGGATAGATGGATGGATGGATGAGAATACTAATACAAAATCGAGAAATATCAACATATTTGTACTTTTCCAGCCAGGTTGAAGTTCGGACACAGCGAAATGATATAATGTATATTAAACAAGACATCTATTGAAAGTTCCACTTGATCGGGGAGCTAACAATCCACCTATTCAGCGATCTGGGGTTCTTTACGTGCAGATAGGGAGGAATAGAGCGAATAATCCATGAACGAGTAGGTGGGTCGTCCCAATATTTCTTAGATGAATTCAGGGGAAATGGAACTATGAGGAAGAATATGAAACGTCTTGAGATTGTTTGTTTCGGTATCTACATATTAATCATTCATGTATTTTTATTAGCTCAGCTCATCTATAGAGGTTTCTTAAACAATGTGTTCTGCTGTGTGTGTATTTACCACGGAATTCCGTCCCCATATATTTTGATACGAACCTTCTCTTGAGTTGAGGTCTCGACATAATATCTGATACTATCTGGGTATATCCCCACAGTGATCAGTAATCTACAGGAATCTAAGAATTGTAGGGGGTTACTAGCTTAAATGTTCATACACCGTTCGAAAAGCTTTCCAAAATTAATCCGGACCTCGAGATAATCCTGATGGAAATATGGACTAGAGCTGCTGTGTTCATATAAGAGAGTTCAAGTGAGCAAATTCTAGATTGGATAATAGACGGAGTACCCCGTGATTGCAATGAGCAGAGGTTTTTCCGAATGAAGATGAAGGGGTCCTGACGACCTAGACTCTGATAGCCATTCATCAGACTAAAGAAACCATCAGAGTTCTAGAAGTGGCATTCTGAAGAACGTGGATTACAAAGTTAAATCTGACTTTGAAATAACCTTATGGATTACTCACTCTGTAGAATAGTGTGAATATTCCCCAAAATAAGCTTAAAACCGAGATCTTCCCGAAGCACCTACCCTCCTCCACATCTCAGCTCCATGCAAGGGATAATAAACTTTCCTGATTCACTTTCCGTTCGCTCGTGTTTCAAGTGGAGATCTCCTAGTACAGGAAAAAAGACCACATTAGACGAACTGTTTCCAATAGTCTGTCTCCACTGGGAACAGACCGAGCTTAGTATATAAAGAACGTGAATACCTCCGATTACTCCGATATTCTGGCACTACCATGAATATCTATAACGGTACTCGGACATTTTGGAAGGTCATTTATATATGCACTTTGCTCCCGCCTTTCCTCCCACCTTTCATTCTTTGCATCCTCCCACCTTTCCTTCCTCGGATCCTCCCACCTTTGCCCCTATCTCTCCTCCCACCTACTTCCCTGTCGCCTTATCTCCTTCGTCTTCCTCTCCCTCCTCCTCCTCCTCCTATTCCCATTTCTAAGTATACTTCCTTCTGTCCCAGGTATCATCTTTCATCTTCACCCAGTCAAATCCAAATCTCAGCACCGCCTCAACACAGCAAGAACATTGTCCCAGAACTCACAGCCGTAATCTTTACAATGACGGCATCTAGGCTATATTTCATCAGGTAACAGGTGTTGGCTGTCCGTTTGGAGCTCCTCAAATGGTAGGTTATATGCTTGGTGGTTGGCTGGGAGGTAATCATATATCTGATATTCTGTTTGGATTTGTAAAGCGACATCACTTCCTTTGCTGATGCTTAGGTTCTGCTGCAACTCATTATGTTGAGATCGGAGAAGTATTGTATTTCGTGCACGCTTTGATGTTTGTAACGATTTGGTGATATTAGAACGTAGCGAAGTGCCGAAGTTGACATGGAAGAGAAGTCCTAGAGGTCAGTAGAGCACAGGTGTTGGTGGTTCGGCTTTCGAGTTCCTGCCACTTTAAAAAGATATCAACATTCAGTATTCACATATAACTTCTTTGAGCTTTTGTTAAAAAAAAGTTCAATTGTGACTATCAAATCCAAAATTCAAAGTTTTCCTTCACGATGTTTGACCGTGTCTCTATATGGCATATAAGCTGTTATTCAAAATTATTCCCCTCATTATCCAATCCTTACTCTCCAAGAATCTTGTCGGCGCCGGAAACTAGAAGTGTTGTTAGCATATTGTCTTGTGTACAGGAAGAGCTTTCCAAAACATACCAGTGTGTCCAATGTTATCTGGCTCGATGTTTACACTCTTAACTTTACCACCCTCAATGACGATTGCGTATCTCTTGCTTCGGTTTGTGCCCAACAATGGTGCAGCTTCGAATTCGAGGTCCCAAGAACGGGTGAAGCTACCATCTTGATCGGCGAGGAAACGAATACCACTCTTCTTGTCTGCGTCGAGGGATTTTCCCCATGCGTTCATACTGTTGATAGGATGGTCAGTTAAGCTCGAGGTAAGTTAAGGAAGTGGGGTTAGAGGTTCTTACACGAAAGCATCGTTGACAGATACTACAAAGACCTTTCCTGCAGACTCAAGCTTTGGGTGCATAATGAAACCAGGAACGTGGGAGTCAGAGCATGTTGGACTGAAAGCAGCTGGAACACCGATGATGATACCGGAACCTTCACCAATCTCGGCAGCAATGTTGACCTTGGCGCCTGGGTTGCCCTCAGCGAGCTCGATAGTTGGGATAGAATCTCCGACCTTGACCATGATTGCGATTATGTGTGTAGGATGTTAAGAATGGAAGGGTAGATGGATGTGTTTGATGTGATGATGATAGATAGTATGAAGTGAAGCTGTTGAGATGATGTGAAATAATGAAAAAAGAAGAAAGAAAGGAGGGGTTAAGCCTCATACTTAACTATTCTCTGCGAGCCACCATGAACCACTATGAACCCCGCCGTAACGTCACTGGCGCGTAAAAGCTGCCCTGTGAGATGGTGCTATGAGCCACATTGTGACGGATGTAACTCCATAACTTCAGAGTATTTGGAATACTCAGAAGCTCTAAGAAACTCTAGGAAGGTCCTGTTGGTCAAGGTAATGGAAAATCCACTTTTTCGGCGTCTGTGACACTCTCGATAAGGGACTGGTGGACATGAATTACCGGAGCTCCAAAATAGACAATTCACTTCCTCCTTTGGGCTGTGGTTTGATATTAATGCATGTAAGGAATGCAAGAGAATTCAAAATAGGTGTAGATCTGGTATGAGATAGACAATGTGAGGCGGGATGAGTTCGGATTGTGTTGGGATGTGTTGGAACATGTTGGTTCTTGGGCTGTAGCAATCCATTTTTCAGGGTATTTTCGGGGGCACGGACTCCCGGAGGGGTTCCGGAGAGCCTCACATTGGTTGAATAAGGCGCTACAAGGCTGTTGGAGATAGGCTATCGCTTTCTATCATACACTGTGATACACTACACAGTAGGATAAACTCCGTAGAATTTGGAATTGCATTTCTTTGGTAACCACAAATTCATCTACTTCTCCACCACCAACAAACATACATTATTGCTCTTCCAAGGCCCAGAACCAGTCCAGGAGTACCGGATTATCAATCTACTCTATTCATACACGTATGCCACTATCCTTATCAATTTTTGCTGACAATTCATCATCTAATCATGAACCATCTAGACCCTCTCCTCATACCTTTTGCTCGAGGAAGCCATCTAGGACCCGTCACATTTCAACCCTGCGATATCGACCTTCCGAATTGATCATTAACCCGCGTACGAATAGAGTGAAGATCATTCCAATACCGGAGGCACTTGGGAATACATTCTTAAATCTGCCATACAATACCTGACATGACACCATTAGACCCAGATATTTTACAACTGCGCCGAGTTCTCTTCAACTACCTATCCACCCGATAATTGTCTGCTACATACCGACGACTAGATTATCCTCCATGGGTAATAAGTTATCCACTGCATATATAAGATCAAACAGTACGAATATTGTCTCAAAGGAGGTGCATCCTGCTAGGTTGACTGCGGCATACAAGCGATCATACAGACGATCACACAACCCGTATGTATATCAGTTCGAAGTAGATCACATTATGGGTAAAAAGACGCCCAAGAATTACTTTGTAGTATGTCGAGGTAGAACAACTGGAATTCTTAATGGTTGGGCGGAATGTGAGACATCTACATCTGGTTTTTCTGGTGCCAAATTCAAAGGCTATGAGACACGCGATGAAGCTCAAAAAGCATGGAATGAATGGCTGAAGTTTCAAGGCATAGAACCAAATCAAGGCGCACCACAAAATACACTAGAGAATGATCTTACAGATAGGTCTAAGTTTGTAAATCACACCGCTGTCAACAACGATCTTCACGGTCGTGTAGGTCCAAAAAGAAAATATGAAGACAGAGAATCTTCTGTTGACATCAAATCCGATGCCGCAACAAATCCTTCTCCACCCTTTAAGACAGAAGATAGTGCTATATCTGCAGAACAGATCTTTATTGACCTCACAGAAGGTCCAAATCATACGACCTGCGCCAACAACTTTTCTATATCCAAAGAAGAAATCGCTCCTGCACTTAGGAAGGCAAAACTTGACGACGATAATCTACCGTTAAATCCTTATATTGAGATCCCAGATTCCCAATCCGACATTTCCGATGATACCCTTGACAATATTACATCGTCCTCCGAAAATCTTCCCAAGCCTGTTGAACTTACCGCGGAGCAAAATACGGTGGTTAAGATGGCAATGAGTGGAGATAATATTTTTCTTACTGGCGCTGCTGGATCTGGCAAAACAGTCACATTGCTACAAATCATAGCACAACTGAAGAAAAAGCTGCAGGACGATAACCCAGATATCCCCAAAGTTCAGGTTGCTGCCCCAACTGGATTAGCGGCCCTGCCGTTGAATGGAATAACCACGTATTCCTTTGCGGGTTGGAAACCGGATTCTTTTAAAATATCTCTTGACAAGCTTCTTCATCCTGATAGCATAAAGAAGAGAACAATCAAAGCGCTTAGGAGACTTGAAGTACTTATCTTGGAAGAGATCTCAATGGTTGAGAGCCAGTTCATCGAGCGTCTCAGTTTACTTCTTCAAACGGTAAAGCAAAGCCCGGAACCGTTCGGGGGTATTCAAGTGATATTCCTGGGCGATTTCTATCAACTTCCCCCAGTAAAACCTTTCGAGCATTGTATGATATGTGGAGTTGAAATGGTTGGGGTTTTTGATCGTGTTTGTAAGAGTGACTGGTGTAAAGACCGTCCGGACAATATCTCTTTTAAGCCAGGTGATAAATGGGCATTCAATGCCCGTGTGTGGGAACAGCTCAATTTTAGACACGTCAAGTTAGAGCAGATTCATCGGCAAAAAGATGAAACGTTCAAAGCTCTTCTAAACAAAGTGCGTGATGGTGTTGATCTGAGCGACGCAGAATGGCATGATTTGATTCGCCCCAAGATCCTTCCTCCCAATGTCTTTCCTATTCGCCTAATGTCAAAAAGGGTTGACGTTGACAGCTTCAACAATTCTCAGTTGGACCTGATACAATCAGAAGTCAAGGTTTGGGAGGCATATGACGATTCATGTCAGCTCTATCGAGGAGAGTTTGATTATCTACGTCAGCACGAGATTGACAAAAAGTTGGAGGAATATAGAATTGCCATTTCAGAATACCATCGTTTCCCAAGAAGGTTAAAGCTAAAGGTTGGTGCAAAAGTAGTTTTGCTTCACAATCAAGAGCGAAAATCTGGCTTGGTGAATGGTTCACAGGGTACCATAGTCGGGTTTGTGAATGCGGAAAACTGGCCAGTGACGATCAAGGGTGACCATGCAGATTGGCGAAGAACACAAATGAATCGTTTTACGGAGAAGAACCCTTGGAGACCCGTTGTTAAGTTTGCAGATGGGAAAGTGGCTGCAATTGCACCAGTTCCGTCGGAGAGTTTAATGGGAACGGTGAAGGATAGATATCTTACTTGTAGGACTCAAATGCCGCTCCTTCTAGCATGGGCTTTGTCGATTCATAAAAGTCAGGGTATGACAATGGAACATGTAGAGGTATCGAGGAATGATATTTTCGAGTCGGGTCAACTATATGTTGCTCTCTCACGGGCAACGAAGCTGGAGGGGCTTACGGTTACGGGTTATTCTAGGGAACAAATCGCTATGGATGAAGATGTTGTCGATTTCTACCAAAAGATTAAATGGGAGAAGTTGCAACCTCCTCCTGCTGATTGATTTTGGATATTTAAGTTTCAAGCATCACATCTTTCGACGGCAGCCAGCTATGAATAATAATCACTGGTAAGCTCATCTCATCTCTGTGATACTTTGCGGACATTGTGACTGAAACTTCCAGTCAAAATCTTCGCTATAGAATTTACCAACTCTCTGCTACTCGACCAATAATCCAGAATTCTATCATAGAACAATACTTCACTCCAAGTACAACTGGCAACAATTCAGTAATATCAGTCAACAATACCAAACCCGGGTCTAAAAATCCAGACTACCGAAAGTTTAAGTGGGGCAACAACCGTTGCCCTGACAAAAGGGAAGCGAGGCTGAGCCGGATCCACACATAAAATCTCTTCAACAAAATCATTTCTCGACCTACTTTCTTCACGTCAAATCACACATCACAACAAATGGCATCGCATCAATTTCTACAAGTTCTTCTTGCTACTGCTTTAGCTGATGCTTTGAGATCTGAAGATGTCATTGTCCACATCACCTTGTTAATGTATTCAATACCTGGATTCTGATAATTCGCGACATTACTGTCATCATCTTCTATTAAATGTAAGCATTCCCTCCAGTTCAGATTTCGTAAACCCCATCCATTTATCTATATGTCAAAACAACAACACCAACAACAATATGATGAGCAAAATTGGTCCGTGTTACTGAGAGGCCTCAAGAACCTCGTCATGGCGATACAACCGAGCACTTTGTGCATCTCTGATTCTATACTCTTACTTTTTTCTTCTTTTTCTTTTAACTTCATTGATACGCGTTCTACCGTATGTTTTTTGGGGAGAGAAATTGATACTAATTCGAGAAGACAGGACGCAGTGTAATGTACGAAATTGTGAGAGATAAGTTAATGACTCGGGGGAGAATGTAATGAATGGTATCGCAGATGGGAATGAAATCGTCCGATGGCTCCAGCACTTGAGATCAGGTATTGGATGTAGAAAAGAGCCACGTAAGAGTAGGTTGGATCAATGGCGCAAGTTGGATCTTTGCCATGTCATGTCTCTCCTATAATGATACCCCTTCATTACATTGTTATTTTTGCCTTTGTTTTTGCATAAGCAATATACCCAGATACCCGTTCCATTGTCTCGAATAGATACTTAGATACCTAGATACGTTTAGTATAGCGCAGCATAGAGTAGCATAGCATTGTATAATACATCATATCAATAAACCTCAATGAAATATCACAAAACATTCTTTCTTTCGCTTTCCCTTGCAATCAATTGCTCACCATTCTATACCTACACAATCTTATATTTATTTAATCTGGATAAATTACATTTCTCTCCTTCTACTGACTCATCGCTAGTTCATTCTCTACCAGGTGAATACTTGAGTAGATATCTATCTATGTGCTTCTCTCTTTACTTCTATTGAGCGAAGAGGAATTTTTTTATCATTAAAAGGATTGTTGAAGTATTAGAGGTGGAATTTGATACTCGAGTTTACTTGAATACCTATACACTTAATAAATTATGTTATGAGCATATCAAAGCTATTTTCAGAAAATCACTTGTCTGATATTTATATATCAACAGATAGAAAATCAAGATTGAATAAACCTATATAGGAAATCTAAATATCTACTATATAATATATAACGACGATACAAACTATCAAACCCAGCTCCTCAACTCCGCACTCAATAACTACTCTACTCACACACTCATCTCTTACTATTACTTCATCCCACCATTATAAGATGCTACACGAACATACAGCCTCAAAAAAAAAAAAGAGCAACATAAACAACAAAAGAGACAAAAGAAATCCACTCGGTACTACCAACCTTTGTATGAACCCGACAGAAAAGAAAGTATTATCATGTTTCACCCGCCACACGGGAAGGGAAACTTCCCGTCCCAAAGTGTTATGATATGGCTCGTGTCCCCATCACCCATGCCATTCTCTCAATCGAACCATGGGATTTTCATCGTCAATAAGACATCAAAGCCTCGGTTGCCTTACGCCGTGACTCCACATTCCCTTACCTCAAAGAATGTAACAAGCTCACAAGCCCAGGTTTCAGGTCATCAATCTCCATCTGTAAGGAAATATAGTAACATCAGTCAGCTCTTAGTATTCGTAAATCGGAAAATTACCTTTCTTTGTTCTTTTTTCTTTCAGTAAACGCTTCCTTTCTTTCTTCTGACTTAATTATCGAGGAAATAGCTTTGTGTGAATGAATTCTTTTCTTCATGATAACTACCGTGTGCATCAAGAGTGATACCACGTATAGCCTCAGAATTGAGAATATGGGAAGTGCATCTTGGCGGAATGCAATATTTTTGAGCGATTACTGGTCTCGACGGCATTGCGAAATATGTGATATGGATGCAATAGGCATGGTTGATTTACGACTAGTCGCCTATATAATGGGATTGATGAATGTTTCTTTGTTTTGTATGAATGCTATTGTGTTCTTGTGAGTAGGGCGAATGGGGGCGAGCACGACAAGGTGGCAATTATCATTATGGGCGACATGGAGTGAAATCGAAAATATTCTTTTTTTTTTTCGTAATTAACGAGCACGTTGTAACTTGTTGTCAACATGTAATATGTCTCGAAAGCATTTGCGAAATATCTTTTTTGAAATGTTGTCATGGGTATTAATTTTGAGTATGAGTTGCATCGAATTCTTTTGTTTTTATGGCGACTAAAGACGAACGAAGTCGACAAGACCTTCGAGGTGTATAGGCCGTGGCAAATTGGTTGTGATGAAAATCTCAGCCTCAGCTGAATATTGGTACATGGAGGACATAAGGTGATGAGGGAGAGTTGATCGTGAAGAGCCAGTGATTTGTCCCATGGAAGAACGCATCCCTATACTAAAGAATCGTCTTTGCTGTGAACTCCGCCCAGATGACCGTACATCGAACCGAAAAAACCTGAATATTAAGAAAGAAATCCTAGCATCCGTTGTAAAAAGAAATCAAAAAGGAATCGTGTTGTTTTCGCTCGAAATCCGCCGAAACAGTTGTAAAACCGCGCACTTATTTTGCCTTTTTTCCGTCACCCGAAGCTTTGGACCATGATGAATACAAACGAGAAGAGAAGCACAAGTGGAGGTACACCCGCATCAATGAAAGTCGTAGATCCAAAGCCTTTTTTCGTTCTTCGAGATCGTACGATTTAACGAGCAGGGCGCTCACCACCTATGTTGGTTAGCAATTAATATTCACGACGGGAATGTCTATCATCATCGTAGGCTCTACCTCCATATGGCTCTCGAGCATCTCCACGAGGAGCTTGATCACCATAGGCAGCAGCAGGAGCCGGGTCTCGAGCTGGTCTATCATCACGACCACCTCTGTCGTATCCTCGATCACGGTTTTCGTATCCTCCTCCACGGCGTTCATCACCTCCACGACTGTAACGATCACCACCATCACGGGGTCCGGCGTAACGATCGATTCCACGTGGAGCATCGTTGTAATCATCGCGATCACGGCGACTGTAGCCTCGGTCTCGGTCATCTCTGCCACCATAGCGTCCACCACCATAAGGTTCATAGCGGTATCCACCACCACGGCGACGATCATCGTAACGATCTCCACCCCATCCACCACGAGGAGGTCCACGAGGATCCTCTGTCTTTCCGTTAGTTGTGTAAGTCAAAAAAGAATGTGTTGTTACATACCTCTCTTTGGTGGACCAAAATACTTGCCAGGGGTTGGGGTACGAGGACGAGCACGGCGAGCCTTCTCAATGCTCAAGGTTCGACCTTCGATGACCTCACCTTGTAATCCCTCCTTGGCAGCATCAGCTTGATCAGAAGTGATCATCTTGACGAAACCAAAACCACGGGATTCACGAGTGTGGGGATCACGCATGATTTGGCACTTCTCAACATCACCATATTTCTCAAAGAGACGAGAAACCTCTTCTTCGAGAAGACGTGGGTGGATACCAGTGACGAAAAGGTTAGAGCCTGGGTTGACTGCACCATCATCTTGAGGGCCAGGTCCACGATCGGTCTTGGGTCCGCTGCTGTATAGTTTGTTAGAATGTATTATTTGTGTTTCGTAATCAGGTCCACTAACCGCTCATCGGCACGGCCATTTCTATCAGGAGAAGCAGATCGGCGGGGTCCTCCACGTGGGCTGTCATTGCGACGGGTTGGACGAGGAGATGCACTGCGATCACGCTCGTAACGAGGAGCCTCATCTAAAAGTGAAGGAAAAAACTTAGTAACAAATTCGGATTTATCGCGACTGTTTGAAGGGATGTGAAATAAATGATGAGTAAATACCTTCGTAACGAGTGCCGTTCTCATTCTCATAATCCATGGTGGAAGTCATGATGAATAAGTGGTGTTATTGTGAGACAAAAAACACGAAAATAGGTAAGCAGAGGGCTGTTGGTTTTGTTGATTTTAAATGTGAAATCTGAAGCTGTCGCAAATCCAAATCTCGAGCTTTAAATTACTCAAGACTCGCTAATAAGGGAAAAAGAATATCAAGTTGTATTGCAAGATTGCAAATATTTGATATTGTTGATGGAGGGAAAGAGATTTAATAAAGAAACAAGATGGAGGTGGGAAGAAGTTGTTGTTGTGGTTGAAAGGAAGAGGCACGTAGTGGTCAGATTGTAAGTAAAAGAAGTTGTCGCGAATTTAAAATTGGGTCTAGCGTTAACAACTAACCGACAAGCGGCTAAGCTAAATAAAGCGGTCAAGCTGGTCTAAGCTGGTCAAGCTGAAACCAATATTTATAAATAGCGAATAATCGTCAATCAGCTAAGATTACCTATGTTTTTGGTAAGCAGCGAGATGATTTTCTTTTGGCTTGATTATGAATAAGAAAACATATAGTAATCATGAATAGAGGAATCGAAGATAATAATATATTGATAATTGTGAGGTTATTGATGTTTTGTGTACCTATCCCAATCGTATCAGCATATGCCAGTCCCTCCAAACGAATATCATTGCCACCAGTCAGAGGGGTACTATACATGGACATCTACAGATACGGAAGCAAGCAAATCAAGCAGTACCAATCAAACATAATATATCCTACTCAGAGTACGTACATGGCCTTGATGTTGTATTGGTAATTCTGCCCATTCATTCATCCTCGAAAAGAATTGCATCTATCGGCAGTGCTTTCATCCCACAATTCGATCAAACAAACTCATGTAAAGATATTCAGGACCTTATCAACCAACTCGACAACACTCTAATCTAAAGTTCCTCGTTGTGCATCATCTCTTCCTCATATACTTCTACTTTCTCCTCTTCATTTAAAAAGTCTAAGGCAGCAACAGCCTTTCCATCACATGCTCTTTCTAATGCTAGGAATGCGAAATGTCCTCCAACAACTGGCCGAGCTTTGAACTCTATGCCAGGGAATCCACCTGTCCCTTCTGTATCATATAAATCCGTGAGTGGTTTATCTGTGACATTGTTAGTTAACGCCATTGCTTGCCATTATCAGGTTACATACCAGTCGTAGTCTCATTGACCCATAATGCAATCGAGTCAACAATCTCTTCCCTAACCTTCTTGCTAGCAACCGAAACAGCAAAGAATTCCCAATCACTCTTGGTATATAGATGGCGACTATCGAGAGGTAAACCATATTTCTGTCGAACTGAGTGATACCAGTCACTCTGTAATTTGTAAACCTTGTCACTGACAAATCCCGTCTTTAAAACTTGCTGATCAGGGAGCGTGATAGGCTTTTGGTCTTTCCAATTGTTCGGAATAGATGAAGAGCTTGATGGAATATGGAAACAAAGTAACGAATCTGCAAACAGATTGTATAAAATCGTCCAGGATCCATACCAAGAGTATGCCAATTTAGCATGAGTTCCATCTCTAGAAATGGCAAATTCCTCCTCCCATCGTTTAATGTAGTTTTCGGAGATCTTACGGTAGTAAGTAGCATCCTCAGTTTCACCAACAACCTCGGCTATCTCGCTCATAGCTTTGATTCCTATGATTCCCTTCAGGGCAAGGTTTGTTTGGTTGGCTAGCCATCCAGCAAAGTCGTCCGTGGACAATTGATTGCTGGGGATAAGAGTTTCCCTGACCAAATAGCCAGTCCATTGCTTCCACAATCTATATGATTTCTCGACCCATTTTCGTGCTTGCTTTTCGCCTTTAGCTTCAACGGGGCCACCAACAGTATCATCCATACCGTCAGAATCGACGAAAAGTGGGAAAGCACCTTCGATGAACTGAGCGACCTTATGACGACCTTGACCGGACCAAATGCTTGCTGGTTGAGTGTCGTACTTAAGTGCGTTAACCAGTGCCAAGCCCATGATGAGCATATTCCCACATTCTTCGACAGGCATATACTCATCTCTACCATCTGGATGTCCTGTCGCATTGGGGAAAGATGAACCGAGGTCATGCATAGCGTAATCGTTACTACCGGAATTTAGCTCAGTGTACTAAGCAAACGTTCAAAAGACAAAACTTACGGATATTGACCACTGAGCATATGTTCAATCAAAGGCTCCAGCATATATGCTAACCACCTAGGATTTGTGTACAAGAAGAATGGAAAGGAGGGATATATCACATCAATGGTATTCATATTTCCGTCAGAAGAAATCTCCTTGAAGAAAATAATAGGGTTATCGGGAGTTCCAGAGAAAGAAGCAGCACCTAATACTTGACGTGCACTGAGGGCCAGAATATCTTTGTAGTCCTCAGATCCGGACTGCAAAGCATCAATCGCGAGTTGGTCCGAATAATTACTTGCAAGGTTGAAAGCTTTCTGGAAGTCATGGTAATGGTATTCAAGTAGAACATCAGCGTTAGGATAATAAGAGGCCCATAATGGACGCATAGCTGTCAAACCTCGAGCGGAAGCGAATTGGATGACAGGATCTTGAACATGTGCAATCGTGAATAGAGCACTAGCGTATGTTTTCCCACCTGCAGCAGAAGTGGAATTTGAAGTGGGTTTGAGCTTGAAAGAGTAGGCAAATGCGAAAACTGGTTCCTCATCCATAATTCCTCGAAAGTTGCCATCAACATTATTCGACAATGTTCCACTTCTAGAGAACGCAGTACGTAGTATAGCAGATGTGCCAGCTTGATAGTTAACCTCAGCTGGACCTGTGAAGTGTAATTGTCCCCATTCTGAACGGTCAGCCCATTCGGTGAACAATTGCTCAACTACTCGTTTGACCTTCCAGACCTTCAATGGTGACTGCTTGCTACCCTTTGGGGGTTCACTTTGGCTGAATGTCCAACCAATGGTATTTGCTCTATCACCACTGACCCATAATCCATTAATATCCAAGTATACATCGAGATCAAATCCTCCTGTGACATGCACAGTCAAATATGCCGCAGGTATCGATTGACGGAAAGTTGAAGTTGGTGTAATTGGAGATAGGAAGGATAATACCACCTCAAGTGAATCTTGAGATTCAAAGGGCGAAGGAATGTGGTATGTGAGGTTTGTCGTTGACGCATCGAAAGTAGCACCTAAAAATGTAGGATATGATACATTGAAGCTATACATGAAATTAGTCTTCATAGGTACTCAATGCACCATCGGATGCCAGTTGCTCTAAAACATACCTCTCTCCCGTTTTTCTTAATGAATCTTGTGGTCTACCCAACAATGGATAAACAGTATTGGATCGAGGAACAGAGGCGAGTACAGAGAACCCAATCTGTAAAAAATGAGTATTCTGATCTGAATTGATTATGAGAAGAAATCCTTGGACCTCATACCTCTTGACCCGTCCAGAATATTGGCCAATGTTCCCACGGATTCTCTCTTGCATGTCCCAACCAAGCACTCAAATACGGATTGCGAACAATTAGTGGTATCACTGGCGGGGTCAATGTAGAAGCTTGTGCGACCGTCGCTGCTATTGTAGATGCAAGCTGAAGATAGCTTGTCCAACGCATGGTTACTGTTTTATTTGGGGTGCATGCAGGTATGTATTCTTATCAAGGAAGTATCATCGAAATACCATCCAGAGATGCAATTGGTAAAAACAACGAGGAATGATGAATGAAATGAGATGTAAACATTCGCAGTCACTACTTTCATATAGTGGAGAGTAGTAAACAGTTTGTAATAGAAAAAGGATGAGAATAGTGTTTTGCTTACTAGGCTTTATTCTATGAAAAGAACAATCATGAGACCCAAGGTTCTCTACGGCGTAAAAGCTACTACCTACCTTCCCTACCTACCCCGTACTGTAGCAAGAAGTTCCACATCAGCCCCATCTCACTTGCCCCTGTTTTAATCCGGAGTATGTTGTCATGAGACGCAAAATGCGGGGGCTAGCGTCAAAGCATAAATTTATGCTATTTTTATGAAATGAAATGTTTCATAAAGTTATGTGTAAAGTTTCTCAATTTGATATCAAGAATGTTACCTCCAACATCACCGACCTGTCTCAAATTCGCTTCAGACGACAACCTTCAAAGCTATCAGTATGAGTTATGGGTTACACCAGAATGAATAAAAGATGCATATCCTCATCAATTATCTACAGTACTGTATTGGTGGAATTTATTATGTATTCTTAGCATCCATCTTGAAGCACCAGAATATCGGCTGATTCGTTGCTGTGCTTGTGTGAGAAACCAACCGAAAATGATGTCAATTTCGTGATACATCTTACAGTTCAAGCAATCATTAAGTGTATTGTACGACTACTACCTACCCCTCATGCTTGACATCATGCTTTGTTTCTTCTCAAACATCACTTCTCATCCCCACTATCCGACCTATCAATATCAAAACTCATTTGCAACACCATCACAAAGGAAACAATAAACACAACACCATCATGTCGCTGAAAGGCAAGGTAATTGCCATCACCGGAGGTGCATCAGGAATGGGCCTAGCCACAGCCAAGCTTCTTAGCTCACGTGGCGCAATCGTCTGCATTGGAGACATCTCCCGCGAATCTATCGACAGTGTGATGAGAAGTGTCTTTCCAACACAGGCCAAGGTTTCGGTAGTTGATGTTTCAAATCGAAAGTCAGTTGATGATTGGATTGATGAGATTTTTAAGGAGTTTGGGAAGCTGGATGGTGCCGCCAATTGCGCGGGGATCATTAGTAAACATTTCGGAACAAAGAAGATTCAGGAATTGGAGGACGAGGATTGGGATAAAATCATTGCGGTCAATCTTACTGGGATGATGTACTCTTTGAGGGCTGAGCTATCAAGGATGGAAGATGGTGGAAGTATTGTCAACATAGCATCAGTGGCAGGAACACAAGGTACGTTATTCTTCTTTTCCCATTGAGTGAGTCGATATTGAGTTCCTGCTCATCCAATGTTCCTTGGTATAGGTTTCCCAGGATGCGCTCCTTACGTCGCCAGTAAACATGGAGTTATTGGTCTCACTCGTAGTGCTGCGAAAGAAGTCGGTGATAGAAATATCCGAGTGAATGCTTTGGCTCCAGGTCAAATCAATACACCAATGATGGCGCAAGCTCAAGAGATTGGTATGGAGAGCATATTCAATTCTGCTGTCTTGAATCGACTTGGTACTGCCGAGGAAATGGCTGCGATGATTGCCTTCTTGTTAAGTGAGGAAAGTTCCTATGTTACTGGGGCAGTTTATACTGCAGATGGTGGAATGAGTACTTGAATTATAAAAATTTTGGGGTTCTATTATCGAGTGGAAATGAATCAAAAGGGGATACTGCCATGGTCGGAGTCCGAGATTCTGTCTGGGGGATCCCGCTTCCTGAAATCAATTCCGGGAAATGTGATAATAGCCAACATTTTTTAGTGATTTTTCATTACTGATTTAATAAAATTCTCTATTGAATTTCTAGATCTTCGCTCTGGCTCATGATATGTTTGGATGAGAAGACAAATATGAATAATTCCTTCTAATCATATCGTGCTCATGAACCTCCCTCTAGCCTTCTTCCCTTTAGATTTGAAATTTCGAAGCGAAGCGAAACGAAGTGCAGGATAGATTAATAGTTCCTCTACTTCCCATTATTCATCTCAAGAATAAAATTTAAGTATCCATTTTTTAGCTTATTTTCAATTACAATCCTTGAAGCTCCTCTAGTCAATCAACTTCAGAGCTAGATTGCGAGAACTACGCGAACAAATTTGTTATGTTGCAGTAACCCTGGGGTAGATGGGGATGCAATCTATCATCTGTCCCCTGCGATCTGAGAGTTTGTATATATATACATATATACAGATTATACTAATATTACCGTCGTTATTCCTTTTTCCCGTTGTGGGTAATATCTTTCTCATACACTAGAACGGTAAACAAACCATTCGGATAGAAAATTGGAAAAACAGTACAGTGTCAATAAATAACTAGGCGCAGTAATTACTTGAGATATTTACCACACATCGCCTAATCCATAAAAACCGGTTTCTGTTGTTGCTTTTGGTTTTGGATATCTAGTAAAATAGTCAGGAGGCTGTTTTATATAATTAATAGTAGAAAATGCTGCGTCTATATGTAAAGCTCGAGGTCTAGAAGGAAGCGCGGTGTAGAATGCAGTGAGGGGAGGAGGTAGTTGAGTGGATGATATTCTGAATTTAGAGATTGGAGGAATATTAATACATGAATGCGGGCAGAAAGACAGGAACGAAGGGCATGTGAGTGCATCTTTGATACCTAGGGAGGTAGGAATTCAAAGACTTCGATATCGCATGTACGGCAAAAGCACTGTCCCTGCGAACACCCTCACAACTGCACCAAATGGAACTGTATATTTTCATAGCTAGCGTTCTATTTCTCTATGTTGAGCTTCTGTATAGGAATACTTGTTTTGAGTCTGGTTAACAGTGGTGCTCATCGTGTTGCGGGTACTTGATACCTAATGGTCGTCATCTTATAATGTATTTTTTGTTATTTTTTGCAAATTTTATTTACCGTCACCATGTATTTACTCATTTTTTGAATATACTCGATGCCGTAAGCGTCAAAAATCTTAATCTTTGGTACTAATCACTCCTAACTTTTCATCAAAATAGTATTTGTGGATTCTCGTCAGACTAGATCAGTTCATAATTCATACTCCTCTGCTGTGCTTACTTTCTCGGTATCTTCTGGTAAAGTTTTACTGTTATTGGATTCTCTTTTGATTGTCTTTAGTTCAGTTCTGTGTTCTCGGATATTACTCAGATACCCGCCTGATATTCTAAATTCTTCTAGTTGCGAGTCCAATTGCTTACTGATTCTATTCTGGGTACTTCATGTTCCCAGGTCATTCCTTATCGCCATTGATTGAAGCTTCACCTTATTTGTTTTCTGAAAACTCGGTAGAACATCCGGTGGACGGCTTAAATAGATAGGGAGATGGTTATTTGGAATAATGATTCACTACTTATTTTCTAAGTGAATACTGGTTTTCTACGCATTCATGAATTAGTCCATCTCATCCTTAGACACTTCCTCCGCCTACTGAGCCAGTCCCATCTCTCTTTTCAAACCCTTACAAGTCACAAACGCTATCATGCATCTTCCAAAATCACACTCGCCGCCTTCTCCGCAACCCCATAAACCGTCGCCTGTAAATGCGCCGCAACCAAAATCGGAATCACACTAGCATCCACAACTCTCAACCCTTTCACCCCATAAACCCTTAATCTCTCATCAACCACACCCCCTAAGTTCCTCGGCAATATTGATGCAGTCCCCACATGATGATTTTCACTTACTACCGTTTCCCTGATAAATTCTTCAATCTGCGCTTGAGTTGTGATATTAGGACCTGGATATGATTCCGTGAAGGAGATTGCTTGGAGGGAAGGAGCAGTTCTCATGAACCGCGTGTAGTTGAATGCGATAGTGAGCTGTAAGAGATCAATAGGATGGGAGAGATAATTTGGATTTAGGAGGGGGGGATCGAAGATTGAGGTTGAGGAAATGGAGACGCGGCCGCGGGAAAAGGGAAGTTGAATGGCGGGGGCTATGATGCTGTCGCCTACTATTATCTCTATGTGAGAGGTGTTTGTGGAGAGGAGATTAGAAGTTAGAATTTGGTGTTGAAGTTTGTACCCTGCTTGGACGGAAGATGGGGTGGATGGGAGTAGGTATTGGGATGAATTTTTGGAATGGGATAGGGATTGAAGTGTGTCGAAGGTTGAAGGTGCTGAGCCGTTAAGGATGGTGGCGAGAGGGAGAAATGAAAATACATTTGCGGAGGCCGTTGTGAAGGGTCCTAGAAATGATTTGACGTAAGTATATTATTTATTTTTTCCAAAGCTGTAAAATAAAATAACATACCATCCCTCTTCTCATCATATAACTCTCTCATCTCTGCAGCCCACGTAGCATTCGTACTCAAATTTCCATATTGAACCTCAATGTTCGGAGCTTTATTCCAGAACAAATTAGCATCACATTTCAAAATGCGATAAAATAACATACATACCGGGACTAAAAGTAGTAAACAACAAATGATCTTGATAATTCTCTCCTACGCCTTCACTCTCAACCACAACTTCAATTCCCAAATTCCCCAACACATCACGACGTCCTATTCCAGAGATCTGCAATAACTGCGGAGTTCTCTGTGCTCCCGCGCTAAGAATCACTTCTTTTCTAGCATTAACGGTATAACTCTCCTCATGCTTCCCAGCAGCATATTCCACCCCTATAGCATGTGATTCTGTCAAGTTCATAGAAGAATGTTTAGAAGAGGTAGAAGAAAAGAGAATTTTAGTAACGGTATGAGAAGTTAAAACATGTAAATTAGGATGGGTACTAATATCGGAAGTAGGTGGTAGGAAAGATTGAGATGTACTGCGTTCTTGAGAGTCAGGGGTTATAGAGAGTAGGAAGAAGAACACGCCGGTGTTGAGCCCGGAGAAAGAGTCTTTAATGTAAGAGACTCCGAGTTCGAGAAAGGCAGTTAGGAAGTTTTCTGCGGTCTCTTAGTCGAGATGCAGTGCTTCATCAAGATTTACGGTCACAATGCTGAAACTAAACAAGGAGGAAAAAGTAACTCACTGGTACTCGGCCAAATAAATCTCGAAAAGCCATTCTTCACCAACCCACCTTCTCCATGCACATCCGCATCATAACCAATTCCCCACTCCTGTACATCTTGTTTTTCAGCAGGTGTAAAATGTTCACTCTTCTTAAAATAAGGTAATAACCCCTTCCAATTCCACCCAGTATTTCCGAGTTCTTCCCAGTGATCATATTCAGCTGCATTTCCACGCATGAATATCATTCCGTTGATGGCGGAAGAACCACCGATTACCTTTCCAGCCGACAAATCTAGGGACCTATTTACGAGATGTGATTGTGGAGTTGAGGTTGTATTGTAGTCGTAGACTGTGTTTCTGGGACCCGTACCGAGGAAAGGGAGATTGGACGTGGTTATTAAAGGAATTGTTATGAAATCTTCATTTTTATGACTGGAGCTTTGTGAGTTTTGGTGCATTTCATAGGGGTTGAGAACGTACAAAGTGCCTGCTTCTATCACGAGGACAGTGATATCTGAAAAGATGTTAATTGGTGTGAATTGTGATGAATTTGAGGTGTGGAATTTACTTTTATTCTCCGACAGTCGATTTGCAACGACAAGTCCGCCTGTTCCTCCTCCTACAATCACATAATCATAACTTGGCAAGAGATCTGTTGACCTATCCAGAATCCTCCCTGAGGATACTGGGTCGCATATCACATTCTTAAAAACTGCTACAAGCAAAGCGCACGGCAAGTATAGCGAACGCATCTTGTTTATAATGAAAATTGTCAATGATAAGGAATGAGGTTACTGAAGTGTACCCCGTCTACTCATATATTATTTCACGATACTATGTAATACCCTATCGAGTGCCTACCCGAATCAAGACCGCATTACAGAAATATTTGTATATGATGGCTGAATAATGATTGGCTGAAAATGGATATGCATATGTCATGTAATGCTGACTGCAGTAACTGAGGCTTCGCTGCCGAATAGGAGTCAGCTGAAGTGTGCCGCCCCTTAGACATAGGCTTTGTCATGTAATAATGTGATCTTCGGCAAGAAGTTCTAACTCGTTCGGCTATTACTGAATGCGGAGGTGCTACATAAAATGGCTTGAGGGGATGTAACACTGACTAACAGCACTTCAACAGTTTGTTTACTAATCCCACTGCTCATGGGAAGATATACAATACACAGACGTTGATTTAAACATGCATGGGACATAATATAGTGGGAAACCACGGACAAAACAAATCTTTTTGTTGGAATGAAGGGTATGCTAATGATTAAACAATGAAATAGATAGCATGATTCCCACCGATCCCACCGACTTAAATCAAGTGGGAGCTATGGGATAGGGAGTATGAAGATCTATATAATTAGGAGGGATTCCCTCACTGTAGAGCTTCGTGCTCAAGATCAATCATTTAGTATACTCTACTATTAGTTACGAATTGCATTATTGTCATTACTTAAGTCCCTGCTTGACGCCTAGTTATAAACCACCTCGAGAGCCTAGAGCACTTCCACGTGATCTAGACGGCAAACCTCGTAACACAAATATTGATAAAAATTAAAAATTTAAAATAATTCAATTTTCAATCTATATTTTAATATATAATAAATACACATATTTAAATTTTCAATTAAATATATTTATTTTAAAGTATTAATTTTGATTTTTATAAAAGTAGTAAATTGTTTATTTTGGCTGTGAATTTTGAAAACGGCTGATAGGAGTTGGCACGGACTGTAAAGTGCGAGTGGTGTTTGTCGCCGAAGGCATCAACGTCTTGCTGAGAATAACAAAGAGGTAGCGTAAGTTTTCCATTGTCATTAACTGAGTTGCTGCGTCTCCCTGGAGCATCCAAGTCCGAATTTTTACAGAATCAGGGCAAACGGAAGCATCAACGCCCCCACTTTGATGCAAAAACAAAGTAGCAACTTTTTTACGAATGATACATTGCAAGGAAGTCCCCTCCGAAATCTTGCGTAGCAAAAAATATATACCGTTGCGTAAATATTGTTCTGCGGACGGGTTGACTACCGGGAGCAGAGTTGGATGTCCATGAATATTGAGAGCAAATAATCTCGAAGGCGTCAAAATGATGAGGGATGAAGAGGATCAGAACGTCTAATGTGGAAGAATGGTGGTAAATAATGAGCAGTGATGGATAGGTGAATTCGATGTGTCTGCCATGAGAAAATTGGATACGATATAGAATTTTAGTATGATAGAGAATATTGGACAGGTCTGGATGAGAATTCCATGCATTTGTTTGACCAGAATTGAAGAGCGGGGACAAGCCATATAAACATGAGTTTGAAAACTTATGTATGAATATATAAAATTGGAAGCGGCTACATACCGGGGCAAGTTATCCCAACCGGCAGTCTTTGATAACCAAATTAACCAGCTAGAAATACTGCAGTAAAGTCCGAGATCAAAATCGCCAAAAATATTGGAGCTATTTTGGGAATAATTTAACAGAGATATATATGCAATGCCATCCAGAACATTGTCTTTCCGAACTTGGAAGATTGACGCCACGCAAAACAAAATTGTGTTCCCGTACCAAGTTGACATCTGGATCTTATCTATTGTCAGATTTCAAAAACTGTCGAAAGCAAAGCTATATGGCAGGAGGCAGTACATATTTTCACATTTTGAAACTATTATCCTGGCAGACATACATTGTGTATATGAAATCAGACAACAGATTCTCGAAATTTGCTGGGCTGCTGGAACTTTCATTCATGTACAGTGCCAGATTTTGCAAAGCGGCGGAGCTGCTAACTGAGAGAAGACAAGAGAATAGAAGGCTCTTAGATGTCTAAGAGGTCAAGTAGATCTCATTGCTCTTAACATATAGACTACTCTGTTCTTCAACAGAAACGAGAAACACGTTCACTGGTTGACAAGTAGATATCCATCTTCATATCAGTCATTGATGCTCCAGTACATGTAGATCATTCGTCACAGTTTTCAACATCTCGTTCGACTTCGAACATTGACTAATCACGATAGAAGTTCATTATTGCTCAGTTTCTAGTACATGAATGCTGCGACTGTGGATGGCTCTGTATTGCTGCGAATCACCCACAACCTTCGGAGATTAAAATTAACCGGTTATCACCGAAACCCCCTGTTCTTTCCGGAACAGAAGCTCAAACCACAAGATCAACCAACATCCCATATTCAACATCCAACATCCTCTCTACCCCTCAATTTCACAGCCATGAGAATGAGAAACTTACCTACTCTTGTTCGTGAAAAATTCAAAGCTGCTCAAGTTGCTGGCGATATAACCTATTCTCCAACTCAATTGGCCATTTTGCATTGCAATTCATTACCAGTAAGGCTTATTGTGAATGTCCCTCAATACCGAACGCCTACTGATGTCACTGTCGATGTAGTTTCAATTACGGTACTCTCCTGCCCTGGCACATAAGCCCAAGTCCGACAAGCCCAAAGATATAACTCAAAAACCATTCGATCCATTTCTTGATCCGCCCCAATCGTTGCTTGTCGCCGAGGTTGGCTCGCACAACCTCGTACTCAATAAATTCCCCGTTATACCGGATCATTTCATTCTTGCAACAAAAGAGTTCGAAGAACAAACCCATTTGTTGGAAGAGGCAGATTTTAAGGCGGCGTATGATTGTCTAAAATCATACCATACACAAGGGGAAGAACTGTTTGGGTTCTTTAACTCGGGGGAGCACTCTGGCGCATCCCAGCCACATAGACACATACAATTCATTCCGGTCGAATCCATGAGGACAGGACTCGACCAAGAGGCAAAATGGTCTCCATTGGCAGACAGTCTTACTGAGACACCTGCACCAGGTAACTGCCCTGCGTCCTTACAAAAATATGGCTGACACCTCATCAAGAGTTACCGTTCACATACTTCGCTGCACCTCTCCCAGTTGATATTCAACCGTCGGATTTGCATGCAACCTACGTAGGATTACATCAGAAGGCTTGCCAACTAATGGGAACTGCTTCTCCTGTGAATCATGTGACGGAATCGCCCATTAGCTATAACCTCGGACTCACCCATAAGTCTATAGTGTTATGTCCGCGGACGGCCGAAGGGCTCTCAATCAAGGATGCCAATGGCGATACCTTGGGATCCGTTGCTTTGAACGGAACGCTTCTAGCAGGTACACTACTGGTGAAGAGTGAAACTGAATGGAATGCCGTGCGCAAGGATGAGAAGATCCTTCTTGATGTCCTCAAGACAATTGGGATACCTACGAATACAATCGATTCAAAGTATCTACCTTCTAACTCTAACACCTTCGATAATCTAGTAGACGGAAAGATATAGTATTGAGGGCGCATCATTGGGAATAAGCTTAAATTTCTGTTCATTGAGACATGTTGATAACACAAAGCCCCCCTACCATTACCTTTCTACATGCGTACACAATCAATTAACTCACTCGACCAGTTAATGGTATTATTTCCACGTCATATGCTGCATCCAGATCCCTAGACTAACAAATTCTTTGTGGCTTTGAATAACAAACTCACTGAGCCAATATCTCTTATCCTTCGCTCCAAGGATACTTTCCCTGGGGACTTGGCACACTCTCACGTCCCTTCGTCAGCATTTTTTAGTGCAACCCACCGTTTTCGACAGGTGGCATTACCAAAACGATACGATCCCCCGTTATCAGCGATGTACTCAGCGACTTTCTTCCACTCTCCTTGTGGCTCCGAGCCGTCACTCATGCCACGCCCAATTTCCTTTACCGCTTTGCTCAATAGTCGTAACTACAGCCATACATTAGCCTCACCATCTTTGCGAAATCCGAGAGTTTACATACATCATTTTCTGTCCATTCTGGTTTCCTAACTCGATCTTTCTTGTCTTTAGTTAGGGTGCGAAAGCGACCTCTGAGCGTGGATTCCGCAGCTGTAAATTTTCCGCTGGAACGAATCGTCTTGTATGACATGCCTGCCCGCCTTGACCGGACTAAAAATTCATTCTGTTCGGACCGACCACGGAGTTTTGCGTCACCGATTGTGGACGGTGGTACACCCTTAAGCACATCGTTCTTGGGTGTTGTAGCTACAACTGGACCCTTGATTGGTGTTCGACTGCGAGTATTTGCAACTGCACTGATAATCGGGGTTCCGGCTCTCCCGCGTCGATGCTTTGCTGGCCTGTTTGTTACCAGTTGAGGTTCGAGGTGGTTTTCCGGATCTATTCTATCATTCGACTGTCCGAGAATTGCCGCATTACTATTTCGAGTAGGCCTCGAATTTGGAAGCATCTGTCGAGCACGCGTCTGACGGGCTTGGTCCACCACTGATTGGCCCTTCGTAGGGGAAGGACTTGGAGTATATTCTGGACTACTTGCAACCGCAGTGGACTTCGACGAATATGTCGAGATTTGACTAGATTCCGTGGTAGCAATAGAGATGGTTGAGGCGAATGATGCGCTGAGGTTCAACGCTTTAGGTCTGACAGTACTCGGAATGAACGGACTTGGTGGCCAGTTGCTGGCTGGCAAATATGTATGATTCCAATTGTCCGCCGTACTCTCACCCTGGTCATCTTGCGCTCTGGGTAGGCCATCGGAAAAGCTTGGTATCTCATAAAAGCCCAACCCTGAGATCCCACCAGTATGATTGTTGATACGGTCCATATGGTTAACACCTCGATCCGACCACCAACCACTTACTAAGCCCTCATGCGCAACGGCGGACCTTGACTCAATAGACTCGTATGTATTGGCTAAGCTCACGGTCGATGTGGAGAGGTCACTATAGGTTGCATTCGGGCTTGTGCTATCACTGTTGAAATAGTGGATTGCCGTACTAGTAGCTGGGGATGATACCTGAACCATTGATGATGGCGTTGAACTTCTGCAATTTTGAAAAGCTGCAAAGCTTCTGCGCCCCTGGTCCATGCTCATATGTGAGTAATCTGTTCCTAGTGTTGGACTTGAACCATAATCTTGGACCATGCTAGGTGCGGGATGTAATGGAATGGAAAATGAATGTGCTCTATTTGGTTCTTGTCGTGGCTGTATGACTGCGTGTGTAGACTTTCTTTGCGGCTGGATTTCCTGGTCTGTGAAAAGCGGTGTCGTGTCTTGACAGAAGTCACCACTTGTATTCTGAAACTACTCGGGGTCAGTTCAACTGCAAGCTTTATTTTGTTTCTTTTGGATTGCTTACCAGCGGGAAGTTTTTGTACTCTCGAAAGGTTTCAAAGTTTTGCTCCCAACCTCCTGGCGTCGATGGATTGTTGATACTCCACGCGTTATTGCTATTCATCTCGAAAAATGACTCTTGAACTGGAATCATGCAATGATTTGCGACAAAGACATCGAAGCCGTTCGAGATGATTCGGGGCTCCGCGTTGTTTAACATAACTTTCACGCTTGACCGCTATCTTGACTAATTTCCATGTACGTTTCCGACCTGTATTTCAACTACAGGATGCACTCCAACAATTCAAATTTCATCATAACTCTGCATATGCCATGCAAGAATGATGTAGACAGCCCTAACTAAATGTTAAAGTGGTCAAGCTAACTGGGCACTAAATCCTCTCCTTGCGACTTTGGCGAGGCGGGGAGAATCTTTTGACACCCAATCAAGATTGCTATTGAATGATCAGTCTAAGAGGCTTTTACCTGTACTGACGAAAGTCAAAAGAGAAGTGGAAAATTAACTCACATTCAATGTCGTTATATATGATCCAGTCCACAAGTGTTGGCCGATATGCGGAAGACTTATGCAAGTTATCACCGCACAGCTCTATATCTCATAGATCAGAAAATAATTGCATCGACTACAATGATCGGATCGAGCGCTATGCTATTGGATTACTTAACTTCAAGAGACTCCGAGGAAGGAAGCTCAGATCAACCCCATGTCCCGGATTGCACTTGTTACTTTTAGCAGGTCATAGCTCTCTTCATTACGACTTTTCAAAAGTTCGGAATCCCTGCAAATCTTTATCATTGTAAGTTGGGTTTTTTACTGCCTAGCTCTGTTGCCGCAACTGCCCGAAGCATTACCCACAATCGTTCATCTTTTTATGGTAACGAAGGAACCGGATGGATACTTGCATACTTCCTACCGAACTTGACGGCACAAAAAGAAAGCCCTAGTACTGGACAAAATTGAAACTGACCGGCGCTTGAGTCGTTATGTCGTTGGGAGTTAATACTATTTTGACGCCACTAATACCCAAAGCTTCCTCTCGCAAGCTCTCTAATTCATAGGGCACGGTAGCTTGAAAGTATTGAAGATCTCTTCTTGGTGGCATAGAGTCTGCGAATTCCTATCCGGTCTTTGCCGATGATTCGTTACACAAGGTCTTTAGTTCCCAACTTGTCAATAAGGTCTACCGGCATTTGGGAAACCCTTTCTGCTATGCCATGCAGGATACTGTACGTGCAGGTAGTTGCACCTTGACAACTTAGTTCCAGCCAATATTTGCAATCTCCAGATTCCCATGTTCTCCACCTCACGGAGAATGCCATCCAAAGATCAACACTCATTTGCGTTAGTTGATATTATAGATCGGCTTGTACTCCAGTGCTGCTGCACCGCAACGCGCCAATACTTGCTAATTTACATGCGATTCAGACCCTTATTTCTCAAGTTACTCCGGAGATTAAGTCTGTCACATCATCTGTCATATTCAAAAACAGTTGCTTAGTGCCACCATCGGACTCGGGCGCCGCATTGATATATAACAAAGATATGTTTGGTTCGGAGAGTGGCCCATGATTCAAAGAAGTAATTGACACCACATGGCAAAAGAGCAAAAACCTTCCGCGTGTGGTAGCAGCCCGACAAGGATTCCTTGCGCGGGTGTTCGCATACACCAAGCGCACCCCTTTATACACAGTAGAAGCTGCATGAAAGTTCAACCAATATGGCAATGTCATTATTTGGCGGATATTATGGCTGGAAAACGCGGCTAATATTTAAATCTCAAGCGTTCATTTGGAAATATTATGGACAGGCTCGCATGGAGGAGTTGACGTTGCAATGGCTGGCACATCTATTGGCTACAACCATGACCTTGTGAGTTTGGTATTACCAAGTCTCCTGTGACCTGTGTCTTTTCAATTCATTTTCATCGACGATGACACCCCTGCATTTTCGGCCCAGTGGCCAGAGTCAACAGCTACCTGGTTGTAGTGACAGATCAAGGTGGCTTCCGAAGTTCCAATCTCTATAGGCTTGTTACACGATGTAGTATAGCCCTCTCCGTCGAGTTTTTATTCTTGCGGATCTTTTCCAGTTCCGTTCTGCGAAGTTTTACTTATCTTGTGATATGCACCACGAGCGCAATTGACCTTTCACATCTCCACTCATGCTAGGGGAAAGATAGAGAAGATCCGTAGCTCTCTTGGTGAGACCATGGCAATTAGATGGAAATAAGATGCCAAGAGATGGTAATGCATTTCCCTGATTTCCCTAACTCAAACGGACGGTGAACTAATCTGGAAACCAGTGGATCATTCTACAGATTACACAATTAAGGAAAAGAGAGAAAGATTCCAAATACTTTAGTAGCTAACCATAGAATTAGCTGGAACAGAAACCAATTTTTACGGGAAATCCACGATGTACTCTCAAGTAAGGAAATTTACATCCTTAGTTAGATAGTCTTGCATTTTTGGTTTAGTCTGCCATTTTCAAAATAAGCGTTCCTGCTTTTCCACGGAGACAAAAAGTATTCGCAGTGAGGATATTAAGAAAAGACACTTCCTTCAGTGCCGGCGGATTAAGAGCCGGATGGTCGTACTGCATCGACTCTTCGGTGCTCTGTTTACGGTAGGGTAGGACAGGAAGCCCTTTCGTGTAACATATTTTCTTCTGAGCTCGCATACGGCATTTATTAGATTGATTGCCTACTTTCAAGGACTGCAAGCCAAGAAAGCCATGGCGTCTAGAAATTCCTTGATGTGAGCTACCTACCTAGTAGTTTCTTTTTCAGATCCGTTGATATTTCGGATGGATAGTAAGATGTTACGTCAGATGGTAAGTACTTATTTACTTTTGATTTTTATTCTGATGGATTTGTTTTATCTCTTTTAATATCAAGATCAATAAGTTTATTTTTGATTTTTTATATATTATTAATTAAATATAGAAATTTGTAAATCAAATGTAATACATATATATTTATATTTTAATAAACTTATAATATAAATAATTTATAAATAAAAACTACTCTTGATTGTTTATTCTCTACTCTTGACACCCTACCCTCCACTCATCATTCATTTATTCATTCAAGGACTTCATTTGTGGCCTCACTTTACCCGTATACTTCTTCTTATTCTCTAGTTCAGTTCAGCCTAGTGTTGCCATTCCAGGGTGGTTTGGTTTTGATCCTTGCTGTGTATTAGTATGATTAATCTACAATATTTTATTTACTCTCTGCATAAGTAATCATTCTCATCACATTTAAACACCTTTTGCTATATAGGCTGTTTCTTAAATTACATCACTACATGCATTTCCCATCCTCGTGGCTTTTGTCGTTCTCATTCTCGTTCTCATTTATGATGCTCAACTTAATGTGGTTTCTGAATGGCAATCGAACCTAATCTGTCATGACATTGTTAACTCATTTAAGAGCCACAGACATAGCCAGCCACAGCCATTGATTAGCTACGTATGATTACATGTGCCTCATTTTTCTTACATTCTACTCTCTCATCGCACCACCCCACCATCACACCATTCACACCATTCACACCATTTAAATCCAATTACCCTCACTCATACTCATCCGGTTTTCATAACTCACATTTATATTTCCCTCCCTCATATTCATAGCATTAACCTCATAATCATCAAAAGTATTTCCGACGTCTCCTCCTTCGGCTCCGCTTTGGTCGCTCTGCTGGCTCTGCTGATGATAATGCCGATGCAAAGCCACCAGCTCTATTGCACCTCCATCTAAACCCCTATCCTTATCCCATGACTTCAGATCTCCATCATTTTGACCAGTTTCATCATCCTCCGTCATACTTAATTCCATCATTTCCGCCATTCTTTCTGGGGAAAGAAGTCTATGTTTCAGTTTCGCTCTTTTCTCTGGAATACATAGTTTTTCGATAAGAGTCTCTTTGGCGGGAGATGGAGTACGACGCATCCATTCAGATTCTGTAAGAGAAAGAGTGACTGAGTTTTCATCACTCATGATGCTCGTATATGATTTTTCGTTCACACCTTGGATCGCGGATTCCTTTCCTGGTGGGATTTTGAATGGCGAGGGCTTACCTGACGAGTGTTTTGGTTTGCGGTTGGTGACATTTGATAGAGGGAAAGAAGTTTGGATTGGCGATGATGAGATAATTCCTTGTCTCTTGGACTATTCACACAAGATATCAGTACTCTCTCCCGCCATTCTGAAGAGGAAGAGGGGCAAGAAAAGCTTGGGGATATAACTAGGGAAAAGAAGGAACGAGGAAGGAATGAGAAAATGATTCGCAGCATACATCAGTTCTAGTTGGGGGCGGTGATAAAGCTGACACACCCTCAAAGTCATGATCTTGTTCAAAATGGCCTTCGATGTCTTCTTCGTATGCTATAGATATTTCAGAAATATCCGAGTCAATAGAGACAGCAATTGCGGTTCCGATAATTGGCTCTGGAGATGACTGGTCTCTGTCAATATATGAAAGCAATGAAGGGGTAACAGATGGTGCGCGAGATGTTGCTGATGCACGAGATGCCGCTGATGAATTTCTACTTGGTATCTCTGGTAAAGGTCTATTTTTGTAATTGGTAGCCAACCATTCATGCGACGATGTTGATCCAGCCCCATCGATGGATAGCGCAGTGAATACCGACATTGGCATAATTCTTCTCTCAATTTCCTTATCCTTCGGTACTGAGGTATAAAAAGGATCAGGTTCAATGGCAGGGTCCGTGGGTACAATAAATGCATCTCTATGGTCTTTCTTGGCCGTCAACGATAGTGTTAATGGTTTTATATCAAAGGCTCGTGACATCCAAGGTCGTCTTTGATCAGGGGAATATGGACTACCACTATGGTGGAGCGGAGGATATGCAATTTGTAGAGAATCGTGTACCTGATCACTTGTGTACACCTTGCCCAAATACTTCGTTGGAGTATGTGGCGATTTAGTCGTATGATCCAATAGCGGCATACTCTCACTCGGGACCATTAGGTATCTAGCCATGCTTGGAACTTGGGCTTGAAGAATTCTAGGGTGGTCGGCAGGTATAAGATGCAATACCTGCAGACTCTCCCAGCTCCTGTAGTGGAATTTGAATGTGGCAAATGGATTATCCTTGGCATCCTTGAGATGCCAATCGTAGTATCTCGCATCTTGCGGTTTCTCTACAAGTCCATGGTTTGGCATACTACATGATATTAGCCGGCAAAGACTCTCAAGTTTCTCACACATAGCTAGATATGAAAAGCCTACATATTAAGACTTGGAAACTCACACAACACCATATTTTGACTGATCTTTATATTGTTCCAGTTTAGGGTTTCTCCTCTTGCGACCGCGGGCACGAAAAACCTTGATTTCAATCAAACCACCATCATCCGCGGCACCACGACATCCATCTTCCTGACGAAAGAAAAATGGTCTAAATTCCGTGCCAGGATTTTTGTAAGTTGTTTTGCCCTCCTTGTAATCCCATTCTGCACCTGGCTCGAATAAGGCTTTCATAACTTGGCCGGTCGGTCGTGTCTTCGAATTTGTTCCCCAAGATGTAATATGTCGACCATTCATGTATAATTTGAAGTAAAACCATTGACTCTGATCCGCCGCGTCGCAGACGTTGTAACGTACAAAAAATCGAGATCCTAATTGGGAATTAAACATGCACGCGTTGTTCCTCTTGACATTGGGGATTCTCACCTGATGCTGATGGAATATAGACCGAAATGATTGAGGATTGTCTACCAAGTAAACGATCGGCCTTGCTGTCGTTAGCTTTAGTAGCGGGTGAGTGTCCATGACCTTCGAAAGCTTCTCTGTCCAATTTTGGTGATCGAAATGTGAATTGAGTACTTTCTGGATGCGGAAATTCTGGATGCATTTTCAACTCCCATTGCGAAATAATATGCAACTTGATTCCTTTATGCGCCGGCATCTTGATAAAATGGCTGGAGATTGTGCTTTGAAATTCGAAGCTTTTGAAAATGTTAAGATTTTATCGCGAGAATTATTTTTTCCGATACGTCTTCTTTTCTTTTCGCAATGGTATTAATGTGAATTCGAAATGAAGAAATGAGTGAATGGCATTGATAGAAAAGGAAGTCCGAGGAGTTCGGATTGAAAAAGAACCTTACGATTCATTGAAATAGAAGTAGAAGTTGCCATATGGAAGTAGCGAAGTTCACTTTATTATCGGGACGTGAACCAATTTTTGAACATCACTCCCAACATGAAAGTAATCCTGCGTAAATTCAGACTTCGTAGATTCAGACTTCACTTCAATATTTGGAGTTCTCGCCTCATTTGATACCCACCGTAAGAGATTAAGATAGTGATAGCCATGTGTAGAATTCACTTGTTCATGGCTCAAGATTCTCTCCTCCTTCCTCCCAGTTTCAGACGATGCCTGATTCCCAATTGAGTCTTCTAAGCTTCGATTTATATCACACATGGGAGCATATGAGCATCCCAAGAATAGGCTCTAGACGAAACATATTTATACCAAGGATGTCAAGAAACGACCAAGAGGAAGAGCCCCAGGAAAATGAAACCTAAGTTGCAAGAAGTCTGGAGAAACACAGCAAGATTCCGGCCCGCCATATATGTCGCCGGTGCTTCCCTGGAAAGCTAAGTTAGTAATCAGGTCGGAAGTTTTAGATGGGTACAATGGTTTGGATGAATTTAGTGGTTTGCACCATACATCCGCAGATCAGGTATAAATACGTCTGATTGTAAATACCTCTCTATACCACTGACATCAACATGTGGTGGAAGGGATTTATGCATGGCTGGTGCATTCCGCAATAGAATATCGAGAGCTCCTAGCTTTCACAGATGAAATGTACGACGCCAAAAATAAGAAATTTTAGCACCATGAAAGTGGTATTCTTACCTCTGTCCCAGACATGCAACACGAATCACCACCGTCCATTTCAATGATACGCCACTAATCAAGGGCACAAAATGCTTTTGCAAGTACTGGCATTGATCATAATCGCTCCTAATTTACAACTCCCACACATCCTGATTGCAGTACTGTCACTTCAATCCCAGCACCTTCTTAGTATCTTCTTCTTTATCTAGCAACCCCAAATTCCTCACGACGCCTGCCTTTGGCGCATCATCTCGGGGATTCGCTTGTTCGGCCTTGTGGTAGGCGGCTTGAATTGCCATTGTTCTGGCATGCTAATCATAAGAAATACTGGGTCAGTAAATGATTCGAGGGTTTGTTGCCGGATGCCGCCAAGTTATGTAATCCATGAACACCAACCTCCTTCTTGTGATGTAGGCACTCATAATAATCCTCCAATACCGGCGCGCAAACCCTCTTTCCTGCATCGCTCTCTGTAGAGGTGTTTACGACGTAGCAAGCTAAGACTTCTTGCCAGAAAGGGAAGCATCGGGAAGGACCTTGAGAACCCATTTGTTAGCCATTGAGCTCATTTAAGTTTTCCATCTTCTGCCATTCCTCTGTATGGTAAGTTCAATACATACCCCCATTGAGACCGTAACCAGATGCCATTGTTTGTGTTGGATTGTGAAATTTGGAGGGGTTGAGGTTGTCGATGTGATGTTCAACTACAAGTAACAATTCACGCTAGCCATACAAGGGTTATATGCATGGGTGCCTTTAATACTAGGCGAAGTCTCCAGTGGGAGCTCCCACCTGCCATTCCGACAGATCATTTATTTTGATACAACAAAATTCAATACTTTTGGGTAACACGATATAAGGGCAGCAATGTCAAACCCGGACTTGGAGCCTGCGACGGTTCTCTGGTTAGCTGTAGAATTTACAACCAGAGGAGATTTAAGACTTCTGCGAGCTCTTGTATCGCGATATCGAAATGTTCTACGGAATGAGCTTCTCTTGCGCATACTTCTCACCCATCTACCAGAATGTTTGGAAGCTTCCAAATATGTGCCATTTCTACAGGATCTCGTATCAGGAAAACCGATTGATAATTCTCAAGATCCCATTGATTTGAGCGCAATGAAGGGTATAAACCCCGCAGAAGTAAATAAGAAAGCCCGGAAACTACGACTTCTGCCTCTACGATGGAAAGATGCGCCGTTGGATGTCCCCGATGACCACTTGATTTTGTTCTTGATGCAAAGAGCATTACTAGTTGACGAAAACACTGGCCTACTCAGTGAAGTCCTGAAATTACTGACTCCATTCTTAAGCTATTCATCATATCTACGGACCTGGACAATTTCTACCGTTTTACCCCTCCTACGTCTCAATTACGAATACTACTCTGGTGCTCAGCCAATCCTCACCATTCGCGAGTTTCAAGCTTTAGACGATAGCAAAGGAACAAAGTATTTGCTCTCAAAGACCGGAAAGGATTCAGCTACATTGACGGAGGAGAATAAGCCCGTGGGACGGGACTTGCGTGGATTGACTGGTCCATGGCTTTATGGTGACAATAGGTGGAAGAGAAGAAAAGTTCAAGATGAAACTACAGCGCAGTCTCAAGCAGCAGTATCATTGGAACAAGCAGGCATGATAAATCATAAATATGCTGGTTGGGAAATGGTATTTGCATGGATTATCGCTGAAGCAGGTATATCTTGGCCAACGGCTGTCAAGGCTGTTGAACAATGGGATGGACCGGGAGACGTAGATCTAGGAGGTTTTGATGATGGAACGGAATGGTTGGACGAAGAAGATCAACGCCACTTAGAACAACGATACGCAAAAGCGGCTCTTGCGACAGCTTACCTTATCCCTGAAAGCTCCATTGAGGCTTTGACGGGTGTTCATCGAATCCTTTCCAGGATTCTCACATTACTTGAAATGGATAAGATGCCTACATTAGAAGCAGCTGCTAACCTATTAACTCCTATACCTATCCTGGAAAAAAGTCGTTTATCCATCAGAAACGCAAAATTTCTTCGGAATAACCATTTAGAAGAGAAAAATGCTTTGACAAATCCAAATGAACCATCCATCCATTTACTACTGGCATTACTTATTAGTGCATATCTTCTTACTAGGGTCGGGGAGGGATGCAATGTTCAGAGAGCTGGAGAGCTTGCTTTACTTCAAGATGAACGCGAGCAAATGATGACTTTCAGGGGATTCCTCACCTCGTTTAGTCACCCTCCCAGTACAGATGATCGATTTTGGATCAGGATGAGAAATGAATTGCTATGGCTAAGGGATTGGGGAGCCGGAGAGCTTGAGGATACCACCGATCCCAGTCGTGGTAGGGGTGTTTTCGGTCGGATTCACAAAGAGCTCATCGAGGTAGAATTCTTCAAGCTTCTTCTTGTCAATAGCCGTATGTAACTCATCCACTTCCGTATGTGCAATTTCAGTTATTGACCGTCTCATCTAGGATATACACTCGCCAAATCTATTTATGAGACTTCGCCAGAGAAACCTCTACCAAGAGAATATTTGCAACATGCCATCTTGACCGCGGCTGAGAATGCCTATGATAATGCCACAAATCCTAACAAGTCTAGGGGCGGCGTTAAGAAATGTGAGGAGATGTAAGTATTTTCTACACTTTTACACATTCCCTTGAAGCATTTATCAATTATCTTTCAACCATCACATCGGCGAAAGTATATTTTTTTATATTGGTCAACACTTTTCATTGGTGTTCACATAAAAAGCTCAATCCATGGTCATGACTCAGAACCTTCGATGAAATTTCTGCCTCTACTATCCATATTTTAGACTAATTGAATGTGGGGATTGATGAGAGCATTGCTTTCAGGAGCAGGCGTCATCAAGACGCTCTTTCGCACACTATTATCTTCATCAAAATGCTAACTTATTCCGTTAGTCTTAATGCATTTCCCGATACATTAAGCGACCACCACCAAACTCAAGAACTGCACAATCTTGTTCTCGTTACGGACGAGATAGGTCGATACAGCTTGGTTCTGAAACAAGGACAACCTTTCCTACCAGTCAATCTACGTGTAAATAGTGACCCCCTGTCAATCTTGAACAAGATACTCGAACAGAACGACAAGAGCTATACCCAAATCAACGAGTTTATTCGGATGGCTCGAGAAATGGTTAAGGCAGGTTTAACCATACCAGTTCCAGTTGGATACCCTGTAACTCCTGATTTGAAATTCAAAATTGCCGAAAAGCGTGTGATCAGTATGTGTATTGATATTGCTCTTGCGGAAGATGATTTCGAAACAGCTTATTCTTATGTTGTTACCCGTCTTAAGGCTATTGGTCGTCAAGCCCATACTCGCATGCCAGAACTTGAGCGGAACAATACGGGATGCGTTGGTCAACGTCCACCTAAGCCTATTGATGATTGGTCATGGCGTGCAGCTTTACAAGCAGGTAAATATCGTCGAAACGCTCAAACGACACGAGCCACTCATCTTGGCAATACTAGTGGAAATCCAGAGATTAGACATCTGCAACAGAGAATGGATTGCTTGGCCCAAGCTCTACGAATGGCCCCAAGGGATACTTTACAGGAGGTCTTGAATGCATATCGCAGATGTGAGGAAGAGCTCGATACACAGATCAAGCAAGAAGCAGAGCAGGAAGAAGCTTGGGATGAGAAAGCCGATGACAAAAGCATGCCAGGTGGTTATGCACCTACTCCTGCCAGACAATATTCCAATGCTAGAACTCCTCGAAGGAACAAGAATGAAGAGGCTCCTGTATCCTTTTTCGATCTCTCAAAAGAAAGTATTACCCGTGCACAAACTGGTTTATCTGCTTTATCAATGTTCAGGGGTCAATCAAAGCGTTCTGAACCAAAGAACGACAACATGCCCGCCCAGGCAGAAGCCCCAGCTGCAGTTCTCAATGAAACTTCGAGTGGAAGAACATCGATTAGGAAGAGGGATCAACTTCGAAATGCTGCAGTTGGTACTTTAGCCGGAGGCATTGGTTGGTTGATCAATGCGCCATCAATTAACACCAGTGCTGGATCCTCTGAACGTGGAAACGGACATTCAAGAAACTCTAGTGCAGGTACTAATAGAAGTCACGAGGTTCCTCAGGTGAAAGAGGATAAGCAGGACAATGATGAAATTTCTTGGGATGACGATGACGCATGGTAAATAGGATAGATGGACTCTTTCGTAAATAGGTGTTATTCTATGGATGGTTTTATACATAAAAAATGGCGCTAGGTTTTATATGGGCATGGGATAACCAAGAGCTGGATGGGTAGGGGTTACTGGGACGGATGGTCTGACCTAAAATTGGAGTTTTATCATTACCACTTGAATCTTCTATGTATCATATTGCAAAGGAAGGATGAATATATTCATTAACTGCATAACTTACTGTATCTGATATGGCCAAGGGTCAATCAATATATTGATAGTTCTAATCTTCCTGTGTATTCTATATAAGCTCTCAATATCCTCCGCATATCGAAAGGGCAATACTCTCTCGTATATACAGCAAGAGGGTAATGATATCTTCTCATGATTTTCCCTCTTCATTGATCCTTTGTAAGTCTTATGTTTGGTATTCGTCATAATCTTACATGTCCTCTTAATTTCCAACTAATGCAACAATCAGAAAAAGGAAAAGGAATGTAAATACACGGAATTCAGAAGATATATAAACATCAATATAAGCCCAAATTTCTCCAGCTCATTTGTTGGTTTTGGTTCTCTGGAACTACCTGGGGGTGTCTGCTCTCTGGCTTCTTGGGCAGATATATTTTTAAGACCTTTCGGACTTTTTTTTTGATATTCTGATGAATGCCCTTTTGGGGGGGGGGGGGGGTGGGAAGGTTACCATCAAAATACTTCTAGAGTAGTTGTTCAGCTATAATGAGAGGAAGTCAGCCATCCCTCGAAGTGGTCTTCCACAGCTTGAATTTGTTTGATGATTACTAGTGTTTTGAATATTCATCAGCTGATTATTTGTGCAGTTTTATCAGGAAGCTCGGGTTCCGGGCAGGTAATAAATAATTAAACTCTGGATTCTAGAATAACTTGTTGGTTTTGGGCGAGATATAAGGCGGGAAACTAGTCATGCGGCAAGTATAATTCATTGGTTGGGCTATTCTAGCGGAAACGGAGGTTTTAATCTTCATAGCTCTGGTACCGAGGGATTAAGAGTGTTTATGGTCTTTGAGTGATGCTTTTTTCTTTGTATAGCTCTTGAGAGACTTTTGGTTCATTTTGGTTGATGATGAAGTTTGGAAGAATTTCATGAACACGCATTGTTTCTAGAAGCAGCTTGCATATACATGCAGCTAAGCATGTTCTGTGTCAATTACGTACAGATAGATAGATGTATAAGAAGCCTTGAGGTCGAGTGACGGGGCGCTGCGAATGACAAGGTAAATATATTCATGCATACGAATCCCCGCAGTCTGGATACGAAATAGAGCGAGGGTTGTATTTGAACCACCTGCATTGGCAATAGAGATTTGAAGAAGCCAAACTTGTCGTAAGACCTCTTAATCATCGGGGTAGAAGATAACAGATTCTTCTGCGACATGTTCCTTGCCGAGAGTCACTAGTTGCCTAAATTTCTGTAAGGCTTTTTGCTGATGAGTTGTTATACTGTGTAAGCTTTGTTAGTTCATTTATTTAAATTCTCTTGGGTTGAATTTTTGAAGTATATATATATCCTGCTGCTCAAGAACTGAACGCGGAAGCTGGACTGGGTTCTTGATCTGTTATATTGACTTTTCCATTGGTGTTCTCCGTATCGCTCTCATATTTGGGTGAAAGTAGTCCCCAGTCATCTACGCCCAGTGCTTTTCTATTTTCAGCAACAGCAGCAGCAGGAGTAGTAGTTCCAGTGAACCTTCTGTCACGCAGCGATCAAATAACAATCGTGACACAAGGAGCTGCTTGCAGTTAAAAGCTTATTCAATGACGACTACCAAGTCGAACCAGGTGCGACCAGAGATTGATAGGAGCGAATTAAAGGCCGATAATGTGTGATTGCTTGGTAGTAGTTAGGTTCTCGTTCGAGATAATCTCAAACAGATAATAGATTTTAATCTAAGCGAAAGCTTTCTACGACAAACTACTCTTGGAATTGAAATTTGACAGAGGATTTCCCATATTAGGAAAAAGTCAGCTCAGTTAAACGCGGCAGGTTATTATTATTAATAATGTGAAACTAGATGGTGGTAACTGGGTACTTGCTATGCGAACGTGCCATGAAAGAAAAACGACGATTTTTCTCCCCGCCTATGATAAAAGCTCCAGGACTAGCTAGTTTTTTCTCCTTATTACTTGTGCTAATTAAGTCTCGTGAAGCACATCAGTCCCGTGAAAGTAGCAGATTTCTTAAGTCAAGGTGCTTCCGTAAGAAGGAAAAGAAAAGAATTAGATCGAGGAATTGAATAAGATTTTGATTTGATAAGCAGAAGTGAGAAAGATAAAGAAAGACGAAAAACAAAAATTAAACCTGCTTATGCTGGGATCTAGTAAAAGAGACTCATTTACATATCAAATCAATTTCCCGGAACATAAAAAGCGCTCCAATGGCTTTTCCGTTTCTGATTGAGCAGGGCTCTTTGCCCTCCCGCTAGACACAATCTCACTCTTAATTATGTATAGCCTGGTAAATAGTTTTCGTCATAGTGTAGGAAATTTCTTTGTATCCAAGCTTACTTTGATATTCTAAGATTAATTTCACATCTTTCTTCAATAACTTCCTCCTACTTGGGAGAAATTACGGTCCTCTCGAAGCGAATGCCCCCGGGAGATATCTTAACACTTTTTAGCTTTTAATTGGTGATGGGAATTTTGGAGAGGAGGAGGAGGTAGATGGTGAGTTGTAGATTGTGGATTGTAAGATTAATGAATTGAAGATTTTCATGTTGTAATGCTATAAATTCCTAATTCAAAATCAATGTAGCTATGTATATGTACGGGCAAAGCGAATTTGATACATCATTCGATTTTCCATCCACTGATATGTTTCCCGTTTCTACTACTCGATCCTCACACATCTCACTTCTCAGTCCATCCAAACCCTCATCCCTCCCTCAAACCCCCTACTCCTGCAACCAATACACACCACCCACTCATCCACTCACTCCCCATTCTCCTACTCAACCCTCTTAGCCATAATCCAAAAATGCACCTCCTCATCACACTCCGCCTCTTCTTGTGCCTGAAAAGCCTCCTTCCTAGTCTTCACAATTTCAAACCCATTGTCTCCTAATAATTTCTCCCACCCTTTCCTCGTATACAGTAAATTTCCATAAACATGACCCATGAATTTACCCGGGACATTTTCCGCGTAAAGCTATAATTTTATATCGGTGATTAGCCATGAATGAATAAGAATAGGGGAGAAAAGTATGTGTAAAGAATGACAGATATATATATGTAAAATCTCACCCTCTCCTCATCAAACATACTCTCCTCCACCATCCCCGCATCCTCCGCCAAAATAGTCCCCACAAAAATCCATCCCCCCTCTTTAACCCAACCCCTCCATTTCCCCACCACCCTCTCCATTTCCTTCCGCTGAAAATGAAACATTGAGAAAATAATAAATGCCGCGTCGAATTTTTCCTTCGCTTCATAATCAAGCATACTGATACATTCGAATGTTGCTCCTGGCACGTTTTTCTGCGAGAGAGCAATCATTTTGGGTGAGAAATCTATCCCGTGGAGTTTACGTCCTGATTGGATTACTGAGAGGGAGGTGGGGATTCCAGTGCCGGATCCGATGTCTAGGACCTGTTGAGAGGAGGGGAGGGTGTTAGTTTGTGGTTTGATGGAGAGGATATAATGGGAGCTTGATTCAAGTTGATTATATAGAATGAAGAAGATGTTCAAAGTTTATATCTTGTTTGTGCCCCTCGAGGTCGAGAATTAGGTAGAATGATGTGAAATAAAATAACGAATAATCATACCGAAGCATCAGGAGGTAAAAGCTCAAGACTCTCTTTGATGAAGGTCAATAATCCAGGATCCAGACCATAGTATTTATCGTATTTGTCACTAATGCTATCATAGAATTTAGATGCACTTGTATCATCAGCTCCAATGTTATCTACAGAAGACATCGTTACTGTGCTTGCAGAAGGTTCTTGGAGAGGGAATTCGAATGAAAATACCAAGAATATCCAGATATTGGTGGTGGTAATCTTACTAGTTTGTGATGTGATATTTGAGTCGAGTTCAAACTCAGCTCAAGGAAAAAGTTGTAAAAAGAGGGGTAATTTCTGCTAACCTTATCAATGATTAGCAAAAAATGATATGCAGGTTAGTGGCGAAGGATTCTTAAGATATGCAACAATTCCTTCCTCTTCAACTTTCTATCCCATTTCTGATTCATATCTGGTGTCTTAACTTCCTTTCTGAGAAGTAGATGCAGCTCCTGTCAGAAGTAGACATTTTAGTGTGGGGTAGTATCGCAGTAGTGATGTTACATTTGTAGATTAACCGATCCAATGATCTTCCTTCTAGTCCTACCCTATGTAAAATCTCGAATCATAAGCAAGCAGAGAAAAATGAAGACGTCTATTCCTGAAGCATTTTTAATGTCTGTACTCTCCAAATGAATTACGGATTAGTTGTCTCGGCTCTGAATAGTCACACAGGAAGATATTTCTATTTGATACTTGAAAAGGGACATTATATTGTTATGGATCAAAAGACGTGTTCAAGGTCATTTACAAAGAATTTGCCTTTTCCTCCTGCCATGTTGACACTTGCTTTGCTAAGCCTCATCATCTTCTCCTTCGTTGCTATCAACCTTCTTATTAGCCTCGAGCTCCATGAGTCTAGGGGATCGACGAGGTTTGATGTATACACCGTACCCATCCTATCAAACAAGTCAGTGCCGTACCTCCAACCTAGGCCTAGCTAGCTTTTTCTCCTGATACAAAGGAAATAAGAAATAGTAACGAACTCAACATACCTTCATATCCTCAAGCTTGTAACCCATCTCCTTATCGCTTAACTCTATGCATTCATAGGGAAAATCCTCACCCCATCTGTCATACCACCTATTATTCAAGATCTTAAATTTTTGCTCTTTCCGAAAACAACCCTCCTTTAATTCCAAAACCTCTAGGTTTTCGAATCGAGCAATCATTTCAGTGGTGGTTTTGAAAAGACAAGGCTCCCCAAGCATCAGATACTTAAGCTTTTCTTGCATCTTCGCAATATCAAGGCCACGGCTTAATGGGGTTGGGAGTCTCTTGAGCCTATGTGAAGTACCCTGGAGTAGCCTAACCGCGCGATCGGATTGGATGTAGAGGGTGTCTATTTCAAAGTTGAAGTATACGGGATGTGGAAGACAGTGGCTGAACTCGAGTTTGTATTTCTCTTGGGCGATTTCGCGAGCCATAGAATTGACATGTAAAAGTGTGGGCAAAGTTGTACTGACAACGATCCTTGCACTCTTGTATTTTCCACCAAAAGTCTCAGTGCTATACCACTCTCGAGTCCATTTATCTGGAGTTTCAACAAGGATTTCGACGGCTTTAAGAGAAATGATGCGGCCTTCGGGGAGAGATTCTTCGAATATCATCCTTTGGAGTTCAGGAGCTAGTTTGGCAAATTGATGGAATTGTGCTTTTTGGTTTGCTGGCCAACGGGGTCTGATATAGGTTGAAACTTCGGTAGACTTGACATTGTACTCGAGGAGATGTTGACATGGTTGATTCATGGTTGAAAAGAGAATGAAATAGTCGTAGATGATGGAGATCGCAATTTTTTGATTTAGAGATCGGGGATCTGTGTGGGAAAACGGGAGTTTATGTCTATCAGAAAGAGGTTAGTAAAGATACCATAAGAAAGCTCTTTCTAGTAATTTTCTATGGAATGAATAGGGATAAATGGAGATGAATGACGGGAACTGGACGAGAGAATTTCTGGAATAAAATTGAAAACCTACCAGTAAAAAGATATGTCGACGACCTTTCAGAAAGAATCCTAGATATTTTTTCGGCGAGTCATGAAGTTTAAAAATTCAAGAGCGACAACGACACCGGCTCAAAGATGATAGTGATCATTTTAAGTAAAAGAGGTTGACGCGTTCATGATTTAACTCGTGGATTATGAACCACTAAGCCTTAGTGTGAACAGCCTCGTCGTGTACGGCTGAGATAATACCTTTTTGCTTTGAGGATATGATCCGATTTCTCAGATTATCCAAAAACCTGACAGGATTCTCTCACCAAGAAGTGAAATTAGTCGAAAAGAGTGAATGTTTTGATGATGTGGATGGCCAGGCAACCTTAGCCTCGCTTGCTTAAGCCTGGTGGCCTTGCAGCATTAGTACCATAGTCTCGTGATATCCTAACAATGATATTCAATGTTGGGGTCTTGAAGAAGTTAGAATGTATAAATAGCTAATCGGTAGAGAAAGATTAATATTCAAGACCAAAGACGTTCACTATTCTTTTGCGGATTCACCAACTTCATTCTACACAGCTTGGAGCTTCTGCTTTGAGACCGCCTCGAGAATATCCGTAACCATCCTCCTATTCACCGGACACTCAATACCTAGCTCTTTTCCTCTTCCGACAATATATCCATTAATATAGGCGATCTCAGTTTCTCTGCCATTGCTAACATCTTGAAGCATGGAACTTCGATTCCCGGCAGTGGCTAGAGCAACGTCAAGAATGATGTTCCGCAAAGTCTCTATTGAAAATCGTTCTTCTAGGCCTGGAATCCCTTGAAGTTCAGGCAGTGAACAAATGACTTGACTAATTTCGGATACTAGGCCTCCAAAAAGATCTCCTATATCCCCGATCATGGAAGACTCCATAATCATACCATTTAAACAATTGTTTAGAGCAGTGAGAGGATTTATTACAGCGTTCACAGCCAATTTCTGCAATTGAAGGAGTCTAAATTCATCCCAAGGAACCTCGCTGGCGCGAAGGAGCTTAGAGTCAATGACTTGTCGTAGGAGATGGCTTTTGACTGGAGATCCTTCTTTATCCATTTCGGGATTTCCAATCGTGACAAAACCATGACCAGCAAGGACTGCCGTTAGTGGAGTTTGTTGAGAGACACCATGGGATGCTATGCCAAATAGATAACGTGGCCTGTCTTTGAAATCGGGAAACACGAGCTTGTTGACTTCTTCTACTACTCCTATACCGTTATGTACGAACAGTACAGTTGACATGCGGGACAATCGATGTTTGATCATCTCAAGCGCCTCCGCCATTTTGTGGGATTTTGTGGTGACTATCAGATTGGATATAACCTTAGTATCTGAGCGATTCTTGTTACCATCCTGGCATAATTCAATATCGTAATGACCACCACCAAGCCAAACACCGTCATGATAGATTTTAATCTTTGGCCCTAGGGCTTTCGCCTTGTGGTATAGAGAGTGACGATGAAACAATAAAGTGACAGGAGGAGGTTCGGGCTTCGTAGCTAATGAGTGTGCGAACAGCTTTCCCAGGTTTCCAAGACCTAAAATATGTATGGTGGGATCCATCTCCAAGTGATTTGCATCTTGATCACGTTGACGCTCTAGGTGGATTTTCTGTCGAGCAAATGGTGTTGAGGAATGAAATAGAAATCTCCGAGATCTTTTGAAACAAGGTTTTGGGGTCTGGTGTATACATGGTTGGATTCTCTGAAGACATGGTAGCTTAGAGGATCTGGAATAAGAAAGGAACATTGTTGGCCTCACATCTCGCTGTCAGCCGTCACAGTGTTTACTAGGTAGGTACTCATATAGTATACTCCGGATATAACGCTGAGATTATATTTTCATGACTCAGGTTAATTTAGCTGCACGGTTAGTGTTCTATGCTAACCGTACAACTCTTTGTCCACACTATTAATTCTCGTAGAAAGCAAGTAAGTCCTTTCATTTCACCAATTCTGTCCTAGAAATGAACGGAAATACGTAGGATATGATAGTCATCCAATTAGATAAAGATATTAGGTAAGAATACCTACTATGTAGCCTCAACTATTCAAGGCCTCTGAACGAAGGAGTGGCAATGAAGGAAGATGAAGGAAGCCCTGAACACGTGATAACATCCACTCAGTTCTCTCTCCTACGTCAGATTATTTTTAGCCCTATCATTGGAATGTCCAATCTAAGAGATCTGATTGGTGAGTAATGTGAGAAGAAAGATTGCGGGGAGTGTACTTAGTAAATGTTTGCTCCTGCTACCATAGACTCAGAGAGGAATCACTAGTAAAAATGGGTTTCGACTTTTTTATATACTAGGACACTTACCAGTATTTCATTCTCAATTTTCCTTCAAGTACCTATACTAAACAATCCATGTAAAGAGTCCTTCTGTACCTACTTCGAAATGATAATCATTATTTCACTCAAAATGAACAATCTCGAATTTAGGCTTGAAATCTATTGCGGATAATCAATCTCATTCGTCTTACATTTCAATCCTGAATTTATTAAACCACACCCACTGATTAATAGGTACTTCACTCCCCCGAAAAATATGATGTGGCACTAATAAACTTACTTAATCGATAATGAAAAAGGCTCTAGTCTGAGAAAAACCCCACCAAAAGATTTCTCCCCACCATTAACGATAAACCTGAAAAAAAGGTCGACTCGACAAAATCCATCCAACAGAGAGAGAAATCAAAAGTATTTCTTTTTCTTCATCTATCGCTTATTGATTATTATCACGACAACTTCAAATAATTAATCAAAATGGTTTCAGCATCGAAAGCCGCTCGTGATGCGAAGAGGGCCGCTGAAGGAAAGCCAGCAAAGAAGACGCTTGCCTCCAAATCAAAGGCTGGCTCCCAGGCTGCATCTGGCACTACAACTCCTGGCGAAGTAGCCCTCGACGCCAATGGAAATGTCCTTCCCGACGAGGATCAACCTGCGACGAAGGATATGGATGAAGTCAAGAGATTAGCTGCACAAATGGATAAACATGGTCTCTCTGACCGTGTCACAACCGGTGTTCTCAGCTCTCTCAAGCAAAGTCGTGACGTTAAGATTACATCTGCATCGCTGGTTTTCCACGGTCGTGTCCTTTTGAACGATACAACACTCGAACTTACATATGGACGTCGATATGGTCTTTTGGGAGAGAACGGTTGCGGAAAGTCAACTCTCCTCAAGGCAATCGATATGCGCGAATACCCTGTTCCAGATCACGTCGATATCTACTTATTAAACGAGGGTGCTCCTCCTAGTGACTTGGGTGCCTTGGAATGGGTTGTCAGAGAAGCAGAGAACGAGATGAAGAGGCTCGATGACGAGGCCGAGCGTTTGTTGGAGGAGGAAGGACCAGAGAGTCCAGTTCTTTTGGATCTTTACGAGGTAAGATTTTCAGGTGCAAGATATCTCGTCATACATTTCTAACTAAACGTAGCGTATGGATACCATGGATCCATCTACCTTCTCCACCCGTGCATCCCTTATTTTGACTGGTCTCGGTTTCAACAAGGTCACTATCCACAAGAAGACCAAGGATATGTCTGGTGGATGGCGTATGCGTGTGGCTTTGGCTAAAGCTCTTTTCGTCAAGCCTTCCCTTCTCCTTCTCGATGACCCTACCGCACATTTGGATTTGGAAGCTTGCGTGTGGTTGGAAGAATACTTGAAGAAATGGGACCGAACTCTTATCCTTGTTTCTCACTCTATGGATTTCCTCAACGGTGTTTGCAGCAACATGATCGATATGCGTTCCAGACAGCTCATCTACTATGGTGGTAACTACGATTCTTACGCAAAGACTAGATCTGAACAAGAGGTCAACCAAATGAAGGCCTACCAGAAACAACAAGATGAAATTGTTCACATTAAGAAATTCATTGCTTCAGCTGGTACTTATGCCAACTTGGTGCGTCAAGCCAAGTCCAGACAAAAGATTTTGGATAAGATGGAGGCCGATGGTTTCATTCAAAAGGTTGAGGAAGATCGTGTCTTCACTTTCCGTTTCGCAGATGTTGAGAAGCTTCCACCACCAGTTTTGTCATTTGACGATGTTACTTTCTCCTACTCTGGCGACTCTAAGGATGATCTCTACCGCAACCTTGACCTCGGTGTTGACATGGACTCCCGTACTGCTCTTGTCGGACCTAATGGTGTTGGTAAATCCACCCTCCTCCGTCTCATGACCGGAAAACTTTCCCCCACTGGAGGAACTGTTTCCCGTCACACACATTTGAAGATGGGTGTTTACTCTCAACATTCTTCGGAACAATTGGATCTTACCAAGTCCGCCTTAGATTTCGTTAGAGATAAGTATGCCCACAAGAGTCAAGATTACCAATACTGGCGCCAACAGCTTGGAAAGTATGGTCTCAGTGGTGAATCCCAAACGGCATTGATGGGTACTCTTTCCGAAGGACAAAAGTCCAGAATTGTGTTTGCTTTGTTGGCTATCGATGGACCAAATATGTTGTTGTTGGATGAACCTACCAACGGTTTGGATATTCCTACCATTGACAGTTTGGCTGATGCTATCAATGCCTTCACTGGTGGTGTTGTTGTTGTTTCTCACGATTTCAGGTAAGCATTTTTCCATCGGACGAAAATGAAATTATGCTAATAGTGTATAGATTGCTTGATAAGATTGCTAAGGATATCATGGTATGCGAGAACCAAACCATCAAGAGATGGGATGGCACGATCGCCGAGTACAAGAACCACTTGAGAAAGAAGATGGTTTCTGCAGGTGCTGTTTAAAGTGGCTATATATTAACAATAACCCGTGCAATATACCGTCTAACAAAAAGTTTGATTTGGTGCATTGATGGACGACTTAACATTTGACATACGGGTGGCATTCACCAAGGCTATTGGCCATTCTCTCACGGCCCGGAACTGAGGTCGTGGAGGGATTGGGGGCGGTGCAGGATTGTTGAAACACCGTTTTCTTTTGGTGGGATAGAATGCGAGTCTGTTTAGATGGCGTTAATTTGGTTGAGATCTTTAAAAAATAACATTATTACAAATACATTTGGGAGTGTGATGTGATTGATGGTTGATAGTGATGTGAATGTGGTGTACAGGGACTCTTTAACATTTTACATGATGAAATTGATGCTATTGTTATGGCTGATCAGAATGTATGGCAGGCCCCTAGAATAGGCTCCATTGTTCTTACAAGTAAAAATCCCAACCCCCAAAACTCTCACCACCGAACTGTTACCCAATCGTTACACCACGCCCAAGGTCATCGTCGAACCGTCGGGTCCGAGTAAAAAATCGAATACAAGTATATCAAAGCTATTCTGCATAGAGTTTGGGAGGGATTCGGTAAACGGGTATGATGGGGTAAAGTATTGGTGGCGTGGGCTTGTGGACGGGGATGCTCTGATGGTCACGGGCTGAGCCTTGGCGGATGGGTTGGCTGGATGGGAGGGAGCAGGGGGGAGGGATCGAGGTGGGTGAGGTGAGTGATGGTGGTGATGGGGGATTGAGTGGTTGAGTGGAGAGGAGGGAGGGGGATGAACGGGAAGGAATAGAATGGGAAAGTCAAGGAAGAGATACTGGGTACGTAGGTATGGGAGAGTGGATGGGTATTGTATAGTTTTTTGGAGTGAAGGTAGGTAGATACCTAGATACCTAGATACCTAGTCTTACATCTTTTCTTCATATAATGAAAAAACTCGATGGTTACCTAGTTATGGAAGTAAATTATTAATACCTAGGTACTTACTCGAGTGAGTAGCTAGTACTCAGTACTTGGTTCCCCAAGCTCCAAACCAAATTTCTATGCAGGGGTGATTTCCATCTCTAACCATTCTAGACCATTCAAGTAACCAATCATATCTGGCTTACGATGTCATGATCAAATGGAAAGAGGAAGCTTACAGCCCTCCAACTGTGATACTCCAATACTCAAAATGTGTGAGATTCAATTTGATGAATGGGGCATTTTATTTGTGACCCTAAGGGATTAGAAAATATATTGAAAGGAAAGGAAAGGAAAGGAAAAGAAAAAGAAAAAGAGGTAAAATGAATTCAGTTAATAATACCTACCGATCTATATTTGATTCGAATACCTATGAGAAACTTCATTTAACCCTCCCTTGATTTATTGTTCCTTTTTTGAGGTTTTTCAAGAATTGCTAAGTATATCTTCGTGCTTTTCTCATGTCAATTGACATATCACCGGCAATACCTACTAGCCTTCCAAGGAAATTCAAATCATCAAAGGGGAATGTCGTGATAAGTTGTTTTTTCTGTTCATCTGCCTAACTACTATCTAAACAGCTAACCAACAATCCCGAGTCATTTCGGATCTCTCCTTAACCTCACGACCAACTTGATCAATTATCCTATTATTCTCTTTCAAATCTTTCTCTTGCCCTTTGGCTGGCTGGCTAAAGAATCAGATTTTTTTCTTAAAAAATAAAAAAAAATTAAATCAAAATCAAAGTCGAATAAATACTCTTTACCAAATACCAAAATCTAAGAATTCGATAACGGCAATTCGCATCAAAATACTTTTTTATATCCAATTATTCAGGTTCTATCTACGAGTATATACCTACCTAGAAATTACTACTACTCACCACCTTCCTACCTTTCAAATCTTGGTTTCTACCTGGGTGGATATCAATTACTTCTTTCTTTCTTTCCTTAAATCAATTCACCCAAATACTTCACCGTCCGGTATCTCCCGATCTCTTTCCATTAATACATCTCATCCTCTCTTTAGATGTGCTTTTAAGTGATTGATGATTGTGATAAGAGAAGTTTTAAATTCCGTTGTATCAATAACCCAATAACCCAACAACCAAGAAAAACGAAATCCCCCCAAAATTCGTCTTGTCCCAATTCAATCCATACCAATATACACGAACCTACTCATTTCCCTAGTGGTCGCAAATCTTGGAAATTCCTCCATGGAGCGCTAAATCGATCAATATAAACTTTACACTTGGTTATATACATGGGACCTAAAGGGTGCGCAAGAAGAAAATGGACTCGAGATTTCATGCTACAGTGATGCGACGGCCGGAAGATGATCAAGAAGAGGCTGCTGTATCTATAACAAGGCGAGATGGGATAATGAATGGACCAAATGGACCAGGCACAATGAGCACCAGCAGCTCAAACATACCTTACGACGTGGGTTCACCAAGACAACAATCACAAACTGAAATCCGTTCAATTCTCAATCCATCAACAACTTCAACTGGCGCACATCCATCGTTCAATCAATATCATCCGCCAACGGCGGCACCTCCACTTATACCATCACACATTCCTCTCCAATCAACCACACCTTCAACCCTAGGGTTGAGTTTGGGTACTCCTTTGTATCAAAGTGAACGAGATATTGGTTATCCACGCGATCAAAAACCAACCAGCAATTACTACGATCCGACTTCCGACTCGAGCGAAAGAAGACCTGCGACCGCGGAATCTAAATGGAGTGATAGGGAAGCTAAGACATCGCAAGTAAGATATTTTCCATACACCCACCAAAAGAATATTCAATCTCCTAACACCTTACAACAGCGTCGTGATTCTTATCCCTATCAACAAAATCAACCACCTGCACCATCTACAGATGGGCCAATGAATCTTTATAACGGCGGCTATAAATCTCCCGTGAATTCTCATTTTCCACCAGGGTCGCCCATTTCACACGCGCACCCACAAGGTCGCGTCCCTCCTCTAGTGACACAATCACCGCGAATGCCCGCGATGGAATCCCCAATTAGTCGACATAATGGCCTTGGTGGTGGACCAGAATTGCAGGATAAACCAGTCATCAAACAAGAGCCTGTACCAGCTAGTGTAAGTCGCAGCTTTGTTCCACCTTTCACTTTTTTATATGAACGTCATCTAATTTATTGCCCACCAGACTCCCAGCCGACCAGTAGATCCAATGGCTTTTTCGAGTATATTATCCAGTGCTGCTCCTGAGCCAACGCCAAAACCTCAACCAACTCCCACACCCATCGTATCCAAGCCTCGCAAAGCTTCACGACAACCCATACCTACCTTGAAGCCAGAGCCCTCCTCTGCCCCTAGTTCTCGACAATCCTCAGTCGCACCAGCTCCTCAACCACCTACATCCCGAGTACCGGCAAAGCGCAAGGCAAATGGGGAAACAAAGCCCACACCAAAACCTAAACCTTTCACAAAGGACCAAGAAAGGGATATCGTCATCTTGATGTCAAAGTTGGACGGTGAACCAGAAGATAGCGATGTGGAATTTGCAGAGGAGAAGAGACTCTATCAAACACGATCACTCAAAAGAAAGCTCGAGGTTGAAAAAATTGAAACCTCGAAAACAAAGCAACGTCGTACGGATTTCACCAACAAGATGGCCAAGAGGTTAGAGAAGCATGCTAAGGCGGGCGAAGAACGATATAGAGAGGTTGAAGGAGATGCGGCTATTTCGAAAGTACAAGCGGATGAGATTCAAACAGAGAAAGAGCGCAAGAAGGATATGCAGAGGAAGCGTCGTCGTGAAAAGACTGTTCAGAATAATATGGAGCAAAAGGAAATTGCCTTGGCCAAGGCTCAAGCAGCACAAGATGATCAAGAACGACACAAGTTTCTTCGAGATGCTCAAAGAGCAGAAAAGAAGGCACAGCAGACTAAGCAAATACTTGCTAGAGGGGACAAGGGTCCAGAGATTCGAGCAGTTTCGCCCATGGAACCTAACATGCAAGGAGGTAGTATGTCGACTTTTACCGCTGTGGATCCTGATTCCACCAAGAAACCAAAACGTGGTGGTGCTCGACCCAGAAAGTCTAAAGAACAGAAGCAGGCAGAGAAGGACTCGGCTGCAGCAGCTCAAGAGGCAATCGACAAGGGCGAATCACCAGCACTCATGCCAATTAGGGATGCAGCGGAATTTAAAGATATGAAGCCACTTCCATCGAAAGAAGGGGTTACAAAGATTAAGCTCAAGTTCAAAGCGCCGGCCGAACCGGTCGAAGTCAAGGAGGAATCTCCCTCAGCTCCCGTGGATCAGCACAACACGAAAATGTACCATGTTGTCTACGATCAAATCTGGAAGGACCTTGCTCGAAAGGAAGTTCCCAAGGTTTTCAAACTGGCCGTGGATTCTTACTCTATTCGAGCATCAAACCTGAAGAAGACTGCAATTCTGGCTTCGAAGGAAGCGAAACGATGGCAGCTACGAACCAATAAGGGCACCAAGGATCTTCAAGCTCGTGCTAAGCGTGTTATGCGAGAGATGATGTCTTTCTGGAAGCGTAACGAACGTGAAGAGCGGGATACTCGAAGAGCTGCAGAAAAACAGGAGATTGAGAATGCCAAGAAAGCCGAAGCCGACCGTGAAGCAAACAGACAGAAGAGGAAGCTCAATTTCCTTATTTCTCAAACTGAGCTCTACTCCCATTTCATCGGCAAGAAGATTAAGACAGATGAAGTTGAGAGGTCTACCGATCATCCCGACGTTGCGGTTCCCGACAAAGCAGATCATGCGAAGCCAGATCATGGTGACTTACCAGAAGGCACTGCTCCTGCAAAGGTTACAAATTTTGAGGATCTTGACTTTGATGCTGAAGATGAATCTGTATTGAAAGCTGCGGCTATGGCTAATGCTCAGAATGCTATCCAAGAAGCTCAGAACAAGGCTAGGGCCTTCAATAAAAAAGATGATGCGCCTGCCATGGACGATGAGGGAGAGATGAACTTCCAAAATCCAGCAGGTATGGGTGATGTCGATATTGAACAACCAAAGATGCTCCAAGCCCAACTCAAGGAATATCAACTCAAGGGTCTCAATTGGCTTGTCAATCTTTACGAACAAGGTATCAATGGTATTTTGGCAGATGAGATGGGTCTTGGTAAGACTGTCCAATCGATTTCCGTCATGGCTTATCTTGCGGAGAAACATGGTATCTGGGGTCCATTCTTGGTTGTTGCTCCTGCATCAACACTTCACAATTGGCAACAAGAAATTACCAAATTCGTTCCACGACTTAAGGTATTACCATATTGGGGAACAGCAGCAGATCGAAAGGTTTTGCGAAAGTTCTGGGATCGAAAGCACATCACTTATACCGAGGACGCCCCTTTCCACGTCCTTGTCACTTCCTACCAACTTGTCGTTTCGGATGTCGCTTATTTTCAGAAGATGAAGTGGCAATACATGATTTTGGATGAGGCTCAAGCGATCAAAAGTTCACAAAGTTCTAGATGGAAGAGTTTACTTGGTTTTCATTGCAGAAATCGTCTCCTTTTGACTGGTACCCCTATTCAGAACAACATGCAAGAACTTTGGGCTTTGCTACATTTTATCATGCCTAGTTTGTTTGATTCTCACGATGAATTCAGCGAATGGTTTTCCAAGGATATCGAAAGCCACGCTCAAAGTAACACTAAGCTCAACGAGGATCAACTCAAACGTCTGCACATGATCTTGAAGCCTTTCATGCTTCGTCGTGTTAAGAAACATGTACAAAAGGAGTTGGGTGATAAGATTGAGGAGGACATCTTTTGCGATCTTACTTACCGCCAACGAGCGTACTACAGCAATCTTCGAAATCAAATCAGCATCATGGATCTCATCGAGAAGGCTACAATCGGAGATGATAATGATACTGGTACTTTGATGAATTTGGTGATGCAATTCCGAAAGGTTTGCAATCATCCAGATCTTTTCGAGCGTGCTGAAACTACCTCGCCTTTATCTTTCAGTTATTTTGCTGAAGCTGGTTCATTCTTGAGAGAAGGTTCAAATGTTACTGTGGCTTACTCGGCGCGTAACATGATTGAATATTCATTACCTCGATTAATATGGCGTGAAGGTGGACGTCTAGACTTACCTGGGCATGACAATGAGCATGCTGGTGTCAAGGCCAAATGTTTAGAGTCACTTTTCAATGTTTGGAAGCCAGAAAATATCGTTGACAGTGCAAAAGAAGATGGAGCGTTTTCATGGCTTCGCTTTACCAATACCTCAGTACAAGAATTATCAACAGCTTCGAGGAAGGATGTTTTTGCTCGTGCTGTGGATCTTGTAAAGAGGCCACAAACACTTGGCAGACTCAACATTGTCTATGATGAAGAGGAAGACAAGAACTATACGCCAGTTCATTCTATGCTTCAAATCGTGAATAGGAAAGATCGGAAGCCTCTCGCGGAAGTTACAAATGAGGGATATCTCAACAAACTGTTCAATGTAGCTAAGGATGTTTGGGGTCAATCCGGTATGAGTCGAATGGAACAGTGTGGTCGACCAAGTGCAACCGCTCCCCCTATTGAAGTTACATGCTCAAGCAGAGGTGCCGTCATTGAGAGACAGAAAATCTTGTTCAATGTTCCGATGAGACGTGCACTCTTTGGCCCTTCACCTGTTGAGGAGAAAGCATTGATTACCTCCAAGGTTTCGCCATTGTTCTATCCACCAAAACCAATGTTACCATTACCTACTTCGGAAAAACAACGCTTTACCAATATCAAAGTACCATCAATGCGTCGCTTCGTCACTGATTCAGGAAAACTCGCTAAGCTCGATTCTTTACTTACAAAACTTAAAGAAGGTGGTCATCGTGTTCTTTTGTACTTCCAAATGACACGTATGATTGATCTTATGGAAGAGTATTTGACGTATCGTAATTACAAATACCTTCGTCTTGATGGTTCTACCAAACTTGAGGATAGAAGAGATACTGTACATGATTTCCAAACTCGACCAGAGATTTTTATCTTCTTGTTAAGTACAAGAGCTGGTGGTTTGGGTATCAATCTTACGAGTGCTGATACAGTCATCTTCTATGATTCTGATTGGAATCCTACAATTGATAGTCAAGCTATGGATCGTGCTCATCGTCTAGGACAAACTCGTCAAGTTACAGTCTATCGTATGATTACTCGTGGTACAATCGAAGAGAGAATTCGTAAGAGAGCTTTACAAAAAGAAGAGGTTCAAAAGGTTGTTATGACTGGTGGTGCAGGTGGTGGTGTTGATTTCAATACGAGAAGTAAGGAGAATAGGACAAAGGATATTGCAATGTGGTTGGTGGATGATGAAGAGGCTGCGGAAATTGAGAGAAAGGAAGCTGAACAGTTGAGATATGAAGCTGAGAATCCGACAGCTAGTAAAAAGGGCAAGGGGAAAGGAAAGAAGGGAAAGGAAGGTGGTGGAGGAAGTTTGGAGGATCTTTATCATGAGGGTGAGTTTTGATTTTTCCTTTAGATTTGCATAGCATGGTTTAGTTCCATATCTTGAAAGCGGGATGAGATGATTATCATGAGATGAATATGTTTTGGATTGATTGCTAATTGTGGATGAATTATAGGCGAAGGTCATTTTGATGATGGATCGAATAGACCTAGTGGTACGGCAACACCTATTGCTGTTGATGCAAGTAAGAAAAAGGGATCTAGTAGTCGGAAGAGTGGTGGTGGTGGAAGAAGTAAAAAGGCCAAGACGGCTAAAGAAAGGTTGGCGATGGCGGATGGGGATGTGGATATGGCGTAAGAGTGTAAGAGCTGAGAAATAAGACATGGTATCATGAAAAGGATAATGAATGGGAATCATTCAGGTGGTTGGGCATGGATGGGATAGGAATTGAATTGTACGATTGATTGGTAATATTATGATGGGCTTTGCAGGTAAGGAATGGGGAAAAGGCGAAAAAGTAAAATGATTGCATGCATGCACAAGTTGCACATATAAGAGATAAATCCTTCTATATGGCTAAGGGGAAGGAGTCATTTGAGCAGTTGGAGAGATTGAAGATTATGATGTGTATTATATTATATTATTGACTTTATTGACTTTATATTAGTGAAGATATAGAGATTTCCGTCTATAGTGAGATGATTTGAAATAGGAGACTAAAGATTAAGAATATAAGATTTTATAAATAATTTTAGTAGAGATGATATAATAAAACTAGATAATAGGACTAAGTCATGACTCAAAATAAACAAGTAGAAAAGTAAACTGATTGTCGATCGAAAAGAGCTAAAACATAACCAGGGAGACTAAGTAAACCTTAGTTTAGAGAAAAGGATACAATCAATATTCGAATTCCTTTTCATAATAATAAAATTTCACAAAGTTCATCATATACAATTATTATAATCATATATTACATCAAATTCATCAAGCAGAGATAGATCAATACCTTAGGATTATTTATATTTCCTCATCTACTCGAAAACATTTTTTGAACTTCATTCATATCATATAATCCGCTGATCTCCAAGATATATAGAGCTCATCCAAGCAAATCCGGAAAGACACTACTGGACACTGACTCAGTCATCCACACAGCAACAACGGAATTCACTCGACATTGATGAGTACAAAAATATACAGGATTTCTTGTACAATAAATTTTTATATTCACCATTTTTATCCTGAGGAAAACTGATCGGATGTCTATCATCTGTATATAAGTAATATATTCTGAAGGAAATTCAACTCAAGGCGGGGTTTGTGGAATTGGAAATTCACTGATTATATATATTATATCATTTCATTTCCCCTTTTGTTGAGCTACGGGTGCTTTCCCCTCTCCTCTCTCGATTGGATCACTTACCGAATTATTATTGTATTGCTTCTTTTTGTACGGCACCTCTCTATCTTGATAATTTTGAATAATATCGAGTATATCTAGCTTGTTTTATTTTTTATTTTTATTTTACTTTTTGATTTTGTTTCTGTGTTGATGTTTGCAGGGAGTCTTGGGCTTTTCGATATTAAGCCGATTATCGAGTACGTACGTATACGGGAGTTTGTAGACGATAAGATTATGGATACTTCTACACAGAGGGAACTTCGATACCAGGAGGATGCATCGGGAAAGAATCTAGTTGCCAGAGCAGTTGGAGATAGAGTTAGCGTTGGTTCGGGAATGGATTCTCCAGTTGCCTTGAGTGAGGAGATCATGAAAGATAATGGGCTCGGGGCTCATCCAACTACACAAATTGAGTCCGAGAGGAATTTGATTTCAGGTATGCCACTTAAATATCTACGGCTCATTCTCCCTTTAAACTAACGTTCAAGCCCTTTTAGACACTGAGTGGTACCAAAATTCGGAAAGGAGTAGTGAGAATAACTTTGATCTTTCTGAAAACGAAAAGATCGAAGAGGCTTGTTACAGTCTCGGTAAGTTAATACATGCTCGTTTTTTAAAAAAAAATATTGGACTATTCTAATTAATTCTCATGGTTAGATATGCTAGATTTCTTCGAGACACAATATTATTCTTCACAAAAAAGACGTAACTTAGATCCAACAGTACCAGCAACATCATTCACTCTCTTTCCATTCTTACCCGTCGAACTCCAGAGAAAGATTTGGGTTTGCTTACTGCCGCCGCCCAGCGTCATTTGGGCGGAATTCGAAGTGAAAGATTGTTATGACAAGACTAAAATGGAATTTCGTGTCAGACATGCTCGTTCAGCAATTAATTTTCCTGCGTCATTGCAATCATTCGTCTTACGTTCTGTAAACTATATCTCAAGACAGTTGTTTTTCGAGCATTATAGTTATCTGAAATTTATTGGCGATGCCAATAAAAAGGCTCGTCGTTTCTCAGACTGGGATGATAGTTTTCGCTATGTCGAGGTGAAAAGAGGAGTAAGTCCCTTGTTGGATAACAAAGTGGACAACTTATACATCACCAATCTCTTCGGTCTTCCGATTTTATTCCACCGGTACGAAACTTCAGTAGATCTTACCGCGCTGCGATGTCTGACTGTAGATATCGTCAACATACAATGGATGAATTTCATGCCAGGAGCAGGTGGACCAGATACATTCTTGAAAGAGATAGAAAGATTATGTCCAAATCTCAAAGAACTCTTCATCGTCCTCAATAAAACGGCATCGACGCGCGATCCGCGCCAACTTCATGAATATAAATATAGACAGACTAATACGCAATTTATGGATTTCAATCAGAATTTCATAGATCAGTTGGGATATTGTCAATGGATTGAACCATGTAAATATTACCCGAACATCGAGTGGGAAATCAACAACAGCAGCAGAGAGTGCTCTAAAATTCTGCGGAGAACGGGTTCGAATGCGGGGTTTTGGAGTAGTGTGGTTGTTAAACCGGTATGGATGGTTCATACAGTTGCATATAGTGTGGAACGTTCTAGGAATGTAATTCCTGGACCCTTTTTGATAGTGGAGATTAGTCGCTATGGAGATCTTCATTTGAGATGTAATCCCGATGGTACATTACCTGATCAGTATGATTGGATCAGTGAGCTTTTTGATGATGGAGATGATGAGGATGGTGGTGATATGCGGTCTTTGGTTGATGGCGAGGCACTTGTTGTCTTTGATAGTGATTAATTATCAATCATTATTTGTTGGCTCTGGAGAATGATTACTACCATGAAGGATTGAAGGTAGATCTAGGCTATGTGATATATCGACAACATCATATTTTCTTCCAAAACGACAACTGTTGACCTCCTGGGATCTTGGCGGCATACGCATATATATTGCATGATGCATATAAGGAGCAAACAAAACTCAACTTTTAATTCATTCTTTCCTTTTTGGTATACTGTTTGTTTGCTTTCAATATTTTGATTTCAAAGCACTTTAATTCCGAAGGCTGAATACCTAACCCTTATTCCTTCATTTTTTGAATATATACTCGCAGCTTAACTGCTTAGCTAGAGAATCATCATTCAATTTGATGCTCTTTCTGGTCTCAAGAAACCCAATAACAACTGATATAGGCAGCTTGTCGGCTCTTCAATCTATACATTTTCCGGACTGTTTAGGCTTTTTTGGAGCTATACACTTTGGGACCGTAGGAGGCAAGCTTGTGTGGTAAATATCAAATATTCACACATATATTACCTTTTCTCCTATTTCTGGCGATATATCATTGATTACCTATGGAAGGGATGAAAAATGAATTTCGAACGAGAGGAAGATATTTAGGAAGCTTTAATAGGTAGTTTATACTCAGCTAGCTCCGTTGCTAGGGATATCCGATACATCGAATGTGAGATAGAATATATCATCCGTGGCTTTCGCTTTCTTGAGTCTATTGACTTTGTGACTGTGTGACGGGAAAGCTTCAAGCTTCAGTTTAGATGCTGAGGTTGAGCAATGAGATGAAATTATCTTCACTAAATAGGGTTTAAACAATGTGAAGAGATGATCACGACGAACTATATCAACTAAACCATCTTGATAGGGAGACTTGAGAAATGGGTAACCTTAATATTAATATGGAGAGACTAAAATATGTCCCACCGCTTATATATGACAGTGAAATATAAAATATGAAATGTGAGGTAAGATATAATAACTAAAGGAGAGAGAGATGGCAAATATAGTAAGATAACGACGATACTAAATACATATAATTATAATCAGAGTGAAAGATATAATATAATAAAGCAACTGCAATTGCAACAATACCAATACTACTCATAATCAACGTTATTATAATCACAAGCTAGATCCGAGACATTAGTTACTTTGTGTTTAGAGAAAACCGAAATCAAAATCGAAATCGGCAAAGAAAGGTAAATTTGCACACCGCTAGCTTGCTCAAGCTTGCAGCAGCTGCCACGTTGTGAGAGGGATCTGTGATCGATCTGTGTGTCGTGCTTGCTCATGAACGGATTTTGGTAATATAGTAATTAATGGTAAGCATCTAGAACGAATTTTTATGTACGGTAGTGTGGATGAGGCTGAGGTGTGCGATGGTGGAATTATTTATATTTATTGATGTTGTGTTTGTTTGTGGGGAGTTGATCGTTGGATTTAAAGATGTAGAGATGCGTATGGATGGTTTTATTGTGGTCTAGATGGCTGGGCTGCTGGTGTCGATGTTGAATTCTGTTTGGTGTTTGCCTCAGCTATTATTTATACTCTGACTTTGTTTTTCGGGAAATTTATCCTGATTGTTGTAGCGAGATAGTTTAAGGGGATAATGAAGATATCCCTATTGTTACATCGAGATAGTGTAAGGAGGTAATGAAGATACCAGGTCTCATGTATACGTGTATGTTATCTCATATTTGTATGTGTATCTTTTTCCTCCTATATATGTACAAGTTGAGGCTATCTATCTAAATAATATAACAAAGAAAATATGAAGAGGTTAGATGCCATGTTTAGTACATGACATCTAACCTCTAATGATCATATAATAATGTACTTACTGGGTATCAATGCGATGCGATGCTATGCGAATGCGAATTCCACTGCTCAAAAAATTCATCCACTCCTTGCAATGCAGTAAACAAAAGAAAATAATCATCAAGCATCAATGGAATCATCCTAGATCTTGACCAAGATCAAAGGTTCAAGCCATGTCGCTGAATCCACTCCTCCCACTCTCACTTCTTCGGCTTTTTGAATTCTCCCATCCTGAATCACTTCCATGGTCTTCACTGCCATCTTTACTTCCTCCGGCCGCTTGCGGATATCCCCTCGATCCCAGTTCTCCATCTCTTGCTATGCTCACACGAACACTAACATTCTTCGCGACAGAAATATCTCCCATCTTATAGAGGTTATCCGTGCTATCACTCCCTCCATGTCCTTTTCTTCCTCCATTCCCACTGCCTCTATTCCCCCTCAACCCTGCAGATACCAACCCCCCAGCTTCAATAATCGTAGTCGTTCCCAATGAATGTCCTTTGCCCATGAATGCAAAGGTCTCTAAACCCGTGTCCTCCCCTGGTGGAAACTCGCTAAACACAATTTCTGCTCTAGTACTTGCGTATAATAATACGTCCAACCATCCATTACACGCAATCATACTACCAGCAATACAGTAATACCCTAATCCGATCTCGGCCCCAGAGAATGCGGCAATACGTCCAGCGGCTAGGGGAATCGTACATATGGTGTAGATCAATGGGTAGAGAACCATGAGAGGCCGGGCGCCGTGATAATAATTGGCCTTGTTTCCAGGTGGAGAGGAACGAGATTGATGATGGAGATAGAGAAAGATACAGGCGTAGATCAACACTGTGCCAAACATGCTAGCGAATATCCAAAAATAATGAAGCCATAGGCGTGCATTTTGATAATCGTCGTTTATCCAGCACTGTACGCTATCATTAGATATAGATCTATAACTTTGTGTGAAAAAATGAGAAACTTGCCCCAAGCAGCAGCCCTCACATAAAGATCATGAGGGTGCATCGCGACACCGATGACAGCCATTCCGTAGATAAATATCCAGCATCCGGCAACGGTGGCAAAGAATGCATATTGTGGGAGGCGGTATTCCTTCACGACGCTGAGGAAGGTATGGCATGCGATCACCAAGATAAATACACTACTGGCCAAATCCCCCGTCGACACAAACCATCCCTGAGCCCAACATGTTGCCGTTCCTATTATAATTCCATTATTCTTGACGGAGCTGATATTGAGTAAGAATGCGGTTGCTTGCTGAATATCGGCAAATAGTAGATTGTATATCAGGAACAGGAATTGATTGACCGGACGTTCGGCTTGACCTTGGCCGGTGGGTAATTTTCTTCTCCACGATATGATTTTGAATGTGAGGTAGGAAAATAAACTGGTCGAGCATAAGAACGACAACAGACCAAAGGTCGCGACAGCAACTAAACCATGAGATAAATAGTCCGGTAGGGGCGTCAGTGAAGACGCAGCGTCGTCTAGCATGTCCTTCATGGGTGCCGAATTTAGTTTGGGTTAAGACGGGCAAATTGTGGCTGACATCCAGAAGAAAAACGAAATCAAGATTCAAAGACACGTCTAACGACAGGTGTCGGGACATATAAGTTCATTGAAGCTAAATGAACCGTGTGTAGGAGAGTGGAGAGATATCTAGATGGAATAACGATGTTACAAATCTCGGGCGTCTTCTACCTGAGCTTTAGATGATGCGAATTGATTGATGATGAAGAGGATCTGTGAGTACGTGCTCGCCTATCGACACGGCCTGAACTGTTGAAGTGAGAAATTGTAAGGTTACGGCGTATTACGGGAATACATATGACAAGCAGGGGAGACTTATTTTCGCGCCTAGATAAATCTGACATGGTTCGATGAAGCTTCTAGTCTAATAATATTTGAGCAGATGGGAACTCGACAAGGGGACTTTGTGGATGTTGCGTGACAGGCCAAACGGGGTTCCATTCAAATCAACACTAATCACTTCAACTTGCCAAGTTGAGATTCAAAAGATCAGACATTGCTCATCTTAGCGTTGCGTTGTGCTCCGGGTCCTTGTGGGCCTGGACTTCTTTAAGTAGTGAATGGGTACAAATAGTGACATTGTGCGAGTAAAGATCAGTACAAATGCCGATACAAGATTTATGGGGTACCTATCTTGGAATGAGATGCATCATGCCAGCCTGTTTCTGCGTATGGATGTATGTATGTACCTGAATACAATGACAGCCTTTTCGAGATCACAAACCGGAGGGATAAGCAGCCCTTCAATGAACGACAGACAATCGCTTTCACCGTTTGTACTCCGCAAAAACTGTTGAATGTGCTAGCCCCTGCCCGTTAAGCTGAAAACCTATTGACGTTTTAGGGTAAGAGGAAACGCCACAAAATCGGCCAGCAAACGCCAAGTGCCAATGATAAATTGATGCTTTCATGCCGTTTGACAGAAACATTCAGGGCTAAGATGTAACCGATCATCAACTAAAGCTAGAGAGAAGCCTTGTAAGGGAAAGTACACCAGTAAAATAAACTAGTCGAGCGATACGCTACAGAGTCTCCTCCGTTATGTGTGACTCTGTGCCTTACTGCTGGGACGCCGGTACGCTATTGCATTCCACGTGGAAATGATATACAGTACTTTCGAGTTCGTGGAGGCACGCTTCTATTATTGTTCCATCCATTGTGCAATAGTCTTGGTATTTGTATGTTGCATTAACCTTACAGCATGCGCTCTCTGCCCGATACTCGGGTTCGTCTTACGCTGCGGCCCGTATTACTGCACGTACTGTACGTACTCTAGGTACTTATAGTTGATTTTTTGGGTATTCACATATAGTCCAACAATAAGTGTCCGAAGGCAAAAGGAGCTAGTTGACACATGGAAACTACTTCGCATACCGACCTTTGACATTTTTGCTAGTGGTTGTTACTGTCGAGATCTGCTGAGCTTATTCAACGGCATAAAAGCATAAAAGCATAAATCTAGGAGAAAGTGGGCATAAGGGTTTATTAGAGGAACTTACTAACGACGGAACAAGTGATGAAAGGTTTGAAGATCAACCAACAAGTAGGTTAATGCTCCGTAAGTAAGGTTATGCTACGTTGATCGATCCTTGCTACTACGTAAGTTGTGTTATATACTCGAAATGTTATTCATCTCTTTTTCCCCTATTGATCATGATCATGATTACGATTACGACTTCATTTCGTAGGCAATCGTGGCAATTCAAAAAGATTTTTCCCATCGCCACTCGGCCTTCTGCAAAAGGTTTAACACAGTGCGGAGGAAATTCCGATCGATGACACCACTTCATCACAGGTTATTCCGTGAAGAAATGTCTCCTTGAGGGTCCCTTGAGGGTCCCTTGAAAGTTGAGGGTTCATGATGAATGTTTTCGTCTCCTCCCTCCCCTGTTTCCATGTTTCCATGTCTCATCAACCTTACGGAGTCACTCAGTTGCAGATTTTCAAAGGACCAGGAAATGTCCTTTTTCATGCCCAAAGAAGATAGTGGCTTCAGTGTGAGACTGGCTAAGTGGTTCAGCGTGTGCGACGGTGGAGATTTTAAGAGTGGGGGATTCTGCACCCAGTCAAACTTATTACGGAGCATACCTAGCTATAGTGGCTCCAGCGCTTCTCAGGAGTGGGGAGCGGAGATGCATTAATTTAACTTTCATTCCCGCCGCTACTAAGTTTACTAGACTAGTTCAAACTTCGTACTGTACTTACGGGTCAACTGCTAATTTTGTAATATCTTTAAATTCTGAATCTATCGCAACGATTGCCGATGCCGAGGAGCTCTGTGAATGGGTACCGAACATTTGACTGGACTCTTGAGATATAAAATAGATAACATCCGATGATCCACCGGACTTTTAGGAGGTACAGAGTTTGATGCAAATTGACACACGTGTGAAAAAAGTCTATTGAAACGGAAAGGTCCTCATCATTATAGCGGATTACTGATCGATATCTAGCAGCTCGAAACAGTGTGCATTTAGATGAACATTTAGTGCTACTGCAAGACAATAGCTTCATGCGTTTATTGTACATCATGAAAACTAATTCATGATAATTTATAAAGGACTGAATTGTTGGCACTACTATGTGTAATTGGGAAAGGGATATCGCAAAAGGAAACAATTTATTGGTATTTTCACGTTCTTGCTCTCTGCTATTCATTTATTTAGCATCTGATGACAGAAGTCAATTAACACGGAGAAAAGTATATCAACGTTCAACCAGTCATACCGCTCAAAAATAGCGAAGATTCCTCTATGGGGCACTCTACCCCTCGACTCAAGAATAGCTTTTGCATAACTCCCCGATGGCCTAACGCCGATAGCACAGTGACTCGTCTGCGTTACAAGCGAAACCCTCCCCGAGGCCCGAAATTTCCACTCTGTCTGGAGTGTGCGGAACTATCCATGTTAAAATTAATGTATCATGTTGTACATTCTGTTGTAGGACCATCTCTTCGCCTCGATTCAAAACATGGATTGTGAGGAGCGAAATGCCATAGTAGCTGGGATTAGCTAGGATGGCCTCACGTACTCGTCTTTGAGTTATTTCACACCATCCAGATACTTTCCTATTTTCAATTTCAGACGCCGAGTCTTCCGACAATTTTCGACTGCGGTAATGTTGCAGTTTAAGGCCTCGAGTGTATCACCAACCAGCGATGCCGAGCACTCATGCCTGGCCTAAATGTCGTTTCTATTGCGTCTATGAAGTCTTTTGACGTGGAAGCTCCTCTCATGACAAAAACAAAGGTTCTAAGAAATGGGAAGTTGTCTCTAACATGAGCCCATGTATATTCCGCAGCATCTCCGTCGTGGCGGTAGAGTTTAATTGAAACGCAAAGGCAATATGCTAAACCTTGAACGGATCTTTTTGCAATTTGCATTTCTCTAACCATCTACCACCGAGGTCTTCATTGTGGTCCATTCAAACATGAGGATACGAACCACAAGGTTGATGTACCATTCCAAGTCGACGTTCTTCACTCATGCCCTGGTATTCGAGCCTGGCGGAGTCGGATGATGGCATCAATTGTGTGTGGCTCAAGGAAAGCTTCTCGCGACTTCAAACAAAGTACGCACAGCAATCTCCATCCAAATCTCTACAGCGTAACTACACGTATATCTGTCAGAGATCCTGTTTGTCATAAAAAGAGCCCCAGCGGTTGAGATGAAAATATTCAACTCTAGGATTGGAAAAAGTATATTTCCAAATCTAACGCCGGAGCCCGAGAGATAGTCCAAGGGGAGCAAGTGAAAGTGCCGTATCCATGCTTTATCCATCTCACTTTGCATGCATTGGTGAATTTCCTGCTTTCGACGTCCCAAGGTCAAACTCCCAAGGCTATTGGTGCAAAAGTGTCGTCTTTTTCGGTGCGCAAACCGCAACAGTTGAATAGTCGCTCAATCATCTAATATTCTATACTCCGTCAGCATTAGATTTCTTTCACTGAAGGATATGTGACAACTCAACAGGGTCGTATAGTAAGTCACAGGTTTCCAATGCTGCTATTCACTCTTCTAGTGTAAGGCTTGCTCTTCAAAACCCTCGTCATTTTTGTCTATCGTGGATGAGTTCTCTGCATTATCGCAATTTTGGATTTCACCATTCTCGCCAGTGGCGTGATCTCCATAAGTACTGGTTGAAAATTAGTCGCTTTCTATAGCAGTTTGCTTTTCCGTCTACTGATGGCCTTTATAAGGTTTCTGCAGTCATTTTAGCAATTTTTGCTTAATGGTTTCGTATGATGTGTTGAAATAATGTAGTAGAATGAACAAATCTCGAAGTGGAAGGAGCGAGACGACGAGTGCCCACCTTTCGCGCCACAATAGTTTAAGTGAGCGCTTCCGCTTTCACCTCTTGGGAATCTTGTTACAATATCTTTTCTCGGCTCCCAAGATTCTGCGCCATCGACATCTGCATCTTCACCCCAATTACGGCTGCTGTTCATACCGAACTGCTACCACCGAATATTTTATCATCTTACCAGTGACTTCTGGATATTCTCATACCATGCCTTCTGCTACTGGAGTATGAGCAGCATTGCTCAATGCTCGCGTCCCTGATGCGCTGATCATTTCGATGCCTTCTGATTAATTCTTTCAAGCCCTGTAAGAGGAGGAGTTCCCTTTTCGCGGTGGCCACTATGAATGATTTTGATGTAAAGACTTATTTGGAGAACAAAGTACAAAGACCTTGATTCATGCCTTTGGCCTTGTTGGCGGTCTAGTGTGAAGGAGGTAGAAAGAGCGTGTGAGTGAGTGAATAGCGGGGGTAAGTATGATCTTTGAAGAATCTACACTTTCTTCCCACGGCATCAGTTGCACGTTTTTTAAAGTTATAACTTTTTGCGCCCCTCTTTACATTCATATAGATTTGGGTCTACGAAAGGAATTAGGAGTGGAGTAATACAGGGAGTATACGAGAGACTATGGGTAAAATCATAGCCACCAAAATATATCCAGTTTAAATGAATGGAAGAAAGATCTATATATCCCTACTAGGCCTTGGAACTAGCGAAAGGTGTCTCATAGATCATGAATAATTCCAAGTATCGCTGATGCTGAAATGGAGAAAGTCAGTACGTATACCTGTGCATCTATCTTCGTCTGGTGTGATGAGCGCCAACGTACTTCAGAGTAAATAGTACACATTTTTTCGACCTTGAAGGTATTTTGAATCATCCTATCTGCAAGGATAGCTTTGCGAAAATCACCGGCACCAATTTAATCACCAAAGATTTAAACAAAAATGTATTCATTCATCATCGATGAAAGTACTCCTACACAGCTACCGATTCCAGCAGTTCTGTTACAGAATCCGCGTCTCCTGTTACTTCCCTATGCAAGGAATCAATACTTCTAATACAGAATTTGGCAACTCAAATCCACTGGAGAGAACTCTTCTCGCGATCTTGCTCTTCTTGATATCCCGACTGGGTGGAAACAGGATGCTATTCGCAAGAATCGTACGTATCTTTCAACATAGACAAAGTACTTTGACCGATTCTCCGCATGGCTCTTCTATTTAGAGAGTTTTCTCCCTCCTTATTAGAAAATCCAACATTCCTCTTATTACACCGTCTTCGAATTTCAGCTCCTTCACACCTTTGAAATTGAGACAGGTGAATTATGAACTCAAGGGCATACTTGTCGATATGTTACCATGAAATTCAACCTTTTAGGTTGGAGAACCAGCTATATTAACAGAGAAAGGAATAAAAGAGACTGAATATAATCTTTGAGCAGACATTGATAAAGCTCAAACCTGACATTCACTGCAAGACCTCTCGAATCCAAACGTTAGTTTTGCACTCACATCATTTTTTCCATCTGTTAATGATTTTTCATGGCTGTGTTACCTTTGGCAAATTTTACAAGAGACATCCCTAATGCCAAATCTCAGTACGATCAAACCTCACAAATCGGTTCTAAGTGTTACTGGTCATCGCCGTGAAGACATCGTCCCAGAAACAGCCGCAACCTATAGCCATCCGGAAAGTCTTTTTCTGGTCCTGGTTCAAAGGATATGTTACATGCAAATGAAAAAAAGAACTACCGCTCTCTAGACATAGGGGTGGGCAATCATTTAGGCCAATTACTATCACGCAAGCCGTTGCCGCCCCCTTCTTAGCACTCCGGCGGTTACCCCTGGACTTGTTGTCCCTCGAATTGTTACTGGACCTGTTATCACTCTAGCTGTTGTTCCTCAACCTGCTTCCTCTTGAGAGGGTCGTAGACCTCAAAATGTAGAGGAAGCTGCTTCGCTGGCTTATGTTCATTGTTGTACACAAAGACTGTTATATGATGATGATAACGATGCTGATGAATCGGGCTCTAATATTTCGCAGTATCAATTGTTACTGCAAATAAGGGACCAATTTATGATGGTTGAAGGTCTGATAATCGGGATTCAACAATTAGCGGAATTGTGTCAAACTGTACATAGTTAGATAGGGAGAATGAATGACAAGTAGTTTGAGATGATAAATCTGGAATGTTGTTTCATGTACGATTGTAGGCGCATTCGAGTACTTCTACTATTTTGCCCGAGTCTTTGTTTGTCCATCGCCTTCCCCTTCGAGATCAGAGATTCGCAGGCCAACAGGAACTTTAGCCTTTCAATCTAAACATTGCAGCATGAAAAATCGCAGCGATAGGTAGAGGTTTGATGGTCTGCAGCTCATTGGTATTCACGAGTAATCGCTTCATGGTAAAACGTTGCCCGAGAGGATCTATTCCACCTAGACCTTTGGCTAACACAACTAATTGAGTGACTGCGCAAACAACACTCTTGCTTTCAGTCGATGAGCAGCCTCAAAGATAGCAAGTAGAACACTTGCCGGTTAGTCAACTCGATGAACCGCTTGGCACAAGAAGCACATTTTTATCTTAAAGCACATATTGATCACTTCGCCAGGTGAAACCTTCTGGACGAAGAGCACCTCCGAATACCAGCAGGTCTCCCAAAAGAGAAAAAAAGATATCCATCCTCCTGTCCCATTTTCAATGTGCAATTTACAGAACCCTCGCCTCCACTACGACTGATGCATTTCCCGCACTGGGCTTGCCCGCATTCTGGTAGGATGCTTTGGTGACTGAATGAATACCAACACGTTCACAAGATAAATATCACCAAGGACTCATGAATAAATGGATTGGAATTGATTCTGAAGGGCTGGCAGATAAGGGGATAGATAGATGGCTGGATGTCATAGTCTAAGCTCTGATTCCCCGAAGAGCTGCTCAAAATACTCCCTCAGTAACTATTTGAGAACATTAACAGTTGCATTTTCGAAGTTTTTTCTTGCATCAATTCTCTCCTCTTTACTTGGCGTCGGCACAAAAATGGCAAATATTCCCCCTTATCTACTTTCCTGGTATCCCCACCCTAAGAATACGGAGACCTTGTAGTGTCAACTTGCGACAACGACACCCCAGACATCTGCGAGCCTTTGATTCAATACCAAGATTCAATCCTCCTACAAGTCGGGGTATAGTAGTATTTCATTGTGCGCTTTTGCATCTAAACTTCATCCTCTGGCCGAAATGTCCATTATATCCAATCGCTACTCCGCGAAGCCTGAATTCATCCATATGCCTTCCTGCAATTGCGCCAGAGTCATCAAATCCTCGAATACAATAACCAACAAGCGCGAGATAGATTAGAGCAATTGGCAGACAGTTGGCACATTAATGTATTGATGCGATAGGCCTTCTCGAGAAGGAGCGCAAAATCGGCAGGCAATGGCTTTTCAGGAGGATGTGGCTGCACATAACAAAAATGTACAGGGGCGAGGGCAAATATAATCTCCCGGCAAACAAGGCTCAACGAAAGATTTTGAAGAACCTGTGGCTAGTAGGCGATTTATGAGCATCAATAGGTTTGGAGATAATGTGTGCTATGTTTCTGCCAGCTTGCGCTGCATTATTTCAAGCACTGAATGCTTGGGTACGAAGGTAGATTGCTCAATGAGAGGACTATCACCAGCATACTTCGTTGATTCAAGTGATGCTTCTTTGCATGACTAGAAGTCTACCTTCTAAATTATGATCGAGGCGTAGGCTAGCTATATAATTTCTTCTCCATAGCCAAAGCTGGTAGTACCAGATTGGGTAACGCGCATACTCTGTATCTGCCGACCACACCTGGATCTTACCTGGAACCTGCTATAGTGAGCTGCATTTTGGCACCTGCTTTAAAATACAGATCAAGCGGCGCGAGATATCGTACAAGTTAAAGTCGAGACTTGAATTCATGATCAATACCGTTCCAAGAAGTAGACATCATAGTAGTTGATTGCACACACAAAGTTGTCCTTTCGTGCCCTAGCAACAGCCATATGTAATTCACGTCCCACTTAAGGAACGAAATTCGGGTTTTTATTAATATCATATCTTCATTCTTAATATCTCATTAAACATAAACCAAATATAGCTATCTACTCAATAATCCCATACCATTTAAGTTCTCTTCCATCAAGTTCCTTTATAGGAACCTCGTCTCCATTCTTTCCCCTCAAACTAACCTGGTTAGCACCTTGAATATACAAAACTCCCCCAGATCCGGCCCCAATCACAGTCTTTTCCTCCAATCCTTGTGCAAGTACAAACCCGCCATCGGCAGGTCCTGCCCATGCAGTAGCATATGTTTTGGATGTTCCTCTCATGGCTACACAAACTGGTGTAATTCCCAGGCTGGTAATCGCAATACCGATATTATCACCGGCGGCGACTTCTTTTCCAACGGGGATTGAAATGCTTTGGAGGGATGCTTTCAATTCTTCGGGAGTTACGCCTTTTGTGGAAAGAGTTTCCCATCGGTAAAATGCGGAGAAGAGAGCAGTGGCATTTGTGTAGCGGAATACGGTCAATGTGACATTATCTGTTGGTGCATCACCAGCTAGATTTATTCCAACAGACGTCAAGTTTCCTGCATTGGATGGGGAGAAGGTTTGATAGAGGCTGTGTTTGGGCAATGAGCAATTGAGGTAATAATCTTGGTGATCATTTCCGGAACCTATAGCTGCACCCTTTGCAAGTCCACTCATAGTAATGTTACTGGCTGGAAGTGTGACGGTAGTAGTGAGGGAAGGAGAACAATTTAAATCTTGGATTGAACCATCTGAATTGAAATTGAGAACTTGGAACTGACGACCATGTTGTGCGTTTCTCGGACCGGCAAGTGGTGCGCTAGCTTGAATATCGGCTTGATGGATGTACACTGCATCACCTCCGGTTGAAGAAGGGATTGTTAAAACGGCAGTAGTTTGACCACCGCATGTGTCACTGCTGATAATTTGGCGAGTCCATGGTCCCGTAATATCCTTAGCTCGGTACATGATCAAAAGGGTTCCTTGGCAGAAACCACAAGTGTTGGATGCGGATACATAGTAGTATCCATTGCGGTAGAAGATATCTGGAGATTCAGCTTGATAATCAACAAGATCTCCTACAGGAAGAATGTTTGTGGCATTTCCAGTCGTGTTCATGAAATCATTTGTAAGTTGTTGGATATACAGTGATTGTTTGAATGGAGGCCAAATTGATGCACCTAGGGTTGTGAAGTCGATCAAGGAGTATGCAAGATATCCGGTTCCATTGATAACAGCGACCGAGAAATCACCTGCTTGATCCGTTTCGGGGTGTGGTTGATATCCAACTGTGGCACGAGTAGGTTCGAGCACGTATCCCGAAGCTGGGGAGGAAGACGTAAAGATTATATAGCCTGGGCTACCAGCGTTTACCCACAGGATGTACTTCGAACTTGTAGGATTGTAAACGATATGTGGTCGTCCACACTCTCCGCCCTCTTCACATAGTGTAGCTATGGCCTCTTCTGCCGGATCGAACAAGAAACCATTTGAGGACCACTGTGAAGATGTATAGTTAGTACTGAGATATTTCAAGGTATTTCAAGCAAGGGATATTCCAAACACGTAGCTAAAGTTAAATGGCAGATGGAGAAGTACGGGAGAATATTCACTTACAGTAGCCAAATCCACTGAACTCCAACTCTCAATTCCACAGAAAGCTTTACCACATCCAAAGTTTAACCCATACCAAAGATATTGACCCTCAAAGTAATCGATCTTGCCGGATGTGGAATCGATGAGGTCGCCGTCAGTAGAGAACATATTCACAAATGAATTTGAGATTGTTGTGTTTAGACATGTTGCTGCCTGGAGTAATGATGACCCCAAGAAGAGGTTTAATAATATAGGGTTTCGCATATTTTGGTATGTATATGATATGTCCGGAGGAGAAACGTTCCCGAGTTTGAGGGTTGGGTAGGGCAGAGGAAGAAATTAAGTATTAGAGGGTAAATCACTTTACTCACAACTCCATATCTAAGGGAAGCTCAATGGGATCACCTCTTTATATAACTTCCACTGATATAGATCTTCAAAGCAGCTGGGCACAAGAGTCTCGGGTCCTGGCAAAAACTTTTCAATCCTTCAGCCAAAGAGTAAATGACACAATGAGTGGCATGCCGCCAAGTTTATCCAACACCCTAGGCACCGTCCACATGGCTTTTACGTATTGCCTTTCCCTCTACAAATCAAATATTAATTTTAATGGGCTCCTAGATTATAAAGCTGATGGACGCAACTCACCCTTCCACAAGCAGGTGATATCCCCAGATTTTCCCGTCCAACTGTACTGACATAATAACCTTGCAACGGGGGATAAATTATCCCATTCTCCATGGTGGACGAGTGTAAAAACTGGTAAGCCGTCCACCTGCAGAACACGGATTGCGGGGAAGTGTGGAGAAGCTGGAAAATTGGCAGAGGTGGACGACGGTTGGTCGTGTTTGTTTATCCAGAGGTTTTCCCGCTCTGATCCATGTTTTTTTTCTGCCCGTCAGATGGTAGGTTGTTATCCCGATGATTACCCACTTGCTTGCCGTCGCCGAAATCAGCGCCTTGTTTTTTTTTATCTCAATCGGCACTCTTTATGCCGCAATTGAAAGGTGCCAAGTATCTTCGAAGTGGAAAGGTGGAATCAAATTTGAGATTGTCTTCCTCGGCATCCGAGGCCAAGTCGCTTACTTCCGAGCGGTGAAGGGGAAGATCATAATGTGGTGAGGTCTAATGAAATGTTCGAAATGAGATTTACATGTGCGTAAAGCTTTCTTGAGGGTGCACTTCCAATGCTTCAGTGCCTATCAAAAATCGGTCGTTGTTCTCATGATTGGTGGCTAGATGAGTTGGGCGGGGTATAGGCAGGTGCTCATAGTTGTCAATGTCAAAGCAAAATAAACTTACTAACATGGGGAAATCTCAAGACTTTCATCAACAAAGTACAGATGAACCATATGATGTGATCTTTATTTTCAATCTATCAGTGTATGAGAGATTACCTTATCCTGTTACCCCCTTAGCCTTCCATTCATAAATAGTATTGTAAAAACAATGGGATATCTCTCTAATAATTAGTTCATCTCAACTCGCTCATTTGATGCCACTGGTCTGGTCTCTTTTCGACCAGACCATGAACGGCATGGTACTTTTATAGTTTGTTCTCGACCTCATCCCCAAATAGTTCCCAAACACTCTTTGGAGCTTCATATTCACTTTCCGCACACACACCAACATAATCCATATCCAAACCAAAAGCTCTTGGTCCTCCCATCTTTAATCCCTCCTCTGTAGTCCAGACCGCCGGCGCTTTTAAAGCAATGACACTAAGTCTAAGTCCATATTTATAATCTGATATTCCAAGTGGTGCCCCATTTGCAATATCCAAAAAGACAATTAAATCCGGACAAACTGCCAAAACAACATCATCTTTCCCAGGTGTCTTCAGAATGGCACATAAGTTTTCGTTCTCGAACTCAACATATAATGATGGTGCGGATTCATCACCAACGATCGTGTTTGATGTGGAGTCAGCAACATAATCCAACAAAACACTGCCTCTAGTAAATCCTTCCGCTACTTTTCTCGTGACACTGACAACTTTCCCGGTGAATAGTAATGTCCCGTTTTGTGATTGCATGAGAGCTTTGACTGGATCGACCTTTTTGGCGCGAGCAATTGCGATTGACCGACCAATTTGCCATGCCCATGAATAACTATTAGACGGAAGTGTCCTTGCTTCTTTGCCACTTATAGGGTTAACCACCATTCCGGATAAGGAACCTTGTCTTGTGCATGCATCCCGCATAAGAATTTCTGCTTCCTCAGCATCTTCTGAGTTCATGAATACCTCGGTACCACCACATCCATTGGCAACAGCAGCCGGAGTGACTGGAACACCTTTCAGGCATCTTACCGTTTGCCAAACCATAGGAAATGCTCGTGCTACACAATCAGTATCGAGAGTAGGTATTCCAAATCGATGGGCACTGAGAAGGGCTTCAAATGAATTCATGCCACCAATCTCATTTGGTATCGTTGCGTCGAATGAGGAATGGCCAGTAGCTGACATGAGAGCTTTCACTGTATCGGTAATTCTAGAATATTGGTAAGCATGTATAAGTGAATGATGAAGTATAAATACTGTGATGGGAACTTACTCATTTAGACCGGGTATACGTTCCAGGTAGACTGTCGGTGATCCCTACAATCAATCAGTCATGTCGCTTTAGATATCTTTCGATATAACATACCATAAATCCAGAAGTAAACATCAATGCATCATCCGGAATAGTATCTTGCCGCCTAATCCTTATACCTTCACCACTCTCAAGTGCCATCAAACAAGCAATGTAACTGGGATATGGTTCACCACAACTTCCAACACCCAGTACCCCTGTACCATCCATGAGAAATTTGAGGTCAATTTCAGAAAGATGCCATATATCACCCTCAATCCGGGGACGATAGGATTCTACATCAATGTGTTCGAGAATTTCGTAGGTTGACGCTTTTGCATCAACAGGACTATCCAAGCCACTTGCGCTATATCCGGAATCTGCCCGTCTGGGCTTGAATTTCGATATCGATATTGGAACAGTGTCTAAGTCTCGAACCTTTTCCACGTTGCTTCGTAAATCACCAACCACTCGAACGACCAGCTGTGTGGCTCCATTTGTGACGTAGTTTATAGGTAATGTTTCGATTTCAACAACTTCGATCGTTTTTTCGTCGCCGCCTGCAGCAACACATCTTTGAATCGCGAGTAGTCTTGCCTCCTCAATATGTTCCTCTACAGTTTTGTCTCCTGGTGTAACGACCGTGTCAACATGTCCACTGATCTTTCCAACCTACACATCTGAGTTAGCACCATTCCTGCTGGTTATTGACGGAAAACAACTCACAGCAGCTCCAACCGCATTTGCTACTTCTAAATACTGCGGTCTAATTACTTTTCCTACTCCAGCAATATCCGTCCCCACAATAATGCTACCTCCGCCCACAAGAATAACGGTAGCAGATCCTTGTCTTGTTTTCACTTGATCAATTGCAACTTCCAACGCACGCTGGATTTCCGAATGTCCGCCACTTTTAAGTTCATCGGGAATCATTTCGGTTCTCTCGTTTGACAATACAAGATCGGTAGCCTAGATATGTAAGCTTTATTCTTACATTTGACGGAGTGGTCCATACCGTCAAAATTTGCCCGCCAAATGCGATACTCTCCTTCTCTAATCTTGGTCCTACAGAATCTGGACCAACTGTTGTTTTCCCCGATTTTCTGGTGCGTATAAGTGATCCACCACCTAATGCAACACTGTAAACATCAGGAATTGTGAAATTGGTCCGAACACCTGCGATTTTTACAAAGGCGGCAGATTGTCTGGGATAACCAGATTTGAGAAGAGCACAAATATCAGTGGTAGTGCTATAATTTGTCAATAAAATTCCCCAGGAAAGTGAGAAGGAGAGCAATTCTTACCCCCCAACATCGACTACTAAAACTTCGCTATCGTCCTCAAGGTTCATACACTCATTTTTCGCAAGAAGTGCAGCACCCCTTGCACTATTCGTCGGACCAGAAGAGAAACATCGGACAGGATGCTCTGCAGCTATTGATGCTTTACTTAAAGTTCCATCGTTTAGTGTAATGTAAAGTCTGGCATTCCCCAGGTCATTTACCGCATGTGCAAATCCAGCAATGACATGACGAGCAAACCGCCTCAAACTTGCATTTAAAATGCTAGCATTTTCGCGCTCAAGGAATCCTATTCTTCCAATCGTGTGTGAACATGAGACATCGTACTGTGGCCCTAACTCCTCAGCGAGGATTCGTCGTGCAAACTCTTCTTGGGCTGGATTGGATGGTGAGTAGATGCCAATCACCACAACGCTTGATATTGATTTCGATCTGATTATTGAAGCTTGTTCCCGAAGTTGTTCAATGTTTACTTCGGAGATTGGTGTTCCGTCAACTTCAGTGGGTTAGCAGATTTGTGTGATTCTAAGGATGCACCGGAACGTACGTTGTAAACCACCGTCAACATAACCATAGTGGCCTTCCATTAACCTTCGTAAAGAATCAGGAAAACCAACTAGGATCAGGAGCATTAGCGAAATTTCTTTTTTAATGGGTAATTGGTCTACAACTAACCAAATGGTGGCGAGCCCCTCGAGTAAGGACCACATAATCGGATAACAGCCACTTTATCTAATTTGGTACCGTTCTGTTCGAGGACGGCATTCACAAATTGCTGTGTGAGAAAATAGAATCAGATATGATAATGAGCATGTGCTGGAAATGACGAGAACATTTCGGAAAAGCAGGAAGGTGAACCGGATATGCAACAAGAAGTACTAACTCGGTAGTTCTTGACGGAAACATATCAAAAGGCAAGAAGCCGAGCCAAAATCCACAAACTTCAGTCCGAGAGCCGAGGAAAAGACATAGGAGGCGAGTAGTCGAGACAAAACTAACTTACTGTCGTCCCAATCTTGATAAAATCTATACTATCCTTGGAGATCTGAGCACTTTTTATCACAGCAGCAATTGCTTGTTCAACACCATCGTGAATATCTGGAGTCGTTGGTGTTTTATGCCACGCCAAAACATTGTTATTTTGTAAAATCACTGCATCCTGTTATTATGCATCAGTGCATGCTTTCTTATGGAAAGGTTGGATGTTGTCACCACCTACTGTATTTGTTCCCCCGACATCAATTCCAATCACGCGAGAAGATATTCTGGAAGGCATCCTGCCTGTTGGCGTTGTCGTTGACGTTGCCGCCGGATCTTGAATGTGTAGAAATTGATTTCGAAGTTGCATGGAATATCACGAACTTGGACAGAGTGTATTTGGAAGCAACAAAAATAAACATAGGAAGGGTATAATGAACCGATTTGGCAAAAGAACAGAAGAAAGAAGGAAAAGGTGCAAGGACGATATTAACATGAGCATACATGATCGAAATTGGAGGTTTATTATATCAAACGATCGTGTACATAATAATAATAGGTTCATCTGCTCGCCTACCAAGGCCAGGATTCCTTTTTTGGTATGTTGTAGGCGTAAGGCGAGCGAGCAGTGACCCAACGAGGAGTGGGAACCTTGCGATAACATAAGGCAGGTCTGCAGCTCCCTAATGACACGCCGGTCGGGCACCTTATGTAATGATCAATGATGTACATGACTCTCAAGGTTTATTCTCTATTTGCACTCGAGGGCCATCTCCATGACATGACAAGCAAGTGAATGGCACATTATGATCGATCATCAATGAGGGAAAAGGACAGCGGGAAAAGTGGGCGCGGGGAAAACCGGATTTCGATGTAGTCTGGAGAGGGAAGATAGATGTAGTACATATGTACATAACATATGTACACTTGGAAATAGCATCGAATTGTCGAGAGATTCTGATTGTCAAAGTGCCGGCCGGTATACTCTGTACGTATGCACTCTGAACTCTGGAGAGTGAGTAGAAATGAGGGGTTGTCGGAGAAAGATTCGATAAATTTGAGTCGTGTACGGAGGAAAATCAAGAATAGACGAGCATAAAATGACTCGAAGCGACGATATGTCGATTTAGTGAATGTTGGTGAAATATTGTGAAATATTATGACATATTGTGCAAACTTATGAAATATTATGGAAACTTATGAAACACTGTGAAAACTAATTCATTAAAAAAGGAGGGATTCGAGGGGAACCTTAAACATATAAGGGGATACCGAGCATGTGGATATGACTTGTGTTACACTCTGTGTCGCTCTGGGCCTGCAGTGGAGGACAGAATGATTTGATTTTTGACTGACGATGAGAGCTCGAGCAGATGGCCTACCTTGTACAGACTACAGAGTAGTTGGTGAGAGGCAGAAGGAAAGAACGAAGAACAAATGCGGTGTAATGCGCACATCTCCTGTTTTCTGCTAGATACTTGTGCGGCCAGAAAGTACGGATATACACAGAGTACGATACAGAGTTGTAACTCCGAAACTCTATGCACATACCATACCACAAGATGAAAACCGACCAAAGGAATAACCTGATCTCTCTAGCCTCCGAGTATCATCCTCTCTGGGTGGCAGCACGACTCCTATTCATAATCAACTAGACACATTCATCCGAAATTTAATATCTACCGAGCAGTCTGGACAGAGCACACTACGGTGTAAAGTACCGGTATTGTACTCGAGTGCAGGAATATCGGTATGGAATTAGTTTAAGCCTTACAGAGTACGGAGTACAGTGCAGAGGAATCTCGAACGAGTGGAATCGAACGAGTGGAGAAACTTCCCATCTAGCTTGCGTTTTCATTACTACAGAGTACAAAGTATTTCCTCAATCCACAGTACTTGAATGGGTCTAGGCGCAAAAGCCTCATGTAATCTCATCCTTCGTACCTGCTACCGATATACTCCCGTAGCTACTCATACTGTTCTCAGAGTCTCTGAAAATCAGACCATCGAGACAAGCAAACACAACTTGCTACCCACGGAGGTACACATGTCTCTGCGATTTTCTACAAAGCAGCAGAGGACAGAGGAAGCAATACCTCCGTCGTCAACAACTGACTTGCAGATTCTACCCATGTTTATCCATGAAAAACGCCAATGGAAGCCACGACTTTCTTCCCCCTCTAATCTATCAAATTGGGTTACACCGTCGGCTTGCCCTGTCATAATGTTCTCCGCATATCAGTAAGGACCAGGCAGCTTGCATACCGTTCACGGACCCATTCACAAGGGACCAGTTGAATTATTGAAAACTTCTGCGGACTTTGTACCCTTTGGTCAATAGATACATAACCCACAGGCCAAAGCTGTCTTGACATCTGCAGCCCACCTGCTAGCTTCGTAGGTCTTGTTAGGATTCATTTCATATTTCAATCTACGTCTTCCCGGTCCTGTTTCTCCCAATGTCCACCTCTTTTTCGCTACTTACTTTAGCCTTATTAATCTTCCTTCATCATGACGGCGGAGGAGCATGAAACAGCGGACAAGTTACCGTTCACTGCTGTGGCCGCTCCAGAATCTTATCAAAGCGCTGAAGATGGAACTGCTGGAACTGAAATCGTTGGTACAACACTCTCACATAATGCACATTATGCACGTCAACAAGACGCAGGACCACCTGCTACAAGGAAAGAACTTTGGTCATATTATGCATACTACGCGGGAAACAATGGCATTGGCTCCTTTCAATAGTAAGTTCTCTGCTGCGCTGCATTTGATCTTGCATAACCATACCGTCCATACCCTCCATACCATTCTGTTACTGACTTCAATCCCTCTTCAGCTCGAGTCTTTTATTTCAAAACTTGATATACCAAGCCGGGTTTAATCCAAATATTCTGCCATTGGGCAGCGCACCTTGCGGCGATGATACTCCTTGTCATGTCTTTTGGAATGGAGGAACGAAAGCATATACATCGGTGGTGTTGATAGGATCAGGATTGACGTTCGTTTCACAAGCCGTACTTTTCCTTACGATAGGAAGTTTGGCAGACTTTGGAAATTGGAACCCATGGGTTGTTAGAATTTTCTCCCTCCTTTCGTTCGCCTTCGAGTTTGGGTTCTTAGGAGTAAAACACGCAAACCAGTGGAGGATTGCCATGGCACTCTATATCGTTAGCAGTGAGTCTTTACCCCCCTCCCCCTTTTTGACTCCAGCAGTATCTAATCTTATCCAGGTGTCACTTGGTGGGCTTCTTACGTTTTCTTCAACGCTATATTTCCCAAACTCGCCCACGATCTCCCCGAAGTCCACCAAGCGAAAGAAGATTATGCACAGGGCGCATTGACAGAGGAAGAATACGAATACAAGTGCTCAATGGCAAGGTCCAAGGTTATGAATATAAGTTATGGGTGGAATAATGTTGGATTCACAATTTGTGGAGCTTTGGCATTGGCGGCTCTCGCAGGAATTGGTGCAAATGATTCCACGCAGCAGAACAATTGGGGATACTCTGTCTCTGTTGCTGTCACCACTGGTTGGTGGATTGTTCTTGCCATTCCATGGTTTATCTGGGAAAAGAAAAGACCGGGACCGCCTCTACCGAAGGGAGACAACTATCTTACATTTGGCTTCAAACAAACCTACTTCGCCGCAAAGCAGGTGTGGAAGTTGAAACAAACTTTCTTCTACCTGATTGCATTTTTTCTATTGGCAGATGGAGTCGCTACAGTACTGACACTGGTCTCAATTGCACAAACACAAGTTGTTGAGTTTTCCGCAACACAAAACACCTATCTCATCATGGTTCAAGGTGGCTCAACTACAGTTGGAGTCTTCGGTGCCTACTATATTCAAGAGAAGTTCAAGATCCGGACCAAGGCCATGCTACAATTTTGCAATTGCGGTTGTGTCCTCATTGCACTTTGGGGAATGGTAGGTATCTGGACCACCAAATTTGGATTTCATAATGAGTGGGAATTTTGGCTCTTTCAAGCGCAATATGGAATTACCCTTGGTGCTCAATATCCATACGGACAAGCATTTATGGCAGAGCTGGTACCCAAAGGAAGAGAGTATTTGTTCTTCAGTCTTTTGGGTATTGTATCAAAAGGGTCAGCATGGATTGGACCAATCGTTTCCAGTGCTATTGTTGATCGCAATGGAAGTCAATGGGCAGCTTTTCCATTTGTGGCAGCATTGATATTTGTCCCTACAGTTGCAATCTTTTGGGTCAGTGAATCAAAGAGTAGGGTTGAGTGTGCAGAGTATTTGGAAAAGGAGAAGATGGATTTGCAGAAGCTTAAAGATAATGAGTTGAACACAGCCAGATTTGGTTCTACGGAAAGTAGTGGCGGAGTGGATGGATTTTACAAGACGAAGTAGAGGGATGAATGATTAGATGCTTAGATGATTACTGTCATAATGATGATGATTCCGATACTGTTGACGCATGTCTTGGGCAGTACTTATAGTTAAACCTCTAGAAGCTGTTGTATGTTTTAAAGATATAATGTAGATAGTAATTGCGTTCACATGTTTCTCTGTGCGTGTTCTTTATATCCTCGTGAACTGGACATGACCTGACCATCAAGCCATGAAGATGCAGCGTGGTATATATAGAAATGGCAAACCCTCAACCCATGGCATCAACCCATGGAATCAATCCATGGCATCAATCCATAAGTGCATCGCCCGTCTTTCCATCTTCCACCTTCGATGAATTTCTAGATCTGCTACACGGGTCTTCCCTTTCCGCCTTCCGGCATTTATGGTTCCACGATTCGGGAATTTCCTACAGGAATAATGCCGCAGACTAATCAAAAGTAGGTAGTCCATGCAAGCCAAAGGATTTTTTTATATAGAGTTTTGTCACCCCGCATCAAATGGCAACATTGGAAAATTGACCAATTATGTCGAAATGATTCTCAGAGATTTGAAACTATAAATGTTGGAGAAAAGTATGATTGACGGCTGGGTGACCCCTTCGTGAGTACTCTGTATAAAAAATCAAGTTACAAATCCACTGATGGACATTGATGGACATCAAAGCAGAGACTATGACGGAGGACAAGGGCTTCTTTATGTTATGATGGTATGGTGATGGTGGGATGATTTTCATATGAATCTAGAAGTTTTCGATATGATATGTGGAAAGAAAAGAAGGGAAAAAAGGGATGTGAGGATGTGAGGATGTGAGGATGTGAGGATGTGAGGATGTGAGGATGTGAGATGCTGAGGTTGATTATTAATTGGGTTTGAATTTTGACAAGATCTTATAATTGATGGAATAATTAAAAGCTAGCTTTCCAGATTTTCCAATATACATATGTATGTCCATATATACATACAACATACATAGGTACATATAACATACATCCACATACATCCACACATACATACTACATACTTTAATTAATTAACCTTACAAATACTAGGTCCTATAGGTCCTACTCGTCCTGCTATTTTACTCCTTTTTTTCGTTGGTCAATTATTTTCAGCTCCGGCCACGAGGTCTGGTGGGTTTATAAGTCCACAAGTCCAAACGTGCCATAATCTAATAATCTAATAATCCCATAATCTACTTCTGGGACCCAAGACTGGCCAATCACAGCCGGCGAGAGAATCGAAAGGTGGCTCTGTCTTACATCTTCTAGTCTTTTTGCAGGAAAGAGCAGCTGCAGGTTGTTCGTTCCTGGTTAATCCGATCGACAGGCATAGGAAACTGGAAACTGCCTGCAAGCACCTTAGACTCTTAGAGTACATCCCTCTAGAAAAGTTAGAAAGTGGAACCCGAACGAACTTCACTAAATGTTGTTCCTGCTGCATTTGACTCTTTTTTCGCCATTTGCCATTTTAATTTGTAGAGAGGAACAACCGACGACACTTGTTATTTGTTATTATTTTTATTATTGATATTGTTATTATTACTACTACCATTACCTCGGCGTCGCAAAAGTCATCTATCTTCCTTCAATCTTCACGCTTCACGCTATCCATATCCACCATATCCACGATATCCCTCGACAGTTCCCTCGTCCATTGATATGTACAAAGGGAAAAGCAATTTGAATGCCTCGAATACCAAAGTAAATATGGCTCCTGGAATGGGGATTAAAGCCCCGGTACCTCGAACAAGGACAGGTCCGTTCACGTTCCTTTTGCACCAATTATCAATTATCAATTTTATCAAGCATCAAATACCTTCAATATCATCAATGTCATCAGTGTCATCAATGTCATCATTATCGTCGACCGTCAATACCTCAATCTCATCATATGACATTCTGACATTTTGATATTATGACACATGACACATGACATTCTTCTTCTCACAAGTCCCCATTCTAACACATCAAAGGTTGCTTAACATGTCGAGCAAGGAAAGTTAAGTGCGATGAAGGGAAACCGGATTGTGGTCGCTGTATACGACTTCAACGCGATTGTAAATGGAGCACACCTCCAGCTCACATGCTTGCCACTACGTCTCATGGCCATGGACTCTCCAGTACCAGCTCATTACCTACCACTCAACAACTTGCCCTTGGAAAAACACGCATCCCGAAAGATTCTTTTGTCATTGAGTTTCCTAATATTGATAAAACAACCATGCCCTACATTCATCATTTTGTGGGGTTTTGCACGAGGTTCTTGGCGTATGCAAATGATGATGAGGGAAATCCTTTCAAAGAAGAATTAGTTCCATTTGTAACCACAAGTCCGGCCTTGTTACATAGTATTATTGCAGTGGCGGCAGGACATATGAGTAGGACTGACAAGCAGCACGAAGTCAAGGCCACGAAACATTATTCCATGGCTCTGAGGGAGCTGAATGCCGCACTATGTGACTCCTCGGTTGCGAAACAGAATGCCACATTAGGTGCATGTCTCTTACTATGTGTCTATGAGGTAATACAATCCTCTTTCCAATATCCCTCCACAAGAATGCGCTTCGCTCACAAAAGATAGATATCACATTCAGATAGAGGCTTATGGCTGGAGCATCTTAAAGGTGCACGCGACCTTATCTTGCATCGAGGAGGCCCTAGGACTAACGATTTTCTCACAAGATTCTTTGCGCTTCTTGACGTTTCCGGTTCTCTATGGGCAGGCCAAGGTCCTTTATTACCTGGAAACTATTGGCTTGAAGATGCGCCAACACAATTAACAAGTCCGAAGCAAATTGGTGATTCCTCCTCGACGGCAGAAGCACCTTTGAACTGGCCATATTATGACCCTGGTGGTGTTATGACTGGGGAGTTCCATATGTTTATGGTTTTCATGGCCAAGTTATCTCGCCTATCCAGTCGTTCCTTAACAGAAACCTCTTTTGAAGAGCAGATCATCATTAAACAGGAAGCCATTGGAATCAAACTGGAGGTTCAAACGTGGTGGCAGAATTGTCCCTCTTTCATTCGTGATCTTTCCAACGATTGGCGACGACAACCCCGCGATACTAAACTTACTGTCGCGGAAACTCTCGAAGCGGAAGCCTTTTCTAGTACTAAAGCTTGCATGTACGGATGTATTCTCTTCATTCATCATATTATTAATCCGGTCGGTGAAGAGCCACAAGATCCAGAAGTTTCAGAGGCAATCAAACAAGTCCTAGATATTGCTGCCGAGACACCGGAAGGATACGGACTAGAGATGGGTTTATATTATGGATTGTTTGCAGCAGGGGCAAGTATCTTTAATGATTGGGCAGTAGAGGATATGGTTAGGAAGAAGTTGAAGGCTGATACTAGGATCGCACTCTATGTAAGTTTTGTTCTTTGTGGAATGATAGCGGAACAGAATTAGGAAGAAGATCCTGGAATAAAACTAATGAGATACAGCATGCGGATCGAGCCTTGGAACTACTGGAGATACTTTGGAGAAGACAGCATCAATATGAACAGAAGTTCGATTGGAGAGTAGTTCAACAACAAATGGGGATTCAAATGTAGGTTTATCTTCATTACTGGCTGCTATTTGATACTATGACGTCTTATTAACAATATCTCAGATTTATTCTTGCTTGATGAGACTCTTCTAATTAGGGTATATAATTTTGAAGACAGGAGAATTTTCGGAATTCGCACCAAAAATCGCTGGATAACGACAGAATCGGAGTTCGGCATTATCGGAGTAGTAAAGTGGTTTGGCTTCCTTCGAGCATACACTGCATGATAAGACACTTAATCATGGATGGTGAGTGCATTGGTGTAAACATCATGCATATATAAGAAATGGAGCGTCCGTCGTTTATGCCAGTAATTGGATCTCCCAAATAAACTTTCGACGTATTTAATAGGTTTATTTTCGGCACACTGTCACAACCTCGACATTAATCAAGGATAAAAGTTCCAACACACTTGTGATTGAATTCATGCCTATTCGTCAAAAATTATGAAGAGCTCGTCACCACATTCGAATGTTTGGAAAATGGCAGATATGGAAACAAGGGCATCAGTTTCTGGGCAAGAATGAAAAGATGGAAAGGACTATTGTCCTACTTCCCGGCGGCATATCGCTCCTTCCATCTCAGCCGACGGATCAACGTTGTTTTAGCATCCCGCTCCAAAGAAATCATCTCGCGCATTACTTTCAAACACCAGAGAGATGAATTTTGACAGGTTGGTTGAGAATACTTAGGGCAAGCCTTTCACTCCACCTCATGGAAATGGCGAGACAAGAGGGAAGCTGATCGATGCGATCTTCATTATCGCTCCTTCTATTCTTGATGCCTTCTGACCAATCTGTTCATTGACAGGGTCGCTGAGAAGGGGGTTAAGAAGGATTGATTTTTCGGATGGAAAGTACAATCCAGCGGAGATGAACCAATTATATCTCAATATCGATTTACAAAGTGAGATGGAAGGAATTCCAGGATGGGCGAAGAACAGTATGATCCAGATTTGAATGCTGTGGAATGGACAATATTGAAGTCGAGTTGGTTTATGGAGAATTTTCGGAAATGCACCGTACGTAGACAACTTGTGATGGAAACCGATTTTTCCAGCGACACACATAGGTAAACGCGTTTCGAGAGTGTGGAACATGTCGGAAATGTGGTTTATAAAGCTCTAGCGGAGTGAAGTAATAATATTGAGAGGGGACCAGCGGGGGGAAAGCTGTATTACAGAGAGGATCAATCGGAGTCATTTGATAATGTCGCATCACTCTTGACGAACACATTAGGGAGGGAATTTTTTGAGCGTGGATGAGGGAGATATTGAAGGGAATTGTAGAGGAAGATCTAGCTAATATTTTTGTGGGATTTGGTACTGTGGTTAGGACGGGTGCGGAGCCTCGGTTAGATAGGGATCTGGATTGGATTATTGGGAAGGGGAAGGATTCAGGGAATATGCAGAGGCATATGCGAAGGGCGAGCTATGGGATGTGGGTGAATGGGGAGAAAGGGTGCAGAGAAGAGCTGGATAGGGGAGCTGGAGATGGGGAGTGGATGATTGCTGTGTGCTTGGGATTGGGATGCGATTTCTTAATTGACGGTTGAGAACAGGTGGTTGTTCAATATGATTACATACATATCTGCGTACCACTATTTTTGACAGTCTCTCCGCTTTCTTCCTATTCATACGGATTGGGATAAGAAAATGAAATGGGAATCGAAATAATTAGGAAATGATAAGACTAATTTTCAAAATGAAGTAAAGTAGAGAAACATGCCCTCATACCCTTACTTGAATAGTGTGTTGGTGTAGATAAACCTGAAGCTACTTGAAGGAACAGTGAAGGGTGAAATAAAGATGAAGATGCGAAAGGAGATTGAGATGAAAAAAGACACAGAGATGGATATGGAATGGAAGTGCATATAAAAATAGAGAATGGGATGGGGATGAAAGAAGGGAAAAGGGGAAAAGAGAAGATATAAGTTAGTGAATGAATGCGCTCTTCCCAGGGACGTCCATTAACCTACGTACGACAAGTACTTGGTGAAGAAAATTATATAAAATCATACTGTAATCTTACATTCTTATGGAAAACCTGTTAGGAAAAATTGCGCAAATAATTTAATAGAATTTTTGTTTTTGATAAATTTATAGGTGTATATATATATATATATGAGGTTTAATCACAGCTATTGTACCAGAGATACCCGGTTAAATAAGTTCACCGTCAACACCAGGTATACGGTCGCAATGTAGTAAACCGACACCCAGATCTAGTCTCGCCCAGTCCAAAGAGATATTGACTCTAAGATTACGATTCTTTGTTTCCTCTTCCTTTTTCCCCCTTCTGTTCCAAATCCTTCTCATTTTTATTCACATTCTCCTTCTTCTACATACCAACAGTTATCCATCCGGATCCCACGATTCCCATCCCATCACTTCCGTTACATGTTTATCATTGAAATTTGAAACTAACAAACAGTTGGTTCTAAAGTGGATAGATAAATCCATATCTCTAGAAATTGAATAGATAGATAGATAGATAGATAGATAGATAGATAGAATAGATACCTACCCACCCGGCAATACAATATCTCATCTCAACGACCCAAATAGTAGCAACCGTCCGAAATTTGGAAAATTGCCAAGGCCTGCAGTCTGCAGGCGGGTGCTTTCGTATGTATGTATCACTTTTGTGTTTTTTGTGTGTCCTGTCGGTCGGTCCAAATATTATTATAAATTTGCACACTTACAGAGGTTCTTAATCATCAATGTGACTTTTTTCTTGCGGGTATAGGCGCTCATTGTCGGTCGGTCAGTCACTCACTCACCCCCTTACGTTTGCAGGATGAATGATTGATTGATTGGATTTGGTGGGTATTCACTACTCTCCCTGAGTCTCATACAGTATTACAACCAAGTTCCAACTTCCAACAAGTTTGGCTGGTTTTGTAAGATGAGATGAAATGAGATAAGAGAGAGGTTAATTCACATCATATCGCATTCCTAGTACCTACCTACGGAGGTATTCCCGCTTCAATTCAGTCTAATTATGTGATATCTATCTATCTATCTATCTATCCCACGTGGATTGATTCCTTCAGCAGGGTAAGTCAGAACTCAAAAGGTTGAATGGGATAAACGGTATAGTATAGCTAGCATGAGCATGGTATGGTATGGTATGATTAGATTGGTGCTTAAACGGATACTAGCAAGTTAATTTTGAATGGGAATCAAATCCTTCGATTGATCGAGTAATTCATGCCGTCTTGGTATCTTTACCTCAGCAATAAGCGCCGGATAACCGTAGCCGAATAACTACAGCTTGTTCAAGGGGAGGAAGAAGAAAATCAAGCAAATAACGATTTCAGCCTTCACTGAATCCTGATTGATTGATTTGTTTGATGTGAGATGGATGTTGATGATCTCGATGAAATCATCCTTCTGGGGTTTTGTATCTATCGTATGACATCTTTAATCCTGAGTACAACATTGGTTTTTCCAATTGTTGGCTGTCTTCCAAGATTCTTGAACAAAAAGCTTCGAATGCTTCGCCTCGGGCTTGCAGATTGTACCTAACTTGGGGATGATCATGATACAGAGTACTTTTGATTTTGGATGTCTGTCGGTATGCACTGTGCAGAGAGGCAGACAGGCATCAAGATCAATCAGGATTGATTAGATATGGATGAAGGGGGGTTGGGTTATGGATGGTATGCTTTCTCCACTTGTTTCTTACTGTGTAATTTATTAGGTATCCACAGAGCAATAACCTACCGAGTCGGGGTCACCCATCTCACACCGTATCATCTATATCATTTTACCTGATTGATGTCTGAGAAATAGAGATGTGGCAAATTCACATCTTTTTATAATTTCTATAACGGTCTTGATGAGCATACCTTAAGGTAAGGAAGGCTTTAAGTTTAGTTTTGTATTTATGTATGTATATATCTATTATTAGTTAGTTGTATTAAAAGAATATAATATAATATAATATAATAAACAAACATAATCATCGAGTCTAATAGGCAGTTACCTTATTAATTACTAATTAGACACTGACATTTCACCATATCTCCCATGTTTTGTCTTATCGTACTCAAGTAACTAAGTGCAAGAAGGACCGAGGTGAGCGAGGATTGTTACTTTCCAGCTCGGTTGAAGAGTCCCTTTGGGGTATCAATTTTTGAAGCCTCCATAGCCCTCAAATTTATCCTATCCAATCATTATCACGAAATTTCATATCGAAATCCAATAATATGTAATCTTAGTATGTATTATGTATGTATCTTGCTTTTCTGCTTATTATTGATTATTCAGCTAGCTGATTCCCAGCATATGGTTTCACTCATCCATGAATCAAATCACCATGAATCAAATCATCCAAGACTTCCCTTGAATCTTTGATCCCAAGAAAAGGAAAATGCTTGTTGGCTACGAACGAGCAACGGTAGACTGGTGGATGGGCGGCTCACTTGAATACGGATCAGAGTACAGAGTAGATACACAAGCTTACTGCTCTATTCCTTACACTTTCTTTTACCTTATACCAAGTATTGCCAAGTAGACTTCGGCTAACAAGTCAAAAGATTAATTCTTATTTGGCAGGTCAAAGTAACTCGAGGCAGTTCGTTTGCAACAATCCTGTACGCCCAGTCTCGCGAGTCGAAAGTCTCGGATCCTCTTTTCCTTACATACCAGCCATACTGATCAAAACCTGGGATATAAATGTGGATGTGATGTTCCTGTTCCAGTCGACTGGTTAGAGAGCCGAGTTTACCGTCAGCCGTCAGCTCATTATTCCGAATTCCCCCAGAATCTTCGTTTCGCCTCTCACTTCCTTTGCCCTCTCTCTTACTGCTGCTCGCGCGACCTAAATGTTCTTATCGGATTGACTGCTTGGCGACATTTCTTAAAAACTTGGCAGCAAACGTTACCTTCCTATTGTGGAGTAAGGAGGAGATGATTATTTGTTGGCCATGAAATCGCTTGACAAATGAGAATGCTTTGGTCTAAATGAATTTTGGTAGAGAGATGAAGGACGCACGATTGAAGGTGGATTTTTGATGTCATGCTTTGACTCTTCACATTGGGGATATGATTGCGTGATGGGAGGATGGCAAAGTGGACTACTATAGTGGAGAAGCCCTCGCATCTGTCTATCTTTGCCCATCGAGGTAGTACTGCGTGGCTGGCATGCTTGACCACTGTCTTTGCCCATACATGTTTAGGGTAATTATATTGTATGCACGACAGCGCCCCCCCCCTCATAGTGGTATCGGGTGAAAATAGAACTCTATCTTCACTACAATACACAAGTGGGCTATCGATTTACTCTTCCCTCGACTGTATTTGCCACACAAAAACGAGGGAGCCTTGTCAATTTTAGAATCTGGGGTCCAAGTTTATATCTTCTAGAACGATTTGGTATGGCTGTGATATGTTCCGTGCGTCAATATCAGTTACGCACCTTCCTCTTTGGGACGTCTCCGTGATGGAGCGACATGCGAATCAGTTCACAAAGCACAATCGCGAGAGCTCGTACCAGCTGATAACGGTGCTGATTGGTATGGCTTTCCCGTTTTTTCGAGGGAAGGGATATGGTCCCATGCTAGCTGGATGTGCATGCGAGCAGCATGCAACATGCTCCGAATTGGTTGCTACTGGGATGATGAAATGGGATGTGGGGAATTCAGGTGGTGTAGCTTCACGATTCACTGCTATGGCAGCGGTATATTTATTCTCGTGTTTCCCCTCCACTTGCTTGACTTCTTTAGTCGCACTTCTACGACCACTCTCTCTACCTGCTGTGATCGATCAACTTCGCAATCATGGGTAAGCATTCTTTCCGTTGGTTTTGTTCACGTTCATCTTGACATCGGTGATATTCTTTACTGACAATTAACGATAGTTGCACAAGAAAATATCACAGCCGACATCCAAGGTGCCATCCTGGGCAGTGACAATGTTCTGGACATGGACCACAAAGGATCCCTCGTCCATACAGTCTCGCGAGAACGTCATGCCACCACCGGGCAGGAAACCGAAGCCGCAATAGTCCATGCAGAAGGTCATGGACACGATCACATCGATCCAGATTTAATTCCTACCGAGGAAGAGAAAAAGACTCTCCGAAAAGTTGCTGGAAAGCTTCCTACTATCACCTACTTAATCTGTGCTGTTGAATTCGCTGAGCGAGCTTCTTACTAGTATGTAACACCACCTTGATCGCGTCATTTGCAATTTCAATTTTTAAATTAGCTAACATAATTCACTCGTAGTGGTTGCAATGGTCTCTTCAACAACTATGTCAACAGACCCCTTCCCGTCGGCGGTGATGGATATGGTGCACCACCACGTGGAACGGAACAAACTGCCGGAGCTTTAGGTCTCGGCACGGTCAAAGCAACAGCCACATCTCAATCATTCTCTATGCTTGCATATGCACTTCCATTGTTCTTCGGATGGCTTGCAGATACCAAAACCGGTAGATTCAAGATTATTTGCTGGGGTGTAGCAGTATGTGGTATTGCACATATTCTCATGTGTGCTAGTGGTGCTCCTAGTCTGTTGGCCAGTGGAGGTGCCAAGGCTCCTTTCTTCTTGAGTGTTTATACTTTGTCTATTGGTGCTGGTAAGTTATCTATTCGTCCGAAAATCGAGCCTTCATAACTAACCTTCTGGCAGCTATGTTCAAACCTAACATCGCGCCAACACTTCTCGATCAAATGCCAAGCGCAGTACCCGTCAAGAAGACCCTCGCATCTGGTGAAGTCGTCATCGTCGATCCCGAATCTACCACCGAACGTGTCATGCTTTGGTTTTACCTTCTCGTCAATATTGGTGGATTCATGGGTGTCCCAACTGCATACACCGAAAAATACATCGGCTGGTGGTTGTCCTTCCTCCTTCCACTTCTCCTTTATGTTCCTCTTCCATTCCTCCTTTGGTACATGCGCAAACGTCTCATCCTTTACCCACCAGGAGGATCTGATCTCGCAAACGTTTGCCGTGTTGTCGGTATCTGCTTCAAGAGAGGTGGTTTGAGAAAGATCTTTACTCGCAAGGGAGGATTCTTCGAACCAGCTAAGCCATCCAACATTGCCAAATCTGGTAATGTTATTTCAGTGCCATGGAATGATGGATTTATCGAAGATGTAAAGCGAACTTTCGAAGCAGCCGGAATCTTCTGTTTCTTCCCTATTCAAAATATCAACGATAACGGTCTCGGTAGCTCTGCTAGTGCCCTTTCCACCATGTTGACTACACGTGGTGCTCCCAACGATGTTATGAACAACTTCAACTCTCTCTCCATTATCATGGTCGCTCCAATGCTCAACTATGGTCTCTATCCTTTCTTGAGAGCCCGCAACATTCACTATGGACCAATCGCTAGAATGACCACTGGATTCTTCCTTTCCACCCTCGGAGGCGCCGCCTATACCGTCCTCAATTACTACGCATACAAGATCGGACCTTGCGGAAAGTATGGATCTTCCGAATCCTGTGTTGATGCCAATGGTGTCTCCCTCGTTTCCTCCATCTCAGTTTGGTACATGGCCATCCCTTACGCTATCGGTGGTATTTCCGAACTCTTCGTCAACGTTCCAGCCTACGGTATTGCATACTCCAGAGCTCCTGCCAACATGAGAGGTCTCGTATCCGCTCTTAACTTGTTCACTCAAGCTATTGCTTATGCTCTCGGTCTTGCATGCGCTGGTGTTATCAAGGATCCATATCTCACTTGGGATTTCGGTGCGCCAACCATCATCGGTGCCATTATGATGGTCGTTTTCTACTGGCTCTACAGAGACATCGATAAGGAAGAATATACACTCAGTCAAAATGATGAACAGATGCATGTCGCAGATGCACCAATTGATGGACAAAGCACTAGTGAGAAGACATCTCCACCTTCTTACGAAGGCGAGAAGCGTGGTATCAGGGATACGAAAACTGAGCTTGAAGGTTAGAAAAGCGAAAAGTTTAATGCTGGTGGCGGAGTAGGGGGTTTGGGATTTTGGGATTGCGATTGGGGTGTGTTGATGAATTTCTATGATACCGTATGACAGGATGATATATTTGGGTTGGTTGGGTGATGGGCTCAGAAAAGCTAGATGCTGGCGAGCTATCGCTAGATAATTACTTCTTAATGACATTCTTTTATTTTAATTATGTGTTTCCATGCCAGTGGTATGATCATGAAGCTTCTTGAAATGTCGTTTCTATTTCTTTGCTACCGATGATAAGACTCTTACAACTGGGGGTAATACTCATTCATTGCTACAAAGGTAAACATAAGATCAGTGACCAAGTAGAATCTTAGTATATAGCGGTGCTTCTCCAACCACCCATATTCCAACATCTGCTTAGGTAGCAGGAGAACAAAAGTTCTATATTACAAAATTCCTACAGTGATTTACAATTATAATCTCAATCTTAATCTTAATATTACTACCTATATATATCTCTATCTTCCTCAAGCCCATCCATCCACTAAACGAAGACATTCTTTCCTCTCCTAGCCCTGCAACCTGAGGTTCATGGAATGTTCCTTCATATATATATACAAGCGCAAGATTACTACATGTATAGTCAATCGCATGAAAGATCTCTTGCGAAATTAAGATTACGACTCTCAATTCAAATTTGGAGTTGGAGTTGGAGTTGGAGTCGGAATGTGCGAATTTATAGTCAAGAAGTCAAGAAATCCGGGACATGAAGATATTTTACGAATAAACTCGTCCTTTAGGCCGGACTTTCATCTAGTATCATGTGGGATCTGGGATTTTATGAGAAACTTCCTTTTTTTAGATTACAGGAAGCACGAAACTTGAAGAGGAAAGATAGGAGCTAGGAGCAATGGCATCGGATATTAGAACTAAGTTGCGCGGATGAGATGTAATAATACATACCCCTATTCCCAATTTTCCCACCATAAAGTCTTACTTCTCTCGTTCATTTCTCTCACCAGTTGGTCGAGATAGTACCGTCATTCAAGAGACTAATTAATAGTTGACTTGAACGCAAAGGATATATATATTCAAAACTATCTAAACAAATTAAAAAAAATAAGAATAGCAGAAAGAATTCTATCAGAAAAAGGCACGCGATTAGAGCTCCGTCTTGTAGTCTTACTCTGGTTATATATTCACCAAGTCCGTACTAAGTGAGGCCTGATTTATCTCGATTTTCATCTCAGTCTCATTACACTTATACATCGAAATAAGAGGTGAAGATTTAGGGTTATAAATTATAACACCAGTACGGTTGACTGGTCCTAACAATAAAACAGACAGCCTTTTATAATATTAATACATGTAAGATCTTACATATTCATTCCATCCCACCAAATCCTGAAACTGCAAACCTTATGCTACAGTTTCTTCTTTTCCGAAAAAGCTAAGCTGACTTCCAGGTTGCTTTGACAATACCTCCCCCCCAACTCCTCCTCTTCAGATTTATCCGCGAGATGCTGAGTACGGGGCTTCCATGCCACAAGGCTGTCCATCTTATGGAACATTACAGTGTACACAATTATGACCCATACCGTTACTAGTAAAGGATGAACTTGAAACGAATATGGGGATGTTAGTGCCATTTGCACTAAAAAATGTAGATGCCATGGTATTCCAAACTTTTACCAGCTTAGGCACTATGGCTATAATAAGGCTTGTGATTGATAATGAATGAGCTGGGACGAAAAGGCCCAACTCGCATACGTTGAGAAGAGAGGAAAAAAGCTAACATAAGGAATATATAGTTCATCAATTCCGAGTGACCGTATGATGCTCGCAAAGATGTAGGTTTGGCTCAACGAACTCCATGACACAATCGGCGACGATGCCTTGTGCATGTTAGAGCTATTACACAAATATACGAGCACTACTCTTATGCAGAGGTCCCGGTTGCATCCCTCACATGCACAAAGCGGCGTATTGATGTTCTAGAGAACGGATGTCGTATTGACTAGCGGGGATTAAAAAAAAAAAAAATCTGGGACCGTTGGAGAAGAGGATATGGTGGTGTTAAAAATCGACCTCTGTCAAACTACGCGGAGCATCGAAATTTGACAAGAAAGACAACGATCTTATTCAGGAGACTGATCAGGGAGGCCTACCCTACGGCCGATGTGTGAATGCCCTAGAAGAGTCCTAGGAGAATAGATTGACAATAGTCTTCGTGATCAATGATGGTGGGGATGGGACCAACGATGACGTTGTCAAGCAATAACAAAGAGAAATGGCGGTGCTATTCGGTTGGTATTGAGTATGGGAGCATAAGAATTGTGATTATATTTGAAGATTTGAATAAAGAATTGACTGAGAAGGGAGTCAAGGTGAAGCGCATGATTGATCATATCAATAATTGAAGATTATATTATATTCCCATCTCTACTCCGACGCCTAGGCAATGCTGCGCTCCCGAAACGCCATCCCAATTGACACCTATGATCAAAACCTAGATATTTATTAGTGATATTTTCGAATATCATTAGGACTCAAACTTTACCGTATCTCATAAGATCCTGCCCTGGTCATATATCTCACCCATTTTACACTTGAATAATTATTCTTTTCAAACACCTTCAAATATCTAACCAACAGCCCCGAACTTGTGAACATCAACAAGCTAAAGTTCAAACTCAACGGAGGTCTTGACCATGCCTTCTGATTCGTCATACTTGTCAATGTAGCTTCCGCGCTCAAAACAAATTCATTCTGTCCGGTAAATCTCGGTATCTTCCATATAATAACATTCTCCTCTGGAACATATTTTGCCTTTCCTTGTGTACATCGATCGGTGATTCGAGCAGTATTTAGAGGCGTCGGAATCTTAACAATAACATTGGTGGCGAAGAGCTTGCTACCATAATTGGCTCGAATCGCAATACTGTATTCGACCTTTGTTTTACCAACTTCGTTCACAATAGCATGGATTTTAAATGGCAGATTGACATTTTCGGTGGCTCGATAGCGCATAAGTTCGAACTCTCCATCGGGAGGTATGAATGAGATAATTCTGTCGGTATCAAACTTTCCTAGCTTGACACATTGGTGAAATTGACAATCCTCCAGCGTAACGCTACCGGCAGCTGCTTTGGTGGCCTTGGTGCCCATACGGTTTCCAGATGGTAGAGATGAAAGACTATCACCATCTAACAATAATCGGTCATTGAGTCCAAACTTGCATTCTGGTGTTCCGGAAAGATACGCTCTCATGACGATTTGACCATTTACATCAGCTCGTAGAACAGTTCCTGTAGCAGACATTAAAAGATTGACATCTTCAATTACATCCACAAATGCTTCATTCTTCCTGTATTTAACATCGGCTTTCCTCCACGATAAAGCTCCGGTTGCTTGCATTGTAATCTTCGCCGAGTCTTCCATGGTTCGTTCCGACTTGACACCTTCCGTTGTAATGTACATCTTTAATGTATCCGTCTCGGTATTTTGAGGATATCCAAAATCCAAGATTTCTATTTCGCAAATGTATTAGCTCCTGGAGGATCTAATACTTGCGACTTGCGCATTGCACTCACCATCTAAAAGTTCATATACCAGAACGAAATTGTTCTTAACCGCTTCTTCATCAAACTTCCCAAAGTAACCTTTTCCCAGCGCAATCAATCTATATAAGAATTCGAAAACCAGCGCAGCATTGGCATTACTCTTGGTAATCGCGACCAAGTATATGTTCTCGTGTTTGACATGACTGAAGGTTGTGCTTCCTAATGTAAGGATTGGTGAACGAACTTGAGCATTGGAGATGACTTGAATCCGAAAGACATCTGCGAGTCGAGGTCGACAATCATTTCGGAATGCGCGAAAGATTAAATTCTCTCCCTTTTGATTGAAGATCAATATGCCAGACAGCATTTTGATTTATAGGCGGATGAAGGAGGATTTCGTTGTTGAAAGTCGACGGAGGATGTGTGGAGCCGGGAGCTTTGGACAAGGAGTAGGAGGATGTTTAGAGTTAGAAATCCATTAAGGTCATCATCAATTTACCGAACATTCCTCGTCGATAGTGTTCAGGGGCTAACAACAACTCTTTCCAAAAATCTAAGTGGTTTTTTATATTATTGGATTTTAAGCTGATCATGAGTATGTTTATACTAATTGTCAATCACTTTCTCAGATAGTCTCAGAAGATTATGTTGTGGTCCTCAACATCTATTCGCTTTGGGTCTGTACAAGTTGTCACTCATCATACACGTGGAAACTTTGCCTCGATTATCTTTTGTATCACAAGTCTATAAAAATCTATGCTGGCACACATGGGTAATTGCTAGCTGTACAGGAATGAGGTATTGGTGAAGAAACCCATGAAAACCAAATGCACACCATCATCGCCTCCCATTATCTATTCACAAAATAAATATCCTTAAATCATGTCGAGTCTCATGAACTCAGCATGTAATGTCTTTCCGAGCAATGCTGGACTTCTCTCAACGATAACACCAGCAGCCTCGAGAGCTGAGATCTTGGAATCGGCACCACCCTTTCCACCACTGACAATGGCACCTAATTTATGAGTTAGCAAGATATCTTCTGTCGAAATTAGCTCAATCTACTTACCAGCGTGTCCCATTCTTCGTCCAGGAGGAGCAGAGATACCAGCGATAAAGCTGACAACTGGTTTCTTAGAGGTATTGTAATCCTTCAAGAACTCGGCAGCATCCTCTTCTGCAGATCCTCCAATTTCTCCAATCATGATAATACCATCAGTCTCCTCATCCTCAAGGAATACCTTCAAGCAATCGATAAAGTTAGTTCCGGAGAATGGATCACCGCCAATACCAACAACAAGGGATTGTCCCAATCCAGCTTGTGTAGTTTGGTTAACAGCTTCATAGGTTAAAGTTCCTGAACGAGAAACAATACCAATACGTCCACGCTTGTGAATAAACCCTGGCATGATACCGATTTTACACTGTCCTGGTGCAATGAGACCCGGGCAATTGGGTCCAACCAAACGTGTCTTTCCTTGAGTCTTCAAGATGTCTGTGATTCGAACCATGTCTGGATTGAGGTTAGATATATGCGCTCAAGCTCCAAACATACAAACATACCATGTTGTGGAATACCCTCAGTGATACTAACCCACATCAGTCAGCATAAGTGCTATCACATGCAAATTTCATATATTCTTACCACACAACCAAAGGGATTTCAGCAGCGATAGCCTCCTCAATACCGGCGGCAGCAAGAGGGGGTCTGCAATGTATATCATATCAGCATCAGTCCATCCTTTCATCACAGATTATTTGCGACTGCAATATTTCTTACGGGACGAAGATAGCAGAAGCTGTAGCGCCGGCTTCCTTGACAGCTTGTTCGACGTTTGAGAAAACAGGTAAATCGAGATGAGTTTGACCAGCCTTCTTTGGGTTTGTGCCTCCAACAACGGTTGTACCTATTCCATATCAGAATCCTTCAATTTCCTATTGTTCGCATTGGAGAGACATACCGTATTCGATAGCTTGCTGGGCATGGAAACTATGGCAGAATTTGTCAACATGACTCTTTAATGCCAAATAGAGAGTCGCAATAGTACTCACGTTCCTTGTTTACCAGTAAAACCTTGATAGATAACTCTGGTATCCTTAGTGATACGAAGGTTTTCTGCCGTCGCAGCATAGGCAGAGGTTGCTGTGGAATAGCCCTGTCTTCTCATAGCTGCCTGCATGGCAGGTCTGGCACATCTTGAAAAAGCCTGCATCTTGTCTAGGGACAATTGATGTCGGATAGAAAAGACAGAAATACGATATAAAGTTTTTTATCTTGAATAATTTCCTTCTTTCTTACCAGCTTCGAACTTCTCTCAGTTACGGACGGAATCGCTTGCAGGGCTTCTCCGATTTTGGCCGGGATATAGTAATTCCGGTAGGTTTTTGGTAGTTTTTGGTGAATTTTAGTGCAACATCATGGTTGGAATTTTATTTTACTCGAGAACATCAATTTTGGTAGATAATTATTACCCCGCCATATTTTCAAAACCATCAACTCCTGGACAACCATCAGTGCATCTCACGAATCTCACGAACCTCACCACCATTAACCTCACAGATTATATTTGCTAGAAAGACTCAGCTAGGACTGCATGAAAAGACCGGATTCGAAGTCATTCTATCGCACCATCACACGTTCATACAACTGACAGTTTAACATGGCCACCACGGTCGATACTATGACTTTGTCAGATCGGCAGAGGAAGCCAAAGGATCCTAATCTACCTCCGGAGAATGAACGATACTTGAGAGCGTGTTCAGATATTGCGAGCGCTTTAGTACAGGATCATGAATCTCAACAGGATCCAAATGTACCAAGGAAGGACATCAATTTGAATAGTTTACGCGCCAAAATGTCCAAACGTCACAGGCTCAGCAATATTCCACCATTAACTGCTATCATTGCCGCCATTCCAGAACATTATAAGAAATATATCCTTCCAAAGTTGATCGCAAAACCCATTAGTATGTATTTCCACGCGCATTAACATCTGCGGGCTAACTGTACACAAGGGAGTGCTTCTGGTATTGCAGTTGTCGCAGTTATGTGTAAACCACATCGATGTCCTCATATCGCATACACAGGAAACATTTGCGTCTATTGCCCTGGTGGGCCTGATTCTGATTTCGAATATTCTACACAATCGTACACCGGTTACGAACCTACTTCGATGAGAGCTATTCGAGCACGATACGATCCTTTCGAACAGGCTAGAGGACGGGTAGATCAAATCAAGTCTTTGGGTCACAGTGTCGACAAGGTTGAATATATCATTATGGGCGGAACTTTCATGTCATTATCTGAAAGTTACAGAGATGGGTTTATCTCCCAATTACACAATGCGCTTAGTGGATACCAGGGAAACAATGTCGATGAAGCAGTTCAAGCTGGAGAGATGAGCAACATTAAATGTGTCGGTATTACAATCGAAACACGACCGGATTACTGTCTGCAGCCACATTTATCTGCCATGTTGAGGTATGGCTGTACCCGTTTGGAAATTGGTGTACAATCTCTATATGAGGATGTCGCTCGAGATACCAATAGAGGTCACACTGTTGCTGCGGTCGCAGAAACATTTTGCTTAGCGAAGGATGCTGGTTTCAAAGTTGTTAGCCATATGATGCCAGATTTACCTAATGTCGGAATGGAGAGAGACTTGGATCAATTCAGAGAATATTTCGAAAATCCAGCCTTCAGAACCGACGGTCTCAAAATTTACCCAACACTTGTCATTCGCGGAACTGGTTTATATGAACTATGGAGAACTGGCAGATACAAGAACTACACACCAAATGCCCTGATTGATATAGTTGCTCGTATCCTCGCTCTTGTGCCACCCTGGACCCGTATTTATCGTGTTCAAAGAGATATTCCAATGCCTTTGGTTACATCTGGTGTCGAAAATGGAAATCTCCGAGAGCTTGCATTGAGCAGAATGAAGGACTTTGGTACTACCTGTCGTGATGTTCGAACTCGTGAAGTTGGTATCAATGAAGTCAAGAATAAGATCCGTCCTTCTCAAGTTGAGCTTGTACGAAGAGATTATACCGCGAACAAAGGATGGGAGACATTTTTGGCATATGAAGATCCAAAACAGGATATCCTTATTGGATTACTCCGCTTGAGAAAGTGTTCCTCCACACATACTTTTAGACCTGAGCTTACTGGACAACCCACGAGTATAATTCGTGAGCTCCACGTTTATGGTTCAGCCGTACCTGTTCATGCTCGTGATCCAAGGAAGTTCCAACATCAAGGATATGGTACATTACTCATGGAAGAGGCCGAAAGAATCGCTCGAAATGAACATGGGAGTACGAAGATAAGTGTCATCAGTGGTGTCGGGACGAGGGATTATTACCGAAGATTAGGCTATTGGCTTGATGGTCCTTACATGAGCAAGATGCTACCACCAAAGGATGATGAGGATAGTGATGATGACTTTTGATGTCAAAATATCCGGGAACCTTCACTCTAGTCACGCCGCTCGGCTGTAAAATTTATCAAGAAGCTTAGCTGACAACGCGATTGTGCCTCACTACATTTGGGTAACCATAGCTTGGTTTTGGGATTTTGTATCATAGCAGGATCTTTTAGCATACGCTCTCTGAAAGGCTTAAGGTTATATGATGGCACCTCAAGTACAGAATTTTTCCAAGAAATATTACACCTGAAGAAGTAGTTGATGTCCTGGATGGTAGGCAAGGAACTCCTGTGTGTTGGCAGTTGACTCTCGTCACTGTGACATTCTTATCGCCGAGGGATTGTCATCATTTCCGGAGAATATCTCCCATGCCAAGCATGTGCTGAATACTATGTCTTTCCACCTTGTCATCATCGGATATTCCATTCATTCCTCGTCTGGATATGAATCATTACAGAGTATGCCCGCATTTTTCAGTCTTATTTCAGTCACATAAACTGGAGGCACGTCTAGGCATGGGTCATGGAGGCGAGACAGATTGTGGTTATATACAATATACTGATATAGATACTATACTTAGTAGTTTAATGAGATAATCTTGCATTTAAAGCTCCGTTTCTATGGTATCTTCGGCTCAAATACAGCATGCGATAGTCAAGTCAGCGTATCGCGGAGTCTATACTAGTAGGTTAAAAAGATGCATAACATATTTATCTTGCACTTTGCGCATCTTTGTAGCACAAACAATCGTTCGGCAGCAAAGGCGGGAGTAGCTGTGATTACATGACCTGTGCAATATTTGCAGTAAGCACTTTAAATTGCTAGGCGGCGCTCTGATTTCCTCCTCTTTCGGGGAAGTTTGCCCTTCTTTCATGATTAAAATTGTCAGCCCTACAAGTACTTCACTTCAATTGAAACATCCATTCTCAACCATTTGTGCACTTTCCTCCATCAGTAAATGATGAAATGTTATTGCTAACATGCAAGATCTTACACTAACTCCCGAGTTTTCCAATCACTACTAGAACTACAAAGTTACTTCACTGGCGCTTACAGCCATCCGAGAGCCTGCGCGTGGGTACTATTTTAGGTCTCTACTCTTTCTTGCGCCTCCATGATCCATCAAACTTCTTTCTTATTTGACCAACAAATAAATCTGACCTACAAACTTTTGGTAAGCCCTTGCAGGGCTAAAAATAACCACGAATTCCCTAAGATTCTTCCTAATTATTTCCATGTACGTCAGGATCTAAATCTACCTATTTACTGTACCGTTTATTAATATTTGTTTAGTCAAAAATCCCTTTGAGATACGTGTGTTATTATGAATCTTGAAATTATTCTAAGCTTTCTAAAGATTTTTATGAAGGGGGTGTTCGCGTGTTGAGTTCTGCGCTAAAAGACTCTAACATTTCAGCCCTAAATTTGTATCAAAATTCGAATTTGAAGCTATATTAAAATGATTTATGTTCTTTTCTCACCCTCGTGTCAGACCCAGGAATTGGAGATATCGAAAAGCTAAAAGAGGAAAAGAAAATAGGAAATATGAAATATTTTGATCTCTCTTACTGTGTCTCAGTGTTGGTAGCCAATCAGAAATAGATTGTTTTGGGTGAATATTAAGTATTGGTCATCACAACTGCGGCCCAATCTTATATAATACCTCGGAGGCTTGTACAAAGGTATTGCTCCAAATCTGGCGATTAACGAACAAGCGTGGACTAGTGTCCTGGTAGATTTAGAGGTGGTCTGGCTATATAAGAGGCCATTTGTGATATTTGTCTTTTCTCATCTAACAATCCAAATCTTTTTACGAATCTCTTTTGTTCTAACGAATTTCCTTGTTTTCTTTTTCACAAAAAGTTCGTCTTTTACCTGATCTTAGTTCAATTTTTCATCATCCATAATGCATACTTCAAACCTTCTGATAGGAATTTCATTCCTCTCCACCCTCATTACTGCAGTCCCTTTCTCTGTTGATAACAGCTTCCTATCTGCTGTAACAGCAACCGATACAGGTCCATTGCTAGCGATCCAGACCGCTGCTCATGGCTCACTTTCCAATATCGCTCCCCCTCCCGCGCTAGCCGGAGGAAGCGACAGCCTCACCAATTTCAAACTTGTCGCCTTTAACGAGAACATGGAAGTTGCATTTTTCGAAGAACTCGTCTTCAATATCTCGAACCATGTCGCAGGATATACATTCGATAACCAAGGTAGTAAAGATGAGGCACTTACAAATCTTAATGCAATCGTCGCACAAGAAAAATTGCATTCATTAAATGCAGAGAAAGCCATCGTTCGATTCACCAACGACACCAATGCCATCATCCAACCATGCACCTACAACTTTGCAGCCACCAATTTCCAGGAAGCAATAGCTACAGCATCTCTCTTCACGGATGTGGTCATGGGTACACTAGGCGATATCCAAACAGTTTTCGCCACAAATGATGATTCTGGATTTATCCGTGGGGTCGCAGCAACACTTGGACAAGAAGGCGAACAAAATGGTTATTTCCGCCAAATTCTGCATAAAATTCCATCGTCTCTTCCCTTTTTGACACCAAGTACAAGGGATTTCGCTTTTAGTGCTTTGAATCAAAACTTTGTTGTCGAAGGAAGTTGTCCAAATAGCAATACCATTCCTCTCAAGGTCTTTCAAAAGCTCACTGCTACGCAACCTGATAGCATCGATGCTAATTCCGTAATTACCTTCACATTCCAGCTTAATGCAAATCAGGACTATAATACCACTTGGGGAGAAAAGTGCAAAGGTCTTTCACTTGTGTACATCAATCAACAGAACAAACCTGTAACTCAACCATTCGAAAGCATCAGTTTAAAGGAAGATGGAAAGACGGTTGTTATTACCGCAAAATTCCAATTTGATGCAGGTGCTGCGAATGGGACTACTGGAAATGGTCTAACCTTGGCTGCTTTGGCCGTTGGAGATGATTTTGCGAATATTTCGGACGTTTCAGCTAAAGCTGTTTTTGGACCGGCGCCGATTGAGGTTAATTGATTGAATGTTAATGATATGGAAGTATCGAGGTACAGGGAAGATTTTGCACGGCATTGAGTGGAGTTGATGTGGTGACGGGTTGTATTAGATGGCGTTCTGGCTTCAGTTATCTTTTTCTTTTCTAATGAGAGGTGATGCCACCTCTGCTTTCATGATGATTCTGTTTTGGGATAGCGTATGTCTTAGCACCTTCATATGCTGAAGATAATATTTTAAATACTAGATTAAATGATGTTAATTTATCCATAAATCTCACATCTTTCTTGCTTCTTTTTTATGCCGCTACTCCTCATGTCAGAAGCGACTGTCGGAGATTCGAGTTTTCACTTAACCACATCTTGTTCCCATGGCTCTAGATTTTTGGTGTACCGCATAGCTTTTACCGTATGCACTACCGTCGGAGAATTCAACATAGCACAAGAACGCAAGGCAGCGCGTAATGATCTTTGCAGATAACCAAGCGCCAATAAGCATCACTTTGAATTCTCTGTCTGAACATGTTCCCCGCCTAGCCCGGTATGATCCGCTCCACAATCTCAACTCTGACCCAGCATCAAGAGGTTTGAATTGAGTAATTTGACACTGGATCGATCTCATTGTTGTTTACTCTACCTGGTATCCATGAAGTCTTCTCAGCACGGCGGCTAGTATGTAGTAAAATGTGTGGACCTAAATTTCAGCAAGGAGATGAATCGATTGATCTTTTCGAATTGTACTGAAGCGAGAGTACTCATACCTGGAGAGATGGGCCGACGGGGTGGAAAGAAACTTTCAAGTGACAGCACCTAGGGCGTATTCAAAATGAGATTATTATCACGTGAATATCACGTTACCGATTCTCCATAATAACCTCAGTCCTCTACCCTTATCGGTAGATAACAAGGATAGATGATGGATCTCCCCTTCATATTGTAACCCCCCGGAAACACCAAGTGAAAAATTTTCACCCGATTTATCCCGAAATGTAAACAATCAATATTGCTGGCGTTCAAATCCCCAGCCGCGGCCCCAGATATCAAGACCCGAATTTAAAGATCTAGATTAAATCTCACATGCACAACACCGGTAAAAAGATAGGTATACGTTCTTCAATTGATAGTCTACAGGAACTACCCTTTGAGAGAGGTAGTTCGTCATCTGTCTGTATGTTCGTCTAATCTAGAAATTCTATGCTCTAATATCGGGAGGAGAGAGGAAATCCGTCTATAAAATGCATCGATCTTCCTATACCATCGATCCAAACCATCTGTGCAACCGCATGCAATGCCTGTAACGTAACAATACATCGTTGATTTATACCACCACCTTCATTCCCCATCTCCATCCACCATATTTATACACACTTCTTCCCCACTTCATCCAACCATAATGACACATTTACAAGAACTTGGCCATCATAGCAACCATGAGATCGAAAAGACCGATGGCCTCGACGAAAGCGAAACCCAAAATGGCGTAGGAGAAAAGTTGACCACGCATGCTTGGGTTACGGGCAACGGCTTGCAAGAGAGCAGCGAAGACGAGACCGATACCAACACCGGCACCAGCAAGACCGATAGCGGCACCTCCCATACCGAGGTTTTGGGAAGCTTGAACGAGAGCGTTGGCCATTTCGGAGGAGTATGGGCGGCGGGCAGAGAATTGGGTGGTCTTGGAGAGGATTTGGCTGGTTTGTTGACGCTTGACGGCTTGGAAAGCAGTCTTGGAGGTCTTGCTCATGGCTGTGTGGGGAAGAAAATTTTGTTAGCGAGGTGGTCTTTATCCATTGAATTTGGTGGATAGGTATATGCTGAGGACGATGATAGATGTATTGGATCGTAATACAACTGAAGCTATATTGATAGTTGTTGAAGCTTGATGCAAGCTCAATTGATGATTGATGACAGGAAGGTATCAAATAGCTTTAGGCTTACCAGTGAAGGTACGTTGAGCACCAAGGTTGGAGCGAACCATTGGGCGGGCAACCTTTGCGGAGGCAGATCCCATGAGGGAAGCCATCTTAGGAGCAACACGAGCGGCCATTGTATTGATGTGTGTGAAGTAGACTCAAAAATGAGGTTTTTGGAGATAGGTATATGTGAGTGGAGATGAAGACTTCGAGTGTTGACAAGCAAAAGAAGTTTTATGACTTGGTGTGAGTGTGGGAAAGAATGGGAAGGGCGGAAGGAGAATCAAGAAAAATTGAGCTAAGGACACTTTTTTGATCTTAGCTCGGTTTAATAGTCGGTGTCAATTTCTTCTTTCCTTAATATCCAGGAAGTTCCTGAGTTAAGTATATGGATATGGACTGTGCCGTCACTAATCTGTGAAATTTCGTGGCTATATGTGGGTCAGCCCGCTCGATTTACGATTTCCTCCTATCAGAAGTGGTGAAAGATTACCGTGACTGAAATGCAAGGCTGAGAGTTTATATCTCATCCGATATCAATACCGCGCTATGAAGTAAAAGGTATATAAAAGAAAGGAGTGGATTCCCAACAGTGAGATGTCTTCAAGAGAAAATACCGGAATGGTGGGGGTATGATAAAAAAGAACTACTCTCCGAGTGAATTAGCTACGGAAGGTTCTGTTTCCACTGGATTTTATCTTCGGGTAGACGTCTGCATTGATTTCATTGATCAAGCTTTTGGATACATAATCTCACCTAAGAATCTTCCGAGTTGTTACACAAGCTCAACAGGGAAAAAGAGTCAATCATGATATTAAGAAGAAAATTCACACTCGATTCACTGGAATCATGTCTTGTCAATTTCCACCATGGCTATCATGACTATCTGACTATCCAATGCCATTCTCAAATATTCGTTTTGCCTGAGTGTTGGCTATGTCGTCAATGTTCTTGATGGTCGTTGATTTTTCACCCTTGTCGCATGGTCACACAGGAAAATATTGCCCCGAGACTCCGCGTCTGATTCTCAGCTATCGTGAGCCATAAATGCACCAAAATGCCACGAGTCATTTTAGAAGATCAAAATCCCACTTTTTATAGGGAATGATAACACGGAAGAGGCTTTGATTAAGAAACGGATCCTGTTAGAATGTTGATGTATCATGAATCGACCCGTAAACCCATCTTTGTACAACATGAATTTTGGTTTATTTGTGTTGTGTTGGCCCCTGAATCCCGTCGGAAAATTTCGGATTTTGTTTGCAGGCAGTAAGCGCTTGGTAAAAACTATGAGCGAATCCAAGGTGGCTTTCCATTTTTCCTGTAATCTCATTTTAACCATATTATGGTCTGAAAAAATCATTCCTTGACTGTAGTCACTGTACACACCAAACGCCTAACACAAAGCCAAGTAAAACATTGAATGAACTCTGTAATTCGGAGTAACTCTGCCCACTTTCACTCATGTCATCCATCGACAGAAAAAAAAAAGTATAAAATCCACCAGCAGGGGCCTTCGTGGTGCGCTAAACACAGTCTTCAAGTCTTCAAGACCCATATCGATGGATCCACTAGGATATGATAGCCATTATCTATCACTAGAAGGTCCGAACTGAGGCTTTTAACCACGGGAACATTAAGGAAGTGTCCGCCACTTGAAATGTGCAGAAGGTACTTAATATTGGAAGCAGAACCACGTTTCGTAAAAGAAATCCGTTTCCCGTGATTACCTTCGGAATGAAGGAAGTTCATATTGCATACTGCATATCGCACATCGTGTATCGCACATCGCATTATCGGTATCCTCACGTGTCACTAGCACACGCATCATGAAGCCGACTCGACCGACAAGACAATTCGATAGTACAGAGTACAAGAGGATAGATGTATCTTAATCACGAACCATACACCGTCGATCAGGTTCAATCGATCTGAAGATTTTGGATTGCTGGGTTTTGTTGGGGTTTGTCGGGGTTAGTTGTGTCCGTTGGTTTGGTAATTTGTACCTGCCAAGCGCTGTGGACGAAGCCTGTAATCGATTTAATTTAGGGCATTCTAAAGCTTCAATGATTTGATTGTAGATTCCGACCATCTTTTCCGACACTATTGAGAGACAGACGACCTATAATTTCATCACGAACATACCATCGTCGCAAATATTAGCTTGCGAAAACAGAAATAAAAAAGTAAGAACACATCAAATGGAAGGAAACACAAGACCCTTTAATCTTTAGACTGTGGGGAAGAGATATAATCTTTGCAATTCTTTGGTCGCAACAACACCATTTCGCTGGAGGTAGGTAGGTGGTCTCCGCAAAATTTATCGATACAGCACGACGTCTTTGAATTTTTAAACATGCAATTGAAGGTTGTTCGTGTCCAAGTCCAAGTGCGATATCTCTGGACATTTGGAAGCGTATAAGGGAAGGTTTCGTGGGCCAACATAGTACATTTGCGATGACTTCCAGGTGTGCGGAAGATTCGTGCTAAATTTGTCCTGAATTCGAAGTTAAGATACCATACTCCGTACATAACCCATGGATTCCGACGACTCCGATCACTCCGTGCCGTACGGGACATGAAAGAAAGTGGAGATGGAGCAGATGTCTTGAGGAGTTACGCCGTTCCTTCTTGAAGCTATACCGAGGACTTCGCGAATTGATGGGTATTTTCATGACGGGATTGAACGATTAAAGGATGAGAAGGATGAAAAGAGATGGACAGGTTGAAAAGGATGAAAGGCATGAAGAGGATTTGACGTACCTATGAATTACTGTTTTTCTCAGTTCATCTTGCCCTTGCCTTCCCCATGCACGTCGCATTGCATATGAGACGACTTTGGTGCGGGGTAATCCATTTTGAGTAACCACGACACATCACGTGCGCCGACGTGGCCCGTCTGAGGTCGTATACCTTCTTTACCTCTTAGGAATTGAGGAGTCGAGCGGTCGAGGAATAAGACATTATGATTTCTTTTGGCAAAAAGATCTCTACTATCGGGTTTTGATTCTATAAGGTTATCCACTAGACTCATGGTTGCCGGATCCAAAGTATTTCTCAAGGAGTGAGACAAAGCACCAGCAGGGGAGTAAGATCATTACTCCGTAAATCTTCAAGCAAGCATGCACATATCCCATATCTATTTTTGTCACATTGCTAGCACCATTTTGTTCATGTTATGCCCACATGTACTTTTTGGTGATACTTTCGTACCACTCAGTGGAACGAGATGTTCTTCAATGCTGAGGTACGGCAGCTCCCAAGATTTGTCCACTCCAAAGAAGATCAACGCCTGTAGTATTCATATCCATGGAATTTCGTTGAGTTGAAGTAAATCCAGGGAATGAACTGACCAAGGATTTCGTCTGCACTTCTGAGGTTGACAAACTGAAAGGGACTGAGAATACGCAGCGGACAAAGGACACGTGCGTAATGCAGAAGAGGGAAATAAATTCTGAAGTGATAATTTTCGAAGGTAGGGAGGCGAAGTACCATTCTACCTGTTCAGATCATTGAAATCCTGCTTCATCACCTGTGGAGATATCCTCATCTACTTCGCCATATCTTCTTCAACGAATCATACTCACTGAATACGATTCGGATTTGAAGACTGATTGTTTAGATTGAAGCACAGATGGCTGTTTGCTTGCCCTTCATTTGATGAGCAGGAGGTAATGATCCAAAAGACAATCTTGAAAACGATATGCGACTCATTCTAATCTCAGCATCTCCCACCTTCCTGAAGTGAGCCGGGTTGGAAAGCCGGAAAATGATCAAACACGTAATTACCCGTGGTCAACCCCTCCGCTTCGGCCACGGGAATTCTCGTGGCCGAACAGCCATCTTCATTGCCACACAGCCACACAACCACATATATTCACTTTCCTTCCATCAAACATAGCAGAGTACAATATATTTCATGGGACGATGGCTTCCTACAAATAAATGAAGTTAAAGTTCATGGTCTAGTGGTCAACCGCGCGCTTCGCGTGGTTAACACACAAAATAACTCACTAACAGATTCTATAGTTACATCCCTGGGGGGCGGCCACTAAGATGCATACAAAGAGTTCCCAAGCACCAAGGGTCATCAGGGGAGAGAAGGATAGGTATATTGTAGATTCCCCGCAACGGCGGGTTTACCCTTCCCCCCAACCCAAACTAACCCATAAAAGCTTTAGTTAGGCAATTTGTGTGGCGGGCATCCCATATCTGTGGTGCAGTAAGCTGGCGCAGGCCTGCTACGGGTTTGATCCTCGTGAGTAGTGGCCAGTTGGGATATATGTGGTGGAGATGTAAGTACATTCCAGATCCCTAACTGCTAATAATGACTTTGACTTCTTTTTTCCTATTGTATCTATGTACCGACGTCTGTTCATGGATCTCTCCTCGAACCTCGAATGTTTACCAGAACTCATATTTTGATATCCCTTCCAAGAAAATGTCAGCAGCAATGTCAAATCTGAATGCTTATACGAAATCAATATCTTGCTATATATATCTTTCTATGGATATGATTTACTGCGAAATAAACGCTTGCTAATCAAGATACTTTCATCTTCACCGTGGCATTATTCAGTAGGCAATTTTCCGCTTTCTATCATTTGTGCACCCACTTCTCTCAAAAACTTTGGTTTGAGAAATTCATTATCATATATCACTAGTGTGGTTATGGTCTAGATTGTAAAGTGAATCTACAATAGTAAAATTTTGTGCTCAGGTATTTGTCTCTTTTTGGTTTCTATACGACTATCCTAGCCTATGTCAGGATGACAAGAAATTGCACACTCCTATTGTATCATGCTCTTGTTCATGCCTAGTCTAGCATGGAACTCCCTCCATTTGGTATTTTTCATCTTACTCAACCATTCAAATGAACAATCTCAAATCGCACGTACAGAACCTCTTCGCTGAAACATGTGAAATTCGCAAGACACATTTTCGTACGAAACTTTTCTCTGCTTGAGGCAGTTTGCAAGTTGACTCAAGTATTTTCGCTCTCATCTCGCGGAAGTATATTCTGTTTGCCCCACCTTCTTATTCACCCGTATCTGGTGGTCATCAACCTTGTAATCTCAACTCAATTCACCCCTTTTCCCAGCTGGCATCATAGCTTCATCATGTCATCCGTACCTCGAACATCTCAATCCCTTTTTTACCACCTCAGTTTGACCTGGCCACACTAAAATTATTCGCAGCTAACAACAAACAAAGCGGACATTCGGTTGGCTCTTGTGGCATCATCATCAGGTATTTTCCTTCTCGAATTTCGCTAATCGCAAAAACAAAGTCACTCGCAACTCACCGCATGGTGTCCTTACATTATGAATACTGATGAGATGCAATTCTAGTAGGTACCGGACATTTTATCCGCAATCAATTATCCTAGGATATTTGCTTTAAGGGGGGACAATTCAGCAGTGATACGAAGGAGTAGTTGTGGGAAACTGGCAGGTCGAAAGAAAGTTATTGAGAAAGGAATGATGTTGATATTGGAATCGACGCACAGAAGGCAAGGTAAGCTGGCTACTACATTGATTCTGCGCGTACTTCCGACTGTCGTCCAGTCCATTTCGAAGTTCGCGATCATTTTCCCTCGGTAAGTAGAATTTCAGATCAACAAATAATCTTTCATCAGCAATTAATTAAGTTCACTGGCATATTTCGGAACCATGCCGCCACGCGCTCCATGATCTGTGATTCCATGAAATACCTCATGGCTCAATACCACTACGCATTGCACCTTTGTGGATGAAGACACTAGCGTGCTAACAACGTGCATAGTCTATTTTGCTTTGCTGGTATGGAAGATGGGGTGATAAGAAAGTCAACGACCGGATACCGAGAGTAGTATAGGCAAAGAGGGAGCAAGTTGTTTATTGTGCTTTTAAATCCCAAAATTTTGCATGCGTCTTTAATATCCAGAAATTTTGGATGTTCTCATGTTCTGCCCATGAAGCCAGTATCTGCTCTTTTGCCAATGCAGCTAGATATACAGTATTTGGAAATACCGAGGACAGATCTTACCGCACATCCCTAATCATAGTGACGCAGCAGGAAATACGTGGTGATGTGTGTCTATTTTCTCACCAGACTTTGCATCAGGATTTCCATGTCACATGTGTACTTCATCCCATTCAAATAGTGTCCATAATTCAGAACTCTTGATAACTAGCTACGGAACGTACCTGTGAGTTTGACAACTTGTGAATAGAAACCGGCGGAATCTTCATCGGTTTTCCACACAATCAAATAATATGAAACATAAATTCTCATATCCGATATGAGTACTGTGTAAAAACATTCGGTTACCGGATTAGGTAATTAAAAGTATCCACTCCGTTGAAAAGTAGCCAAAAGATACTCGGGTCTTCCGTTACGAAATATGATATCTGTATTCGCTGTGAATTAGATGCAACCGGCGCCAGAGTTTCATAAACATTTGTTGTTTGGCGTGTAAAATAAATACCGTCAAGACAAGTCATATCATTGAAGTATGCTAAGTTTCAACCTATCCGGACTAATATTGGAAGATTGATGGTGAAGGCAGCAACCCATCGACGCTACGAAGCCTGAGATTGGGAACACTATAGGCACTCATGATAGATGAACACCTCAGGACGGACGATGAGATTATAGCAGTGCTTATTTATTGATTGAAATTGGCAACATTCACGGCGGCCTATCGAACACTTCCGTTGTCGAGGTTCCCCGCGTATCATTACTTACTATTATCGAGGCATATATTTTGTTGGGACTTTTGACGGTAGTAAAGCGGGTAGATATGTAAGATGACCCGACGATCTGTAGAGGAGGGTGTGGTCCTGTTTCTTGAAAGTGGACACCACTGCGAGTTCGTGAGGCGTCACAAGCTATGCTATTACGTATACTTCATTGAACATGATGAAGCAGAATTATTCTGGACCGGTCTAAGTTGATCAAGATGATTGGAATGAAGTTTTATATGTTCTTCTGAAGCTGTACCTTTGGAGCAAACGTTCTTGACTGTCCAAGATGCTTACACTGAGAAAATGTTGCTCTAAGACGTTTTTTGTTTTCCTGTAATGTTCTGGGTGTTTGATTTCCATCCGAGTTCATGTCTCAAAGCCTGCCGCTCAAGGCACCCACAAGGCCTCTCACAGCCCCTCACCGCTCGAAGTCAACGCTTTAAGTTCTCAGAAGAATAGATACGGTAGGGCTTTAAAACTCTTGTGTGAAGTGGCTTTGGCTACATTGGAATCACGGAGAGTTAGAAATACTGCGTGGCTCGTTTAATCACAGGAATCTGAAATGGTTGAACAATTGATGCCCTTCTATCCTTTTAGTAGCCTCTTGTAAAGGGGATACTTAATAGCTAGCATGAGGATGGGCTCTAGGCTTAATGATAATGGGGTCTAGGCTATAGTGTCTGGCAGTGATGGCTAGCAAGACAAATGTTTGTCTTACTACCTTGATTTGAGATTTTGTGGCTATTGTGTGGAGTAGTGTTAGGAAAAGAGCAACACACATTACCCTATAAGAGTCACTGGGCAGCAATCGGGATGAAGAAAGGCAGATATCACGCCTCGAGCAAATGAGATTCATTAATCTTTTACCGCAGTGTCTGCAAGATAAGTGGAGAGTAATGGGGGTTGATTCGTAGATATACGACAACCCCCTGTGGCCATCCTTGCTATTTGCCCAGTTTCGAAGGGGAGAAACGTCCGCGCGAGATTCACTGGTTATTGTGAACCCTCAGTATATTCAGCCCCGAGCCTATAGTTTCCGCTCCGATTTCTGTGTGGATAAACTTGATTGGCTAATGACTTGATAATTTTATTAGCATCGAGTGCACTATTGTAAATGAGCGTGCAGACTTCAGCAGTATAGTAACACCATAGATTAATGAAACTTCTGACCAAGAAGATGAGCGAACTAATTCTTGACTATGAATAGACTTGGAGCAAGTTCCATCTCCCAGGATAAGAATAATGACAAGCTAAAACATGAAGTGGGTGGTGGTGGTGTGATATGTCGGGCTTCATCCGAATCCATGGCATCATTTACCCGCACGACTCACCGCAATAGGCAGGGACTTGTGAGACCTAAGTGCTTGCACGAATTAGTGTCAAATGGCATGTAACGTTGCTATGTGGCGGTTTGATATATTCATCGGTCATTCAGTGCTAAGTGTTCTCAGAAATGATGATGCGGATGCCAATGATACATTTGTCCAAGGTAATAGACAGATCAGACCACTCCAAAATGACAACAGCCAGCCCTAGTTACCAGTGCTGTTTTAGTAGTATTTGGGTTATGCAGAGGTAGGGCTTGCATGGACATTTGATGAATGGTCCCCCACTCCTAAAACATTACAGCCCACTGGCTCATCTAAAACTCATACATAAAAGTTCCTCCGGTCGTGGTTCTTGGAATGGCGCTTTGCCTCATACAATCGATTATCAAATATTCCAAGCTCTTGTATTGCTACAACGGACTTAACTGAAAGTCCTTTCGAGAAATGCCTTGCAAGACGAGCTCTAGATTCTTTTGGGACGTGAGGGAATGTCGAAATTGTCAGCACTTGTCGGAACTAGCACAACATCTGATGAATATTGGTGCGGAGTATGATCTTGGTATCCGATGCATACTGTTATGCACGAATGAGACGGGGCTGTAAGAATGTACAGGGGGGGAAGGCATGCAGGCCTGCGCTGAGCCAAGTTGCCGGTCAACTTATGGATTCCCAATTGAGAGGAACATCCAAACTATAATTGAAAGTGATTCATGAATTCATCCACCTAGGGATACGTGGAACGCTGATTTATTGCCTTGGATTGTAAATTTTTTCATGTCAAACTGGACCTCAAGATTTATCTCCGATCATGTCTCGGACCATGAAAGGTTCCCGGTAAGCCAAGTCTGAACAATTTCCGACAATATGGTTAAAGTTTAGATTTCCCGCAGGCCGGTGAACGGGGTACTGGTAACCGGAATGCGTTGCATACTTGGTAATCTTACAATAATTTTGGGGAATTCAGAGACGATTCCTCTAATGCTCCTAGAGATGTGTCTTTCTCTTTCCCCACCGCCTCGGCTTGGTGTAGAAATTACGAGGCGGCAGATGCGCATTGGAGCTATAAAGTTGACAAATCTCTTGGTGCACTACTATGCAATCGAACGAATTAATTCGTGTTTTCAAGGGAAATCTTTGCTTTTTCCGCAACTTTCAGTGGAGTATTGTCCCCAGAACCATGTATGAAGTGCAGAAAAGATACAGCGAGTTGGATGTATGTCGCTGTATGTACTAGCGAATATGTAGTATCCCCTCTCAACTTGGGACACAATTCCGTTATTGATCATATCTAATCCGTACTTCTTCATTAGTTGTCATGAACCCACGCCTCTGGAGACGGCCGACCCAGTAAACCGGGAGGGTCGGCTTATTGTACTTTAACGGGTCAATGCATGAAATGACTGGGATAACTATGAACCCCTCCTTCATCCCAATAAACAATCCCTGATTTCAAAAACTAATCCCCCAACTTTCGTTCAATTTAGACACTGCAGTGAATTAAGTGACGGATTCATTGTTCCATTTTACCATTGCAATATGTAGATGTTTTTTTAGTTATTCTAGGCTTGAACTTATGCCAACGCATTAATCAGAGTTCATTTTCAGTCCCGCAGCATGCATTTTAGTTTTCCCACAGGAAGTCTTACCCGAACCCAAATATTACCACACCCTGGTCAGTGAGATTTTAAGACATGGCGCAGGACCCGGGAATTCGTCTCTTGGGATTTTGACATTTTCCCCATTCCCATCAGACTTGCCTCACGCTGAATTGATCTTCCTCAACTGTGTATGTGCAAAAGTTTTACAGTACTACATATTATCGTCGTGAACTGCCATAACTTTATATAAGATTACATCTTTTTTTTTTCTTTTTCTTTTCGAGAATATCGTAGCAGTCGACGAAAATTATGGCAACATTAGAAAACGATGTCACGAAAGAAGAGGTACAAATATTTCGACACATATTAATTTCTGGATGACAATCCTACATGTTCGTATGGCATACTAATAATCCTCATTTTTAGGAAGCTGTCCTCACTGCCCGTAGCTATTCTTCCGAAGAAGATGATCTGTAAGCTACTACATATCCCGAGAAATTGTTGAGGCCAAAAGTAAAGGGGTTACAGACGAATGGCAGTTAACACAGGGAAATAATAGAGCAGGTGATACTTATTCAATAGATTCAAGTGCCATGGCATTTAGGGTTGAGAACGGTAGAAGGTATCAGGCATATAGAGAAGGAGCTTATTGGTAAGTGACTACTTGTGATGTCTTCACCTGTTTGATTGTTTCGTTTCAATGGACTCTGAGATCTGATCCTTAACAGGCAACCCAACGATGAATTGCAAAATGAGCAAATAGACATCAGGTAACTCGATGATATCCCCCCAGTGTACAGAGGCGAAGATTGTTGACACAGTATTCAAGCCACCGACGATATCTGTCGATGCTGGATGGCGCGCTGTATCTGGCACCAATACCGGATAACGTCGAGGTAAATAGCACCAACCTAAGTCCAATGAGTGTTCACAAAATAACTAACACGATAAAAAGCAAGTTCTAGATCTTGGAACAGGCACGGGAATTTGGGCAATTGACTTTGCTGACCTTTTCCCAAATGCATCGGTTCTTGGGACAGACTTATCACCAATCCAACCAGACAGTAAGTAGTCAATTTTAATTCTTACGTTTCAATGTCCCCTCATCTAAACTCATGACGAAGTTCCAAGTATCTTCTGCCATGAAGTTGGTCGTCTTATTTGTACGACTTCACATCTCGCAGGTTTTCACCCCTCCTCGCACATATGCTGACTTTGAGCACGTTAGTGGTACCACCAAATTGCAGGTAAAATCTCGACTGATGCAATAAGAGCACTTCTACGATGACTAACCAGCCCCTCATAAGATTCGAGATAGATGATGTTACAGAAGAATGGACCTACCCGCCAAATTACTTTGATTTTATTCACATTCGTGGACTTTTTGGTAGTATTCCCGATTGGGGCAGACTATATGCGCAAGCTTTTAAGTAAGTACCACTGCAGATATGTGAATGTAAATAGTACCAGTCTAATGAATAAATTATAGACATCTAAAGCCAGGAGGATTCATACAACATATAGAGCCATCATTACATGTCAAATCCGATGACGACACTGTACCGCCGGATAGTCCATTATATAGATTTGCTGATGTATGTACTTGAAAGTTTCATCCAGAATACTTCCCTTCCCAGTTTAGCTGAACATCCATTGACTTCAGATGCTCCTAATGTAGCTTTTCAACAATGCCGGAGAACGTACAGGACAATCAATGGATATATGCCCAACAATGAGTTCGAAAATCAGCCAAGCTGGATTCATTAACTTACATGAGAAAACATATAAGATGCCTCTGGGAGAATGGTCGAACGATCCGAAGCTACGAGAATTAGGAAAGTGGAACCTGTTACAATTCGATGTGGGATTAGAAGGTTTTGCCGTTCAACTTCTCACAAATACAATGGAGGTAAGTTGATCCTACTATACGAGAACTGCTTAACTGGAGAGGCCATCGACTGAGACATGAAACTGATGGATTGAATAGATGAGTTTACCTGAGGTTCAACTGTTCTGGTAAGTTGTGATTTTCTTCCACACAGCTGCGACTTGAGTTTAGGAAATTAACGTATACCTAGTGCTCAAGTTCGTGCTGCAGCCCGAGATCGCAGAATTCACTCGTACTACCCACATCATCTAGTTTACGCCCAGAAACCTCTATAGTTTCTGCAACAATAATAAATCAGATGACATATAAAAAAGTACAATTTTGTCAGCGCAATCCAGTCTATGGCCTGTTGCATCAGTGATTGAGCGTATCAGAACCCTTTACACCTTCATCAACATGTCAGAAGCGAACCTCCTGGTTGATGACGTTCCACGATAAATTAGCATTTTTTTTTAGCGAATCACTATGAAGTTAGAAGGCCTCGTCATTTCTACATCGGATAAGTTGTATAGCTAAGGTTTTTGAAATCCAAAAAGTGATGTTTGAAAGGAAAAGAATTAGTGGTTTAAATATGATACTGACTACGGGTGGGAACTTTGATCTACTTCGTTACTTGTATATATTTTTCTTTAAGAATTTATATATTTATAATATAATATTTCATACACATTAAAATATAAATAAGATTTATATTGCGAGAGAGTCGGAATTCTAAGCCAGAAACATATATATAAAGGTTTTTCAATTAGTTAATCATATAATCTTTATGTTACGACAGGTAACAATCAGGTCACGAGGTTAGTAATAACACGTGATACGAGGACTCGAAGAGCTCGAAGACTCGGCCTCTCGAGCCCTTCGATCAAAGCTCGATCCCCCCGCTCCCTTCGAGCCACGAAGCATGAAGGTCTATATAATCGTGAAGGATTTCCTTTCTATAGAGCTTCGTGCTCAAGATCAATCATTTAGTATACTCTACTATTAGTTACGAATTGCATATCATTATTGTCATTACTTAAGTTCCTGCTTAACGCCTAGTTATAAACCACCTCGAGAGCCTAGAGCACTTCCACGTGATCTAGACGGCAAACCTCGTAACAATACAAAGGAAATCCATCTTGATTATATAGTCCTTCATGCTTCTATGATTACTGGTGATCCTTCATGATCACCAGTGATCACCTATACCGTGATCCTTAGTGATCCTTAATGATCACTACTGATCATTTGTGATCACGTGCCTTGGTAGTTGTGTAGCCCGTCGTAACATAGGATTAGTGTCCTGGGATGAAAAGGAATCACGTGATAAGGAGCCCTAGGAGCCAGAAAGCTCCTGGGAGCTCCCTTTATCGATCATTATATAGTCAGAGTAGTTTCATAGTTTAGGAGCTTCGTGCTCAACTTAGTTATCAATTAGTCTACCTACATTCTACTTGATCTAGTAACGAATTCACTTCCAAGTGAATACCAGTGATAAAGCCTTAACCCATAACTACCAACCAGACGAAACCTTAGGCAGCCGCTGTGTGACGGAAAAGTCGTAAACGGAGTCAATTCAATTACTTAGAATCTAAAACTAAAGAACTAAGAAGATTCTAAGTAAGAAGGTCTTTATATACAGGGCTAGTGCACGTGAGCCACTAGTGGGTAACAACCGTCACGTAACACGCTGCCTCCATTACAGTATCGTTACACTTACACAGGGAATAGTGGGAAGCTGATAGGGCAAAACTGAGGCTATATTGGCCTTTTATATGAATCACCCATTTTCTTAGTTTTACGGAAGTGCGAAGCTCTCCTACAGAGAGCTTCTCAATCTAGTCCTAATAGGACTAGTGCCCTGTGCACGTGCTACGCAGGAACCATTCACTTTAACAATATCTTAATTAAAAAACTTTTTTTTTTTAAATTTTTTTTTTGATTAAATTTATTTGTTTATTACAAAGTTATTAATAGATATAAAAATAATTCAAATTAGAGATGGTCTGAAAGGGGGTACTAGACTTATACAGACTTCTGAGTAAGTGTGACGGAAATCCCTGCTTTCCTCCCACCTTTATTATATAAGAAACCTCAGGTACATTAACCATGTCCACACATGATACGATTACTCGAGATTAGTATGCGATTTAGGTGACCTGAGGATCAGATCCGGACAAGTACTAGGTATCAATGGTTATCGGTAAAGTAAGATCATTGGAGGAATAAATATGACTTCTTTTTGCCTAGCCATTGCGGCTAGGCCATTCATTTGTGTATATATAGAGTAGCTATCCCCATCTACAGGTGCTCTTCACCTGTAGATTCTAAGTTAAATACAATTGCTGGTCTATAAACACCCTTTTGGTCACAGTAAGTAGGACTTAAGAAAATGTATTGATTTACTGTCACACTCAAGAATACTGGGTAAAGTATCTTGTATTAGAAAATACTAAGCTAAGGAGAAAAGAAGAAGGAAAACAAGAGTAGAGAGTTTTCCTATGATTAAATACAAACGGGGCATGCCACGTGACCCGGAGGTGTGAGGCGTCACATTTACGAGATCTGGGCTCCCGTGGCCTTGGATCAGTTTCTTGACAAGGATTTATCTTTTTTTATGTTTCAAGATACTATTCACAATTCCATTGATACTAATCATAATATATGAATATAAAACACTATATATAATAACTCGAGACATTGTCCCCGACCACTTATCTACTGAACAAGGGCCCACGTTTTAAAACGAAATTATTCTCTCCTATGTACACGTCTATGCCAATTGGCCTCTGACAACGCCTAAGGGGAACAGATTTGTATGAACATCAGTGAAGAACCCAGTTGGGTTAGCTTCAATTCGAGAAACCTTAAAACCTGTACCAGTATCCTTTCCATCTGCACCATTAAGACCAGTCATGAATGGACCAGTCATACACCCAACACTTATGCGACGAGAATCATCCCCAATTGGGTTTGGGAAAGCAAGACGAGGAGGACCGGATGTTCCCCGGGCTGCTTCATGAACGTGAGTGGCCGTTTTGGCTGGGGATTGATAGGTTCCAGGAACATTGATGAGGGTGATATTCTAGTAATGTCAGGAAATGATTGACGGTGTAAAACCTTACAAATACTTACGTAGCAGATGGTATCTTCATGAGAATTGATACCATAATTGAAATATCCAATAGCGTTGGAAGGGCCCGGAACTGATACGGTGCCATTTCTGACTTCAGATCCTAGAGCAACTACATTGTATGTGCTGGTAAAGACAAAGGGAGACCCGCCTTTCTGAGCAGGTGATGGGGCGGGAATATCCGCTGGCTTATCCGCGGGTTTTGGATTGCCATAACTTCCGTAAGATGCATATGTTCCGTAACCATCTGCAGGAGAGGCTGTAATGGTAGATACGAAAAGGATGGATGTTACAGTTGCAGCGGCAAGTGTAAACTTCATGTTGATTATGTTGAACTTGTTTTTTCGAGTGGTATCAGAATGAAAAGATTGCAATGATTTTTATAATGTGATGTGAAGCTCAAAACGACGATTAAAGTGTTTTTATAATATTGCTGATGAGGAAATTCAATTTGAATGAGACTTTCACCCCTTCTTATACACCCCCTCTTACGCCGAATTTTCAAGAAATAGTATTCATCCGCTAATCTTTTACCTACCAAGGAGTAAAAGAGCCTGAGATTGGGAATATCAAGAACAGTTTTATCGCCAAGCACAAAACGGAGGCAGCTAAGCGAATGTGTAGGAGCTTATCCACGCATCCAAATCAAAAAGTTAGTAAACAACGCTAGCACACACGGAAATCCAAGGAATCTCGAAATTTAGGGTCGACAATATGTATCTGGAAGTTTATTTACTGTGTAGCCCTTGGCTTTCTTATTTGGTTCAATCTGAGCTTACTATAAATGCCAAGTTCCCCGCACATCCCAGAAATTGGAAGGAAATATCAGGATCTTCGGAGCCTAGATGAGGAAATATGGGTGGCAGTGTCCGAAAGTTTAAGTTGGCACCCTATTTAAATGACTACAGGTAAAGCCATGTCGTCATCACGCCAAGCTTCGATGATCTACCACTATTTTAGCCCCCAGGTAGCTTGCTAGTACTAGAGACGAAGCTTGGTCAATTCATCTAAGCGTCAATATGACCTGACTTGCAGCACCTTTTTCGTCCCCGATGTGCCGTGCGTTGTTAAAAGATAGAATTCATCATCTTGGTTCATTGTATTGAAACTAGAAAAGTCGTTGAAAGCAGAAATATCTTCTACAAAGTGCTATTTATTTCATGTGTTAGCAAAGGTAGAGAAATCTCCATCGGAACCTTAGTCGTACACGCATAAATGTCTGGAGCCAAGTCCAAGGCGATGGTACGAGCAATAGCTTGAAATAGTTATATCTCTGAAGGGAATTACAAGTTGAGGTGTTCCTAACATATTACCATTCACAATTGTGGCTTCCCCGGAAATCCATCATTCCGGTACACGACAAGACCTTGGCGTCTTATCTCTCGTTCTTCAATTGACCCCATGAATAAACTACCACACACTCCTCTTATACCGGCTAATCCCCCTCTTGCTTGACTTGACCTCTTCCCCTAATATATCTATGATGGCGAGGGAGTCATTATTCCATCCTAATGTACTGCCTCGTGATCAATGTTTCAATCATTTTATTATCGCCTATCGTCCAATCTCTTCGCTTCGTAGGTAGAGGATTAACCGCATCTTTCATTGACCCATAGAGTCTCAA